CATCAATCCATAGTGATTGCTGCTCTGTGCCATTCAGCATCTCCTTAGAGATTCATTGACTCAATGCATCTTAGAGGGGAGAATTCAGTGTCTCAATGCAGAGCATGGAGATGCTGAACATTGGTCCTGCAATCTTTGCAGGGCCTAATCCAGTAAATCCCGCTGTTGGCTGTCTGAGTGGCAGCTACTAGAGGTGGCATTAGGCAGCATTGTAAACAATGTCTTTTCTCTGAACAGGCAGAGTTTAAACTGATTAGGCAGTAAGGATCGTCTCTTTAAGCTGTAGTTGTTCTGGTGCCTATGAAGGTAGAATAAGCAGGTTTGTGTCTTACTTTCTCTTATATTTTCTGCAGTCAGAAGACAAAACCGTGCTTTTTGCAGTTGCATCTACCCTTGTGAATTGTACGAACAGCTATGATCGTGAAGAGATTAATCCTCAAATGCTGGAACTTGCAAAGTATGCCAAGCAGCATGTTCCCGAGGAACATCCAAAGGTGAGTTGAAACCTGCTTAGCCAGTACTCATTAATATTTCCCAACTTGCCACATAAAATCATTTAATTGTATTAGATTTCAGTCCTTAATACTGCTGGCACACAATGTTTCATTGCATTTTATTCTATAGGTTAGAACACTGAAACTATTTAAAATGGTCAATTAATGTCCTTCTGAGTTCCTCCATATATTTCATCCATTATTATTTATCTCTCACCTTCACATTACTTTGTAAATTCTCCCCAAACCTGCTTCCAAGAGTTCTCTCCTGTTGCTCCATGTTAATGATGGGTCATGATTCACTCCATCAGACACGCTGCAACATTCATACTTATAAACATTCCATTAAATCCATCTAGTCAAACCCTAGTCACGTTCTTACAATCCCCTAAAACAAATTGCACGCACACATCTTGATCCCTTATGAATTTTGTCTCACTTTACTTTGAACAGTAATCTCTTGTAAGCAGGCCTTTTATTTTGCTTGTACTGTACATTACATGAACTGTTTCACTTCTGGAAACTGGACGATGCTGCATTATACGATATACATATATCTTTATCAGGATAAGAAAGAGTTTATTGAGATACGGGTTCACAAGCTGCTCGTGGCTGGAGTGGTGTCTGCTTTATCCTGCATGGTGAAAAATGAAAGCCCAGCATTAACAGATTCCTCAAGGGAACTGATATCAAGGTAAGTCATACCATCTGGAAGCCACAATTATTTGTCAAACTCAACTATAAGTACTCGGTCAATATTGTGTTCTCTAGTGGTCACTGAGTTTCTTACAATTTACTAATTTCTAGGGTCTTCTTGGCTTTAGTGGAAAAGGCTGAAGACAGAGGAAATGTTGTTGCTCAAGGTGGAGGAAAGGTAACATCATAACCTCTCCCTCTTTATACTCCCTGCTTCAAGTGCGCTTTCTTTTTCTCTCGCTCTCTCTCTCATAGGAAGTAGGATTGTTACAAACTCTTGCAATCTTCTTTTCTCTCAAATGTGCATTCTATCAGCTTTACAACGAACATAATGAAGATTACAAACGTAAAGCACACAAGGACTGCAGCATGCTACATTCTGCAACATTGAGATTGGCAAACTGTATTCATCTCACGGATTGAAATGCCAGCTTGGCCTCACAGGAGAGTTAGTACGTCCTATGCAATTGTCTAGCAGCTGAGGGAGTGCAGGAATCTAGTCCTATTTTAAATGTATCTCTTGGTATATTGTTTGAATTTCAAGATGAGTTCAAGTTATATTTATGTACAGATATCAAAGTTATTCATGTGTACAAATACACTAGTTGTTTATGGATAAAGTTTAGATGCAAGTTTTTCTATGTGGAAGCCAAAAGATAGATAGATCTATGCATTTCGCTAATTATACAGCAAGGCAAAATAAAATATGTATATATTGGGTGTTAAAGCATTTTTGGAATCCTTAAAAGATCATGGGGTTTTAAATAACAAGAGCTTTATTTCCTTTGAAATAACACACATTCCTTTGGCTATTTCTGATTCAGGCTCTGATACCTCTGGCTTTGGAAGGTTCAGATATTGGCAAGACCAAAGCAGCTCAGGCGCTGGCAAAAATCACCATCACCTCAAACCCAGAAATTGCCTTTCCAGGTGAAAGGGTAAGGACATCTGAAATGTCTAATTATTTATTAATGCTGTCATGGAATCTGTGTCAACTCTCCATATTGCATTGTAACACTTATAAACATGTGGATTACATTGAGGTTCAAATGTAAATTTTACTATACTTTTTTTTTTACACATTATGCTGGCAAAGTCTCACCTGTAAATGTATGAATTAAAATATATAATGGTCTGAAAATGTATTCTGCCTTCTACAAGATGGCCACCAAAAGTCAGTTGTTCTGTGGTAGGTATTTTGAAAAACTGCATGCTGGTTTTGCATTAGCTAATTATATTTCAAAAAAATCAACATTTAGTTTATTTGTTTGTTTCACAATGGTGTGAATTTGCTAGCAAAATGTTTAGCTGGTAAAGAGAGACTTATTTGGTATAACCAGCTACCTCTGGAGAAACAGAAGTACATGCTCTCAAATGCATATGCATTTTGATCCATCACTTTTAACCTCTGATGTAAAAATCGCCCTGCTTCCCCCCTTATGTCTCAGATTGTCCAATTCCAATTCCCCAATAGATTTACGAGGTTATCCGGCCACTAGTCAGTCTGCTCCACCTTGATCGAACAGGACTACAGAATTTCGAGGCATTAATGGCACTAACAAATTTGGCAGGGATCAATGAGAGACTAAGGTACCTGCTATACATTTGATTCATTAACCTTGTGTATTGTGCATTCTTTGTCGCACTTTTTTTTTTTTTTTTTGCTTGCAAAAGAGTCATCCTGCCGTAGAACAGAATGTTCTAAGCAGCCAGCCTTTTGCAACAGCTGCTTTTCTGGAAGCATGAACAATTTTAAGACACCAAGTAGTAGACCTATAAAGTATGTTGTTTTTAGAGTTTAGAAGTACTTGAACTACTTACCTGCTAAGATTAACCCAAGGACTTGACAAATCGATCACCATTGCTACACACATAGCTGCTTTAGGGCTACCATCATTGAGAGGTATGAGATGGGGATGGTGTTGTCAGTCCCCAAGCGGCGGGCATTGCCAGTGATGCCTGTAATGTGTGGGCCCACCCACTGAAGGCATGTTTCAGCCTGTTGTGAAGCTCACAACACCCTGTCTGGCCAGCCCCCAACCTACAGGACCATGCAGAGAGCACTACTGAAGCGCTCTCTGCATTGTCCCCTAGTGTTCACTCACAGGGTGGCTGCATTTAGGAACACCAGGGAACAAAATCAGGATGGCACCTAGAATGTTGTCTCCTTTACGATGCCAGTTGAAAACAGGGACAGTTGAAGCTGCTACTATAAATAACACCATAATATTAAATGGACAGAATCCGCTGCAACACATTGAACACTTTAGAAGTGCCTTTTGTAAGCAGCACCTCTGGGTTGTTTTTTTGTGGTTTTTTTTAGCTTATTTTCTCCGGGAGAAAAGATTTTTCTTCCACTTTTTAAGACAAATCTATGTTCTTGAAAGAAGTTTACTGTAAATTGGATGTCTTTCTCTAGCTTAGTATAAGAAATCTGTTTTCTTAGGCCAATTTGATTCTAGAGGTTTTTACTTATGGGAAGGTCTAGAGTACAATATATTGAAAGCAGGCTAAATATAACATTTCCTGCTGCTTGAATTTGTTTTATTTTTTTTTGCTTCTTTTGTTTGGTAGAACATAGGTTGCACAATGTCTTCCTGCATCCATCTAGTAAAAGCATGTTGAGCATATTAGATGTTTAGGTTTTGACACAGCTTTGGATTTATCAGGTTACATTTTCTTAAAAGGAGAAGCCAATGAAGCCATCTGCAGTAACACCTATACATAACTTTTAGAAAATAAAATTTCTGCAGTTAATTTAAAAGCATAAGAAATTACTTTTTCATACATTGAAAAGCCTTGGAATGTGTGATGTGATACTCTTTCTAAACATTGACTTGTAAATTAGCAACCCCTTTAAATATTTTAATAATATCACTTATGGTTAAAGGCTCGCAGTGTTAATATACATCTATATTACCCAAATATACTAATATGCAATCTGACGTTCTTTATAAAAAAATATGCATTTATTCTACTCCAAAAGCAAACAACAATATACTTAACACATGGTATTTTTTTTTATTCTTTATTTTGTTGTGCATAGCATTTTCAAACAGGCATGTGCTGCTATTTCAGTGGTAACCGGCTTTGATGTAATATGTTTAGAGCGACAATTGCATGGCATAGAGATATATAGCACATTTTTCAATAAGGAATAACAGGAAAATGTCTAGCATGCTGTGTGTGCAGTAAGCCAGGGACATAGGCATTGTGTTCCTCTCTGGCGTAGCTGTACCTGTGCTGTCGTTGGGGGTGTCTTGCTCTGCCTCTGCATTGGGGTTGGGGACCCCTAACCATAGGTTTGGCAGGGGGGGGGCGGGAGATGTGTGTTTGTAGGGACTAGGTGCCTGTCAGGGTTTCTACTGTGTTGTCTGTTCCGTGTGGTAGTCGAGGTCATAGCGCCTTGTGCCTATGTGGGCTATAGGCCCAGGGACCTGAGTGTCCGTGAGTTAGTCAGATCAGAATAAAAGGGAAAAAAGAAACATAGTAAACATGAAACATTAAAATAACATCTGGGAGTTTCTCCTTCGTTGGGGTGAGGACGGTGTGGAATACATGGTATTTTTTAATGATGTTACAGAAAGAAATCTTTGATGGAGTCGTCTTTGTATCAGAAAGTCAGGGACACACCAGGAGAGAAGAGCAAAGAGTAGGAGAAGAGAGCGCGGTCCTTTTGACCATTGTTCTTTAATAGGCCAAATTACATCATAACTTTTAAATTAAAATTGCAAAGATGAGGAAAAGGAACTGCACTCAGTTCACTTAAGACAGGGTGCTTAGCTGAACCAAGGGCCAGCACAAGCCCAGGAGATAAATACCAGTGTTAGAACAAAGGGTCCAGGGACTCCAATGTCTTCAGGCACCTTTATTAGAACATGTGGAACACTGCAAAGTTTTGACTCCTTTTTGACTTTCTCAAGCTGGACCCTTTTTTTAACACTGGTAACTTTTAAATTAAACTGCACATTCCAGAGTCCTCGTAGTACAGAATAGCAAACTACCATCGATTTTTTTATTATTATTTTTTTTTTTTTTTTTTTTTTTAACCATTTAACATCCATACCATAATATGTATAAAATAGAACATAGGATTCATAATCTATGAATATGCTCCTAGTTTTCGCACCAAAAACACAATGATTATGATGGTGTATGCACAAAAACACTGAATAAACACAGAATACATTGAACCCTGTGTGTTTGTTCCACCATGCCATAAAGGGGCTAAACACTGCCCCTAATATGGTCACTACCTGGTTTCTCACATTAAGTGGAATGCATGGTGTGCATTCCACAACCGCAAATATTAGATGCCTTCCGAGCCATCTATTAAGTTGAAGGGGAGTGGTACCTGGCTAACTCACAACCTTGCGATCAGCTATAAGAAATCAGGTGTCCTTAGCATAGCATCCTGTGTTATCTCACTACCCCACAGATGATTGACCATCAATCCTGCTGGTGGAGCACACAAAAAACTGAAGGTGAGAGGGTTTTCTAGAGGTGTTGTACCGCTAGAGCTAATTAGAGGAAGGGATCTCATTTAAAAAATGATCTTTGCTAAGTATCTGTTCAGTTCTGAAAACAAATACCCAGATATAAGTACTGCTGCTTTATCTGATGGAAAAAAATGTTGTGGCCCCCCACACTCAGATTAAGCTTAGGTTTAACATGTTGCAGATCCAAGTAGCCAAATTTCCCACCTGTAACTCCTCTAGCTGCCACTATGTGCTGACCTTATTTGGGCATCAAAAACTGTTATTTGGACATCGCCTGATTTTTATTTTTGTTTATTAAGGGGTGCTTATTATGCGTTAGTTGTTATAAAGTACTTTTGATATTTTTTGATGTGCAGGAGTAAGATTATTAAGGAGAAAGCTGTACCAATGATAGAGGGCTATATGTTTGAAGAGCATGAACTGATTCGAAGAGCTGCAACTGAGTGCATGTGCAACATGGCCATGAGTAAAGAGGTGAGTAGAACACGTACCTTTTAATACATAACAAGAGACACAAATCTGTTGTTTAATTATTGTGAAGCTCTGCGGAATATGTTGGAGCTATATCAATAATTGTGATTAACAGTAGTCTGGACAATGTGTAGTTGAATTTTTTTTTTTTTTTTTAATGCATTTATTTAAAAAAACTAAAATATTTTTTAAACACTAGGTGTGTTTACATCACGCCAGATTTTGGCTGCTTTTATAACCAAGGTCTATGTACTATGACTTCTAGAAATCTCAGCCATCCTTGTCACACATTATAGGTAATAAGTATAGTTTTGTTAAATGTCTACTATGGCAATCAAGTAAGAACAAGCAGTATGTGATGGACATTTATATTGAATTTTCACTTCTTACAATATTATAAATGTGCTTCATTTTTCAAACAATCTAGATGAAAAATATGAGTGTATCCTCTTAACTGATACATAATCGATGTAACTTTACTGAACTATGGAATAATACTTTGAATTAAGCCTATAGGCAGCCAGAGCAACCTGTCAAATGTAAGCCGCCATCATTGGCTATCCATGCTGTACATTTCTAGCACTGTAGCACATAGATACCATAAAATTCTTAATTGTGGATATTAATATCTTACTAGATAGATTATCCTTTCTACTGAAAACCTGTAATAAATATTTTCCTGTTTTTCCAGTTTGAGATAATTGTGACATGTTTATTTAGGTGCAAGACTTGTTCATGGCAGAGGGATCTGATCGCCTAAAGTTAATGGTGTTATACAGCGGCGAAGATGACGAGCAATTACGCCGTGCTGCATCTGGCACACTAGCCATGCTGACTTCCATGGATCCAGAGATCTGTCGAAGGATTCCACAAGTGGTAAGAATGAAAACTTCTGTACAATGGTATAATCAGAGCATATGATAATGTTCAGTACTTATGTGCTGGTTTATGGATGTAAGAGAAGTTTGGCTGGATTGTTTCACAATAAATTGGGATAGTGGTATGGTGATGTATTATCACCAGAAATTCACAATAATACTTCTAAATTCAACAGGGCTGGATTGTTTCACAATAAATTGGGATAGTGGTATGGTGATATATTATCACCAGAAATTCACAATAATACTTCTAAATTCAAGAATACCAAGGAAAGTGAAAGCGCACACCAAGTGAAATCATATATATTAGAATAACCCTCCCTGGATATTGATAAAGGAGAAAATGTATCCGCTCTTTTTTTAAAAAGTAGTGGTCTGGCAGTATCTCCTTCGACCATCAGTTTTGTCATCTGAATTTTCCTCAATATTATAATGTAGGTTACGAGGTGAGACACAGACAGCAGGTAGTTAAAGTATAGCAAATGTATTAAAAATATATAAAATTTTAAATTATGCTTAAAATAATCCACATAAGCACAATCACAACGCGTTTCGACCGGAGTCTTTATCAAGTTGCATAACTGTACATCAAGGGCTAGATTGTTCAGCAGACTTTTCTGGACACATTGAATGGCACATATTTATTTATAAAAAATAATTACCAGGAAAGGTACATTGAGATTTCTCTTGTTTTCAAGTATGTCCTGTATGCATTATACATACACCAAGTGTCACATGCATATGCTTTGGGTTTATCATCCCACAAGGGTAGAAGATCAGCATACCTTACCTGATCACTCTGAACGTACACAACTAACATTCTCTTTTCTTTTTTTTCTTCTGTGTGTAAACTGTAATGTAAAAACATGTTCATGGTAAAACTATTGTCTCCAGATACTGTTAAACTGGGCATACATTGATTTATCTGATCTGTGCCTTTTCAGACTGCTCACTGGTTGGAGATTCTCCAGGCCCTGCTTCTTAGCGAGAACCTAGAATTGCAGCATCGTGGAGCAGTTGTTGTTCTTAATATGATTGAGGCTGACCGGGAGTTGGCAGAGAAGCTAATGGAGAGTGAAATGTTTGAAATCCTAACCGTGCTCTCAAATAAAGAGGAAGAAGAGAAGACCAAGGCAGTGGCCAGAGCAGCCAAAGAATGTTTGCGCAAAGCATTGGACTATGGTTTAATCAAACCCAATCTGTCTCCATAGTCAGATTGAAGAGCTGTAACTCTCTAAGGAGTGAGACAATGTTTCCCTCCTCTTTTGGGCAAAAGACCTCACTTGCATTATTAGCAAAGGTTTGCTAAAATTTATACAACCTTATCCGATCAAGTACATCAGAATTTTTATTTTTTTTAGGCTTACTTTCTTCTGTTGAAGGAGGTAGGTTGTGCAAGAATGTACAAAGAATAATTCAGTTTGGGTGAAAATGGGTTTACCCACAAGTCTTAACAGCTGTATCATCTATGGTCACTTTAATGTTCTATGAAATATTCTTCTTGACTATGTTGAAATCTCTTTGAAATCCCAACACACTGAAAAGAAATAAGCCAAAGTAGGGACTACATTGTCCCACTGGGAAAGGCAACATTGCTGCCATCAGTGCTAGCAATGGGTGCGGAGAAGAGGCATCATCTTTTGCAGTTGTTGGAGTTGGGCTATGGAGGATTCAGCAGGCTTGTCAGAGCTCAGTGTTGTATTCTCACACATGTGTGTGAGAGTACCGTTTTGACCTAAGCTTTTGGCACATGAATAACCAAGAGATGAAGAAAGAAGACCTTGATTTTATTAAGGAAGAGCTTCAAGTAAATGTTTTACCTTTTGCATCACTCCCACGATGCCACACACACACAAAAGGAGGATGCCACCTATGAGGGTCTTTGTATATTATGCAAAACCTTCAAAAGTGGCTAGCTGCTTTTATATCAGGGCTTCCCCATTCAGAACAGGTAACCTTGAGTGTTGGACAATCTTATGGGTATATCCTTTTCAGTTATGATGTAAAACGATCTTTTATAATTGTCATATAAGTGACACACATGATCATGAGAAGAGATTAGTTAAAGGATCACTATAGGGTGAGGAACACAAACATGTATTCCTGACCCTATAGTGTTAACACAACCATCTGGCCCCCTTAGGCCCCTCATGCCTCCATAAATATAGCAACATCTTACTGTATTCAAGCCAGAAGCTGTAGCTCTGCATGCTGTTTGCCTAAAAAAAAACAAAAAAACAAGCAGCCTGCTGACATCATCAGAAGTGGTAGTCTGATCCAATCACATAAGATTGGCTGAGACTGACAAAGAGGAAGATCAGGGGCAGAGCCAGCATGATTCAAACACAGCCCTGGCCAATCAGCATCTCCTCGTAGAGATGAATTAAATCAATGAATCTCTATGAGGAAAGTTTAGTGTCTGCATGCAGTGGGACGAGATACTGAATGTTTGGATGCATGTTAGGCAGCCATGATTCATGAAGGATCTCAAACCGCTATCTGAGGAGTGGCCAGTGAAGTTATCACTAGGCTGTAATGTAAACACTGCATTTTCTCTGAAAAGACAGTGTTTACAGCAAAAAGCCTGAAGGGAATGAATCTACTCGCCAGAACAAATTCAATAAGCTGTAGTTGTTCTGGTGACTATAGTGTCCCTTTAACTTTTTTTTTTAATTACATTCGTAATCCAAAGCAAAGATAATGTATTGAGTACAATAAGTTGACAAAACATCATGCTCCAAGTCTTCTTAGTCGTCATAACACCATAACAGTAGTTAAATGCATAAAGTACAAGTCGCTACATAAACACAGTTTGTAGATGTATGGTCAATGTTTTCATTAAATCTTTGGCCAAAATATTCTAGCTCTAAAAATACAGAGCACATAACAAATTGAGGGGTAGACGGACATAAAAAGAAACATTTTCATGGTGAACATATATGCTCTTAATTTATTGTCAGTACAGCTTTAGCCAAAACAAATACCATAACAAATAGACCACCTAGCCATGCAATTAAATACACCTAATGAAATACTAGAATTGCATTGCAATTTAATAAATTGGAAGTTTTTTTTTATTTTTTTATTGTGTGATGATTTTATGCCAATTCAAATTCCTTTTCACATATTGTAAATTATACAAAAAAATACCCACACAATCAGTTTTTGGCATTTCTACCATTAATATGGTACGGCTAGTACTAAAGTTAAAAGTCGAATACTCTACACTTGGAATGTACACAACCGAATGTGGCTGAAAATCCTACATATACCTATATATTTAATGTGTGTGAAAGAATGCAATAGTATAGATATTTTATTGGATGGAAGCATACTGTGCACTCAGCTTTACATTTCACTCATGCCATTCCACTGATTCAGATTCCTGTAATGTACTTTCTCTCTGCAGCCATTCCCTAAAAGATCTATTTTTATAGCTTATTTTCTATCCCTTTGTTCCACTTGCTGCTTTTTAACATTCCTTTGCTATAGTAGTAGCAGGTCTTCCATCTAGTTATGGATACACGGCTACATTCCAGGTATTGCACTACAGATTCACTCAGTGCTCTATTTATTACTATGCCTTAATATTCAGCAATGAATTATGTTATCAATCTTGTGTAAATAAAACAATATGAGCACAATTGTGTAATGGTATGTTTTGTTTTATTGCTTTTATAACATTGTGTGGATACCCATATGTAAAAAAAAAAATACATTAAAAGTTTACAGTTGAAAAATTTTACAAGAAGAGGTTTATCATATATGTATGTAACATAGGAGTTGTACCTGAATGCATTAGTCATCAGCCTGTATAATGGGACATGTCAAGAGACTTGATTCCCATGGGGAAGTGGACTTGGTTGTCATTGGAAAGTATTGCTCACTGCAAGGACCGGGTATGCAAACATCTGATTAATATATTATGCAAAAAAATAATATTCTGCATGATTTTTTCCCCCCAACTTTCCATCACTCTCTTTTTCTCTCTTTATTTTTTTTTTAAATTCTTTATTTGTTCCAAAGCAGGACAACTTATACATAGCACACATAACAATATCAATACACTTTCAAAAGGTGCGATTAACTCCTTTTAAGTATCAAGACATACCACTTGGTGTTTTCATAGTACAATAAAACATGTAACTACCGTGCTGTAGCTTGCACTGAGAACAGTTAGGGGTACTATACATATTCGCACTTGCTTCTCTAGCTTTACTGTATGCCCTTGATAGTCCCGTTATGCACGATCTTACAATTGTAAGGAAAAGGAAAGATGGTTAAAAAGATTGGAACCAGAAAAAGAAAGCTCGTCCTCGAGGGTCCAAGGAAGTAGGTAGGGGTGAGCATGGGAAGGATGAATGGGGGGGGGGGAGCCGATGATAACGATAAGTGTTGCAAGGATTGCATTGCCTTACTGACTTCATCTATCCTAGGCATCCCCTAAGTTTCCCTCAAAGAGAGATGGGCTTAGGTGAAGCGGTCTGTAAATTGTCTCTTCAGTGCCCTGAGTGTTATGGTTTATGTGTTTGGTCCAGTCTGCTGTTTTAATTACTTACTGTACTATTAATCCAAGGGTTCCAGATTTTTTTCAAATTTCTTCGTAGTCCCTCTGACCTGAGCTGTCAATTTGTCCATTAAAAAGGTATCCTTAATTTTGTTTTATTATTGCTATTGTAGGAGTGTTCCTCTGTAGCCAAACCTGCGCCAGGGCTCGTCTTGCAGGGAGGTTTATTTGGTGAAGGTTTTGTTCCGTTCTTGTCCAATCATCCATGGATCTTGACAATAGGAACACCCATGGGTCTAGCTTCACCCCGCCGAACACTTCTCGCAACAATGCTGCGATCCGTTTCCAGTATATCTGCACCACTGGACATTCCCACCACATATGAATATACGTACCCTTATGTCCACAGCCCCTCCAGCACAAGTCTGTTGGGTTTTTACGCATGCGGCACAGCGTCACTGGGGTCTTATATGATTGTTCCTGCAAGGATACGCACACTGAAGATGTTGCTGCTGCATCCCATATTTCCTTCCATTCTATACCCTCCAGCACTTCATTCTAATCTGCTTCCCACTGATCTATGTACTCAATGTCTCCTCATTCCAGAGTGTGAGTACTTAGATGGGAGTATAAACAGGAGATTAGGCCGCTTGGGAATTGTTCCTTTGAACACATTCTTTCGAAAACGTCAATGGTGTCTGCGCCACCTTTTTGATCCTGGTATCTCGGGCATAGTCTCTTAGCTGAAGATAGCGAAAGTAGTCAAAAGGTCTCAATGGGGTCCTACTATTCAGTTCCTCAAATGTGACAATGGAACCATTTTCAAACTGTTGAAATAGTCTCTGCAGTCCTGCGTTTTCAAGTCCCTTAAAATTCCTAGCTTGCATGCCCGGGAGAAAATCTATTTTTCTCAAGAACGGGGTCAATGGAGACTGGGTAGATGTCAGGCCATATTTGAGGGCGGTTGCATCCCAGACCCTGAGAGAGGCCTGTACCGCTTGGCAAGGCACCCGGTCCAGAGATCTAAATTCCTTAGGGGACCACATGAGGAACACTGGGGGAGATCCGGGCCCATCAGAGAGGACTCCAAATCCACCCACCTCCTCTCATCAGGGGGTGTATGCCATAATGCTATTTGGGTCAATTGGGCCGCCACATAGTAGTAATAAAGGTTTGGCAGCCCCAGCCCCCCACCCCCCATCCTTAGCTCTATAAAGTATATTCCATGAGATCCTTTGTTTCTTATTCTGCCAGGTAAACTTGCCGATAGCCTGCTGAAGTGCTCCCAGGTTAGATTTAGTCAAGTGGATCGGGAGAGCTTGAAAGAGGAACAATATCCGAGGTAGTATTTTCACAGAATGTATTCTTCTGATCCACGATATTGGTTTATCTACCCACGTCTCCATGTCATGTATTAGTTGCCTGATTAGTGGAACGTTATTCTGTTGATGCAAGAGGGAGGGATCCGCCGTTAACCAGATGCCCAGGTATTTAATGTGATCTTTCGCTATGTGCACATTATATGTTTTCCCTATATGCACTCGATTTGTGTAAGTTGACCTTGTATCCGGCCACCGTACCATACTCTGTCAGTATCCCTGTCAGAGCTGCCATAGATTCCTGTGGGTCCGCTAATGACAATAGTATATCGTCAGCGAATCCCGATATAACATATTTCTGTCCCCCTACCCCTGATCTCTGGGGTTACGCGTATCATTTGCATGAGGGGTTCTAATGATAGGACAAACAGCAACGGTGAAAGAGGGCAACCCTGTCTCGTACCGTTGCTCAATGGGAAAGGGATGGGTTGCGCTCCCGTTATTCTGACCTGTGCCCTGACGGAGTATAAGGCCTTGATTATAGTGATAAACCGGGCCGGCATGCCGAAATGGTGTAACAACTCAAATAGATACGGCCATTTGACTCTGTGAAACGCCTTTTCGGCGTCTAGTGACCGCATCAACATCGGGGTTTGCAGCCTTGTTTGTCTCCCTATAAGATCAATGTTGCGTCTCGTATTCTCGAACAGTTGCCTACCCGGTACGAAGCCCACCTGGTCTGGGTGGACCAGGCAAGTGAGAATTAGGTTCAGTCTGATCGCTAACACTTTTGCTAAGATTTTGGAATCATGATTAATGATATTGGGCAAAAATTCTCCGGGATCGAGACATCTTTCCCAGGTTTGGGCAATAAGACTATATTCGCTAGTGACATATCTCGGTCTGGGATCCCCCCATCCTGAAGGTCGTTGAACCACAGTTCAAGGTGGGGCAGGAGTTCCTCTCTAAATATCTTCTAGTAGCTTCCGTTGAAGCCATCTGGGCCAGGTGCCTTATTGCTTTTCAGGGCCGAAATTGCTGCATCTATTTCCTCCACTGAGATCTGATTCCCGAGTGTTTTGCCACATCCGCCTCACCCAGTTTTGGGAGAGGTATCCGAGAGAGGAAATCTCGTATCCCATCCAGTTCCTGTTGTGAGTTCGTGGCTGCACCTCACGAGTGGTTATATAATTCGGTGTAAAAACCTGTAAACATTTTGGCAATCTCTGTGGGATTCGTCTGATAGACTCCCGCAGTATTCTTGATCTTTGTGATATGTGTGTTCCGTTGTCGTGGTCTAAGGGATCTTGCCAACAAGGTATCCATTTTATTGGCCTTTTCATAGAAAGTCTGCTTTGACCACACTATAGCTCTCGCGGTGTCATCTAGGAGTGTTTCACGGATAGCATGCCTTACTTCTTGTACCGCCTGCAAATTGGTAGGTGTAGGGTCTGACTTATGCCGCTGTTCCTCGTTTTTAAAGCTTCTAACTGAGATGCCAATAATTGCGATTTTCGACATTTCTTTAGTGTCGCTTCTCTGATCAGTATACCTCTAATGACAGAATTATGCGCTGCCCATATTACGGCTTTTGATACCCCCGATGCTGCCTCCCTGAGAAAGTATTCGTTCAACTCTCTACGAATAGTATTAACTATTTCCGTATCCTGCAGTAGCGAGCTATTCAGCCGCCATGACCAAGGTGTCGCCGCGCTTAGTTTGTCTAAAGTAATAGAGACATCCGTATGGACATTCCCACTGGACATTCCCACCACATCCGACCAAGTTATGGAACCCACTGTGGACTCCGAAACTCTGGGGGGTTTACCAGAAATAGGTCTATTCTGGAATATGGGTCGTGTGGCGGTGAATAAAACGTATAGTCATTCTCGTCCGGATGTTGAGCTCTCCAAATATCTATAAGGCCTGACTGTTGCATGAACGTGTGCAATAGTTTGTCTTGTCCGCCTCTCCTGTGGGACCGGGGGACTCCTTTACAGGGCTCCCTATCAACTGCTGGGGACGGAGCTGCGTTAAAATCACCTCCCACTATCACCATTCCGTGTGGGGGTGCGTTGACAGTGCGGGTGAGGTCCGCCCAAAATTCTTTGGATGGATTGTTGGGAGCGTACAGATTAAGAATATGGATCATGTGTGAATACAAGGTTCCTGTCACCAGTACAAAGCGCCCCCCCGGGTCGATACTAACCCCGCTGATTCTGATCAGGCATCTGCGATGTAGGAGGATGGCAACTCCATTTCTCATGTTAAGGGCTCTCGATTCATATGTGGTGCTATAGGTGTGGTCTCTAAGGGCGAACTTGGCCGATTTAGACAAGTGCGTCTCCTGTATGAAGGCTATATCCGGATTCAGACGCTTAAGTTCCCTAAACATAAGCCGTCTTTTCTTAGGGGTGTTCAAGCCCTTAACATTAAGAGATACTAGTTTAGCAGGCATGTCTTAGTCTGTGGTGCGCCTCTATAGTTAGACATCCTGTCACGTCTGTTACTAGTCCAGATTCCAGGGCTTACCTCGACCACCCCCCTAGAGGAGGTGAGGAATGGGTAAAGGTAAAAAGGAGAAGGGATAGAGGGGAACTAGGATAGAAAAGTTTCCAGTTTGGATACTTTGAACTAAAATCTGAAGTTCACTTTGAAATCTTTGATTTTGCAAAAAAAATCCTGCAAATATGGAAACTTCCATATTGAGAGGTTTGCCCCAGAACTATTCCTTGTAAATTCCGTAGTTTTGAGATAATACAGTTTGAACAGTTTTCTATATTCTATTACTTATTACTATTACTTATAATGATCAAGGTACTTTGAAAGACAGGGTTAATGTTACATTATATGCTCTTACTGTTGCATGATACTATGGAATAAAATGCAAGTAAGGGATAAAGAAGACAGACACCAGTATATGAAATGTAGTATATGTTGTGTGAGGATAAAGTCATTCTTCTTTTAGTCTACTCTCTAATAATAAAAATATTCACATAAATCGTAATTATTATTATTATATTTTTTTGTAATTCTTTATTTGCATTTTCAAGTCAATAAAAGGAGCAAAAGTAACAATGGTAATACATTAGTAAAGACAAAGGTATATTACAATACCATAAATCGTAATTTTTAAACTGTCAGGCCATAGAAACTGGGGCATCCCCTCATTAACAGAGCGTCTAACCTTCAGGAAAAGAATCCATCAGAGCACACTGTAACTGCCTGCTTCTACCTATATCCTGGATGTTTGGGTTGTATTACCGTCTGTAGCCGCCAGGATGCGCTAGTCAGCTGACTCCGTTTCAGTGGGTGTTTGACCGGAGCATGTGCAGACACTCTATACGGACCGACCGTCCCCATCTCACCGCGCAGGGAACTAATCGAAGCCGGGGATCTGCGGCCTTTATGGTCTAATTTGGGGACAAATGGTATGGTATGGGTTTGGATACAGAGGCTTCGGGCAGCTCGGGGAAGGGGAGGACCCCAGTGTAAGGCTTCCAGAACCAGTGACCATCCCAGGAACACGTGTAGAGAGTAAAGACATTACTAAAGCAATCCCCTCCTGGAGCTACACAGCCTTCCTGACAGGTGAGACAGACTGGGCCTATTATATCCCCCATCTATAAAGCAGCAAGATAAATAGCTATTATTACACCATGGGGCACTTACCTGCCATTATCATTGCCATATCCACTATCATTGACTGGACACTCTCTTTATGTTTATGGGCATGGCATGAAAAGTGCTGCCCTGCTGTATGTAGCCTGTATATGCTGTATGTAGCCTGTATATGCTGCATGACTTCTCATAGATTAATCACTTGGGAGGACATGTATAAAATCTGTCATGTTCTGACAAGTGGTTTAAAGTACAAAAAGTGGAGTTGTCATTATGGAAACCAATAGAACCAGCAGGCACCACCTTTCCATGTTTGCACCACTTTTCCGAACACAGCACCTTTTTTGTACATAACCTCCGTTATTTCTCACACGCTACAACTTAGGCAACCTGTTTTGTTTTCTGTTAATCAATTACGAATGACCTGGCTGGGAACACATCCTTATATCTGCTATCCCTAGCAATAGTACACCTGTAAAGGTAATTATTGTTATTCGAGTATGAAAAATAAATTTTACAACTGTGTATCTGATATGACCTTTGAGGTCATCTATAACATACATTTGAGAGGTAATGTGTTTGTACCTCTCTGTTGTTGAGAGTATTTAAACTGGGGAGACGGAAAGGTTCTCTACGATGCAGTTTGCCTAAAGTAATAAAAAATATAAAATTGGTCGGAATTCTCAGATAGAAAGATGCTGCTGGTGACTTCCATAGTATTCTTGGGAGTGGAAACTAAATAAAATGTTTTATTTATGTTATAAGTGTGCTGTTTGGGAGGTTTTGTTTTTTTCTTCTGAAACTTTGGCTCATTTTAGGATCCTGGATCCCTACATGGAAAGAGATTATAATTTTTAATTAGCCCGGGGGCCAGTGCAACAATCCATACACATCCACCTGTACAGTACATACTTTAGCTTCTCTTATTCTCTGGTTGGACTTGGTTTTGTTAAACTCACTTGTTCTGTATCTGCTAATAGTCATTTTGTGTCTTTGTTTAGGTGATGGCTCCATTCTGCTCTCAGGGTTTATTAAAGCATTTCCCGGGCAGTATCTCCACTCCCATGGCCTGGGATGTCTTGATGTTTTGACTTCAGAGAAGTACCTGATGGTGCTCTTCAAAGACCGTGTTGAATGTTGGGGAACCAACTCACTGGGTCCAGAAGATGCTCTACCAGAGGCCTTGTGGAAAATGGATCTGCCTAATGGACACAAAGCTGGTAATCCCAACTTTATGGTGTGAACATTAACAAGCAGGTGCAGTATCCACACTGACTTTGAAATGTAATAATAACTCTTCTAGGGACACTTGTGATATATATTTAGATTATAGATTATAAGCGCTACGGAATCTGTTGGCGCTATATAAATGGCAATAATAATAAAATAAGATATTTTATATATTTATAATAGCATATACACATACATACATACACATACACACACATATGTAGAGCCTAAATGGACACTCTAAGCTTCATAACCACAATAGCATGCTGTTGTGATGGTATAAGAAGTGTTACCCCCTCCCACACGCACAAATTGTCTTCTTGCCTGCGGTCTGCTGGCACCACTCCCCATCTCTATTACATCCTATGGAGAGCTGGAAACTCCTAGGAAGGAGCTTCTGTTGGCTCTCCTGAGCTAAGCCCCGCAGTACTGATTGCTCTTAGTCAATTAGCTTAGCCCTGCACTACAAGTGTAGCTCAGGTGGGGAACGTCCTGCTCTCCAAATAAGTAGTTGAGTAATGGTGCAGAGCCCAGCACACCATAGGTAAGAAATAAAATCATTCTAAAACATACAAAGTATGATATTTACAACGTAAAACTTTAAGTCCTACACTACCATAGAGGCCTTAAATGTTACCACTGCAAGCTTAGCGAGCCCATGGCAAACTCACCAGCTGTGAATTGCTACTCAGTAGGGCTACTTTTTCACTCGCTAATTGCGAGTGGAGATTTTGAGCCCAATCTATTTTCTATAGCACTGCTAAGCTTGTCCTTTAAATAGCAGTTTATGAGCACAGCAGAGGTATCGGTAAGTTCTACTTCAGCTGTTTGTTTTGTATAAAATATTGCAGACTGCTAAACTGAAACCTGTCGTACGTGTATTTAGAGTAAGATGGGATACACTTCATGTTGAGAAAGAGTCGACCGATTAAGAAATTAAAATGAAAATACCAAAAATCTATTATAAAATTGTTACTATTGTAATTATTTTGAGTGCTGTTATAATTTTGATTATTATTTTTTATTTTTTTTTAGCTTTTCCTTTGGTAGATAATGGATATATTCTCCCCCAACCCCCATTTTTTCGTGAGCTTCCGCCTAAAGTCCAAGCTCTCAAGTTGTCTTTAGGAAATGAGCATGCTGTTCTACTGACATCAGACCACACGGTGCTCACATGGGGAGCTGGGAGGTAAGATTCTCACCTGTTAATGGACTTTCTCAATGTATGTGATGCAGGAGTCCTATTGAGATCATACAGTTGTTTCTGCTACACTATTGCCATAATTCACTTTTTTCTAAGGATACTTATAGAAAATGAATCTTGCAGAGATGCCTTAAAATCACTGCTTTCCTGTGAGAATCATTTTTTATGCACCCTATTACTATGGCAGGGATTAAAAATAGGCTTGGAATCTAAGAGCCAGCAAAAAAAGTTAGGAGCCAGGTTTTTCAATATCAAAAATACAATTCAGAAAGGGACCGTATAGTCACCAGAACCACTACAGCTTAATGTAGTTGTTCTCGTGTCTATAACCTGTCCCTCCACACTTTTCAATGTAAAACTGCTTTTTCAGAGAAAAGGCAGTATTTACATTGTTGTCTAGCAACACTTCTAGTAGAGGTCACTCAGACGGCCTCTAGACTGCATTCCGGGTCACTGCTTCACAGTACGCAGCTCCTACAGTTAGCGTCTCTACGCTCTGAATGTTCCCCATAGAGGTGCATTCATTCAATGAATCTCTACGAGGAGATGCTGATTGGTGCTCTCTGACACGCGCGCGCGCGCTCTCTGACACACACACACACACACACACTCACTGTCACTTCAATAACAACACCATCCAATGTCCCTACGTGGAGCTGGAGTGGTTCGGCTTTCCCTGGGGTCCAATGGGTCTTCAGTCATCTCCCTGCTCTGCTCCATAGAGCGCTGTTTAGTTATGCCAGGGCCGGAATGACGTTCTATTCCGGCACCTGGCATCATATAAGGATGCGCGAAGGAGCAGAGCAGGGAGATTATAGCTCCCTCGCTTGCTTACCAATCTGCCTCAATCCTCCTGCACGTGTGCACACCCTACGCTCTCTGGCTGGCTGGCTGGCTGGCTGGCTGTTCAAAGAAGAAAATTTTATAACTAAATGTTAAAATACAGTTAACTTTACTGCCCATTTAAATCTAATTAAAATGATGAGAATGTTTGTTTTTCTTTAATATCTCAATGCAACATGCAAACAATACAAATATATGAAAACCTAATGGTAACATACGTATTTGTTTTGTTCACTGAGGCATGGACAACTTGGACACGGAGATGTAGAAGATGTGTTGGAACCTCGAGTTGTGGAAGCTTTGCATGGTCTGTTGATGAGAGAGGTGGCAGCAGGGGGTTGGCATACTGCCTGTATCGGTGGTAAGTATAGCATCAGATAACATACCTTTGAACATCATGCTAACAGTTATTGTGCACATCACAACATTTTACATTGTTGGCAAAAACTGACATAACTGAGAATGATAAAAGTAACATGCAAATCATCCACATAATAAAGGGCTAAGAAGCACTACTCATAATGAAATGAAGCCACAAGCTATAAATCTGACATCCTATGCAGGGTTTACTATTACACACGGTGCAGGTCTGCATCTGTGGTCATTTGAACTTAAACATATAGTATATACTGGGCTTAATGTTCCTTAATGTGGCGAACATAAATGACCATTGGACGCAGTCAAACGCCTTCACGGGATCGGTGGAGAGCAGTAGAAGCGGTTGTCGCGAATGCTTTGCTCGATGTTGGATTGCGAACAGGCGTAGTGTGCCTCTCCGAGCTTCTCGTCCCGGTATGAATCCTGTCTGGTCTACGTGGATCAGGGACGGCAACAGAGTTTGTAGTCTGGTGGCCAGAACTTTCGTGAACAGTTTAGTGTCCACGTTCAAGAGTGATATCAGGCGGTAGCTACCACATGACATCGGGTCCTTTCCAGGCTTTGGGATGACTGTTATGGTGGCAGCCAGCGATTCTGCTCCGAATTGTCCTCCGTCCACTATCGTGTTAACCGCCTTCGCCAACCAAGGTAGGAGTGTCCCTGAGAAATTTTTGTAGTATCCCGTGAAGAATCCATCGGGGCCCGGTGCCTTGCCGGCCTTGGTCGATTTCAATGCTGCTGCTAGTTCTTTCTCCGTTATTGGGGCTTCCAGTGCTGCCACCGTGTCCGCTTGTAGCCGTTTCAGGTCCGAGTTTTGCAGGTAGTCCTGTATCCCAGGTTCCTCCATGTCTGCTGGGCCGGGTCCATCCTGTGTCCTCAGGTTGTAGAGCGAGCTGTAGAATGCTCTGAACTCCTCAGAGATGTCGGTCGGGAACGTGGACGCGGAGCCGGACAAGAGACGGAGTTTGCTGACCTGCGAGCGAGGTGCGTTTCCTTTCAGTAATCGTCAAGAAATTTCCCCCTTTTATTGGCGTGGGCGTAAAAGAAGCCTTTGGAGTGTTGTAGAGAGCGTAGGTACCGCCATGTTAAAAGCTCTTTAAGTTGCCTCCCAGTGTGCATCAGTTCTTCGTAGGTTGCTATGAGCTGAGATCTCTTGAGTTGCGCTTCTAGTTCTGTGATTCATTTGTAAAGGTCGGCCATCTCTCGTTGTGTCTCCTTTTTTTGGGGTGTTTGTTAGCAGTAATTCTTAAAGTTCTCAGTACTTGTATTCTTAAATTGCCATGTGTGTCAAAAAAAAATCACCAATTATTATTTTTAACGCATCCTTTTATCTCAGCTACACTTAGAATTTGGCATGCCTTAACTCCCAAATTAGAGCTCTCATCCTTCCTGTCCCCGCTCCATCTACTGGTACATTACCCAGCATTCCCCCTTGGCCTTAAAACAGCTGTATACTCTGACTTCTTGGGACATATCATACCCCAAGTCCAAATATCTTATTGAGAATAGCAAAATTAAGACCTTATCTATTCTACTAGGGGACTCCCAGATCACCTTTATGCAAAATTCTGGTATAAACAATTTATCACTATTTCATTTAATAACCTACAACACCACCCCCAACTCCTGAGGGACCTGATCTCCTTTTAAAGCCTATGCTCAACATCTGAACCTTTGGAACATAGAGTAGCATTCTTCTAGGCAACTCTTCAGAACCAGGAGAAGGAGCCTCAAGGGCCATGGCTCCCTCTACATCATGCAGTGCCCCCACTTGCGCCTGCCCCCCACCCCCCAACTGAAATTGAAGTCGGGAGTCTTCCTTCACAAGCTGCAGCAGCAGCAGTGCTGTCAGTTCCCACTTGCCTGATGGACCGTGCGGCAGTGCACAGAGGTGGAAGTTCCCACGGCCAAAGGGGGCACTGTGCCTGGATTACTTCTGCCTAGGTCATAGAGAGCAGTGCAGGGGGGGTACAGGGAGATGAAATTCAGTTCTGCACAGAGGCATCCAGGCAGCTGCTGGTAAGTGTGAGGCAGTGTGTGTGTGCTTCAGTCTGTGTGTGTGTGTGGGGGGGAGGGGGTGTTCAGTCTGTGTGTGTGTAAGAGGCAGAACAGTCTGTGTGTGGGGAGGCAGTCAGTGTGTGTATGGGTCACTCTGTGTGGGGGGGCAGTCTATGTGTGTCTGTGGGGGGGGCAGTATGTGTGTCTGGCTCAGTCTGTGTGTGTGTGTGTATGTATGGGGGGGTCAGTCGGTGTGTATGGTTCGGTCTGTTTGTTTATGGGGGCTCAGTCTGTGTGTGTATGTGCATGGGTCAGTCTATGTGGGGGCAATTTGTGTGTATGGGTCAGTCTGTGTGTGTGTGTGAGTGTGGATCAGTCTGTGTGTGTGGGGGGGTCGGTCTGTGGGTTTGTGTGGGTCATTCTTTCTGGGGGGGGGAGGGGGTTGGTCTGTGGGTTTGTGTGGGTCAGTCTGTGTAAGTGCTTGAGCTCCAAAAGAGATGCCTCTCATCTTGTGACCTCCCCTATAGATAGGCATCCTTCTCAACCACCACGGATCTGATGGTGCCAACCCTCCGTGCAATGGTAAAGTAAGATCAAGGAAAGGGGAATATTCCTTTTTTTTTTTTTTTAAATAAAACAAAATTATTAAAGTTAAAATTGTAAAGCCCTTCCCTATCCCACTCTCTACACCCCTCACATACTTTACACTCCCACCAACACAGAGTACATCTTTGCACACACACAGTGCACCCCTCACACACTAAATCCCACACATCATCTCTTCACCCACATACACACATTATCCCCACAAACATTCACATCCCCACACACACATACATACTTTACCCCTGTACACACCGAATCTAATATAAATACATATATATATACACACACACACACCGTGTTTCCCCGAAAATAAGACATACCCATAAAATAAGCCGTAGCAGGATTTCTAAGCATTTGCGCAATATATGCCATACCCCGAAAATAAGACATAGTGATAGGCGTGGCTATTCAGCGGAGTGGTAAAGAAGATGGGCAGCCCTTCTCATCTGCTCCATCGTGACAGCTGCTATCTCGGAGGTGACCGGAGAGGTGCGGGCAGCCCCATCAACAAGGTCGGCTCCCTCTGTCAGGTCCCGGTCATTCTGTGCGTGCTGCAAGCTGAGGCATAGAGGGAGACATCGAAAGTGAAAGTAAAAGTCTCCTCAGTGAAGTGAGGAGCAGGACGCTCTGCTTTAGGTATTGTGTGTCCTCAGAGGGAAGAAGTAAAGCTGTGGCTGCCGTTTTACTCAGCACTGTGGGTCTCTCTCCCCCAGCACTGACCAGCAACAGTATGTTGTACCATACTTCATAAATATAAGACATCCCCTGAAAAAAAGCCATAGTGTGTCTTCTTGAGGAAAAATAAATATAAGACCGTGTCTTATTTTCAAGGAAACACAGGTGTGTGTGTGTGTGTGTATGTATGTGTGTGTATATATATATATATATATATATATATATATATATATATATATATATATATATATATACATACATACATACTGCAGCCCCTAGGTGCACACGCACACACTTTGCAGGCCCTTTCAGCACACACACAATCTCAATAGATCCTATACATGAGCACATGCTCACACTACATGAGTTACATGTAGTACACCATAAACAGACTCCTCTATACACACACTTCAAATTATCTTGCATCTCCTGAAAAGGTTTTCCAGTTTTCGTGAAAAGGTGTCTTGCCTGTAATAAGGAAGGCACAACGGTGGAAATACATGCAGTGCTGGTGTTGCGGTTACAGCGGGCCCATCGAGTGGCCCGTGCACTTAGGGTTACCCGATGGGCATGTGTCTTCAGGGGCCCAAAACAATTATTGCACCAGGGCCCTCTCTACATTCATTCCGCCACTGTGCAGCAGCTTTCCCGGCACACAAACTCTGCCCCGGCATAAAAGATTGCCTTCCCGTATGCAAACTCTGCCCCTACATGGAAGTTATGCCCCCACTCTCCAGCAGTGGACTTTGCTGCAGAAAGATGCCTGAAAATGGCCTCCCAGTTCTGCCATTGCCTCCAGTAACAGGTAGGCTTCTAATACTTAGCATGACAGAGTAATCTTGTATGTGCATGTGCCTGCTAGTGAGTGAGCGTTTGTGTGTGTCAGTGAGCTTGTCTGTAGTGAGCGTGTGTGTGTGGGTCAGTGAACTTGTCTGTGGTGAGCTTGTCTTGTCATTAATAAACTCAGCCATGGAGTCTGGTTCAGCCGCGGTGAAACTGGCACGGCGTTGGAAAACAGGCTTGTAAAAACACCTTTCTCAGGTAATCAGAGGAGGCAGGTACCTAAAGATACACTCACTGACAGGCACACAATATCTGACTGTGTGACACACACACACACATACACATTCTGACAAACATACACTGACAGGCACACACACACATTTTCTCACATACTCACAAATTGCTATTTTTATTTTAATTTAAATCCACCCAGCCTCTGTACCTTTGGGAGAATTGAGTGGATCTTTCCCTGGCGTCCAGTGGGGCTCCTCTCTAATCTTCCTGCAGTTTCTCTCTGCTCCCCTGTGCTTTCTGTAGTGATACCGCATCCGGAGTGAAGACATGTTACTAAACAGCGCGCAAGGGACTAGAGTGGAACTGCATGAAGGTTACTGCTCCCTGTGGCTGGCCTCAAAGCGGCCGGCTTCAGTGTTTCCTGCGCGGCTTAGCAGAGAGCTGACAAATCCCAGATGCCAGGGAGACCTTTCTTGTCACCATGGAGCCCTGTGTATATACATATATGTATACACACACATACACACTTTTTATAACTGCCCTCTACCCCTCCACCCAAATATGAATCCTGCAGACGCCACTCCAGTGAGGAGCCTGAACCAAAGTTGGGAGGTGGGATACCATGGGGAGGTTTAAATACCCTGTTTGATTTCCACCAACTAATACCCTTTTTAGAACTACTGTGGAAAACACAAATGTCCTATTTCATAAAACGATGCAATCCCCTTCGGTGCGCTCCAATTGCTATAAGATTTCCCACCTCAACGAAAGTATGTGTAATCCCCATCCCCCTTTTTTTTTTTTTCCCTCCACCTTCTGTTGTACCCGATGATATGTTTTAGCTACTGATTGTATGGATATTTTTGGGTTTGTTAAATATTAACTAGACTTGTATTGATAATTGATTCTTGAGCCGGACATTTAAATTTCAATAATAATTGATTCACAAAAAAGTGTTTATTTGTTATCAGATGTTATACTGGGGGGTGGGGCAGACAGAAGCCTAGGAGGTGCTACTTCCTGGTTGTTCAGCTCCATGGAGTTAAACTCAAAGGCAGGTACTTGCGCAGAGCACCTGCCTTTGAAATACTTCTCATTGAGCTGTGATACAGGTCATGGAAATTCTGGAAACCAGAAAATCTGTGCCCGGCAGGAAGGGGAAAGCTTGAAATTGACTCCCATAGAGAACATGCAAAACAAATGTACACACATTTTCCTTGGGATATATGTACTAAACTGTTAAACAATTGTATTTTTTTTAAATGAAGTGTTCCTTTAATTCACTGAAAATTTATCTTCTTCAGATCAGTTTACAGATGTCTGTTGATTAGTGCAGTTTTACCGTTTATTTCTTTTACCCTATAACTTTGCAGATGGTGGAGACATTTACTGCTGGGGATGGAATGAGTCTGGGCAACTTGGTCTGCCTTCCAAAACATTGGCTCAAGAACGTAAGCATATTTCCCATACAATTTCTGTATTGATTTGGCTCTCAGTGAAAATTAATAGAGACTCAATCTACTAGTACATTTTGATTTGTTTCAAATTAGGAGGGAATGTAGAAGAGACAGTAAATGAGGATGAAGATGCTGAAGCCGGACAGTTTATTACAATACAGTCTTTTCCTGCTTTGATTGATCTACCACAAGAATGTGAAGCATTGAAGATCAGCTGTGGGTCCCGCCATACAGCATCTGTCACAAGTGAGTGCAAATAATGGGGAGATGCATTCTAATGATCATTGCACTATCAATGAAAGAAAACATTAATTTCTAAGAAACCTTGTGTTTGGATTTTGCCTCATTGTGTTTGTTCTGTCGTGTTTGCTACTTGGTGTTAAAGATTGTCATCGGTACTGTGACAGACCGTCTGGAACCCCTCCGTCAGTCGATGCTCCTAGTGCTCACCAAGGACTCTAAGCACTCCACCAGACACAATCAGCACTATAGACTCCCACAAACCGCCACAGCTTGGTAGGGGATCTCGCCGACCTTCACCCACCATGGACCCAAGACCAGGATCCAGCTTCCAGTGGGTGAACCTCTCCTACTCCAGAGAGCGTAGCAGGAACAGCTCTTATAAGAGCTAGTGATTATAACCCAGGGGCGTATGAGTATAGCAATCCCCAGTGTGAGGGTGAAGAGGAACTGGTTTAATGGTAGCCACACTGGCCTTTGCCCATATGAACCTTGTTGGGAACTCCAATAAGAAGAGTGATTAAATGCATGACACTCCCATAACAAGCATACAATCCCTCCTCTCTGCCTGGGAGATAATTGAGTCAGATACTGTATCAATTCAATTATCTCCAGGCAAAAGAAACACATATTTCTAAAAAAAAAGTCCCAAAACACATAATATTACAACAAATGTTACATCCCCTGATAGCCCTGATCTGGGTGACCAACTTATCCAAAAATCACCCAGATCAGTTCAGGGGTTCAGAAATTTTATGGAAGTCATAGTTTTTACCGACCGCAGGCATGGTCCCATAGCTGAAAACAGTTCCACAGAATCGCGGCTAAGTGCCGCTGGAGAACCGACCGGGAACCGCAAAGTTTTCATGCTGAAAATAGTTCCAGGGCATTTGCGGCTAAGTCCCCCTGAGGTCTATTCTCGGTTTTGGTCCATGCGACAAGATGGCCGCCACCTCGTGGTCGTCCATAGGAATTGCGGCCACCCAAACGAACACTTGGACCACTGAGGTGGAAATTGCAACAATGTATCAATTAAGCTTAACAAGCTCCAACGTGGTCTCCGGTTCATGCGAATGCTCAGTTACCGAAACATATAATTCAAATAGACAAACTGAGACTTTTATATCACAGTTTACATGGTCCATAGTCTGAGGACAGGAGGCTGGCAAGCAGGCCCCTCCAAGGACTTGTGGCAAACTCACAGGAAAAGGGGAGTTAGTCACAGGTACCTTCAATAGAGAACAACAGGAGACGCTTGCAAAATTGTGGTGCTAGATTTCATATTCCACATCTACACCAGATATATTCTAGTTAATGTGCCCCGAAAGATTTTATAACATTTTTATAATGGTCTTGGGTCCATGGTGGGTGAAGGTCGGCGAGATCCCCTACCAAGCTGTGGCGGTTTGTGGGAGTCTATAGTGCTGATTGTGTCTGGTGGAGTGCTTATATATATAAATTTATATATATAAATTTAGAAATGTTTAAATATTGGTATGTACATTTGCAGATTGATGCCATTTGATACAGCAGTCTTAGCACTTACCCAAGTCAGTCACCAGCTAATGGACTCATTTTTGTAGTAGAAAAGTGTGTAATTAGTACAGGAAGCTTTGTTTAGTTATTTCAGTCGATTCCATATAAAAGGTCTTTGAGTGCAAGTTGCAGGAGTGATAGTCCGTGACCAGCGCTGCATGTGAGCTTCTCATTATGCATTGTGACCGCATGGCACTGGGTATTTGTAGAAAATGTACCTTTAAGATTTTCCTATTTCATTCTCCTACTTAAATACATTGTTTTTGTAAGCTCTTCCTGTTTTAAAAAAAAATGAAAAAAAATCATACACTAATTCAGTGGCTCTTCATCCATGTGTATGTACAGCAGAATACCTTCAATTCTAGAATAATGTATGATGCTATAGAATATACCTTTTTAGAATCTTATTTTAAATTAGGGGAGTGTACCTTGCTTTCACTATCAGTGCTTTAAGCCCTCTTTCTAAATAATGTGAAACTGGACTGTTTGCTGAACTTGGCCATCAATCAAGTTCTGCAGGTGAAGTTGGTAACCATTTTGGAAGTGCTGCCTACTCGTGGTACCTGTTACTTATTAAGGTTTCTTCAGGATGTGTTTGTCATTTGTACATTATGGTTTACAATGATTAAGAAATTATCTAACCAATGTTTTATGGAAACAAAGGTTCTTGTGCCAAATTATTTATTTATTTTTCAGGGTCTGGTGAACTGTATACATGGGGATGGGGTAAGTAAATAGCTTTTATACGGATTTATATAACGTTTGTTTGACATTATTAAAAATGTTTTTTACAATCTATATATTCTGGGATGGAACTGTGACTTGATCATGTTGACTTTTTTTACTTGACTTAAACTGCATACAAATCCATATATTTGCAACTTCCTCAGCAACTAGACATTTTATATAGGTTTACCATATCCAACTATGTTTTGCAGAGACACATCATTTTATAAAAACATATCAAAAGGGTTACCCTGCAGCATGTATAATGCATATTCTGCAGAATTCTTCATTGCTTAATTACTTAAAGGACCACTTCAACTCAATGAAGTGATCTGGGTGCCAGGTCCCTCTAGTTTTAACCCTGCAGCTGAAAACATAGCATTGAGTAATGCTTTCCTATTGGCAGTTTGAAAGTGTGCGCGGCTCCACTCGGGAGCTGACGTCGGAGGGGAGGAGAGGAAACCAACGCCGAGGGAGCCAGGCGCTGCATTAAAGTAAGTGGCTGAAGGGGGGGCCACGAGGGAGGGAACCTAATAACCCTATACTTGCCAGGAAAATGGGTTTGTGTTCCTGGCACTATAGTGCTTCTTTAATCTTATACATCTTCTGAATTCTGCCTATTATAGGGCAACCCTTTTCCAGTACTGCTCATCAATATGTATACGTGATGTGTATCCCTGAACGCATTGTGGATATGGTAATCCTAATTATATAATAATATACGTTGTCATAGTTTAAATCATTTGGGAGCTACTATATAACTATTTACCTGCTTCCTCTCACTCCAGCATCTTAAGGGGTTGGTGTGTATGTTACAGTGCTGTAACACCCACTCTCTGTTGGCACTCCTGCTGACAGAAAGTTTTTCAAGCAAAGTAATCCTCAGTTGCTGCTTCCACTGCCAGAACAATGGGTCAGTCCTGCATGAAACGGGGCTTAAGTTAAGGATAGCATCAAAGGGATTCTGTAGTGTTAGGAATACAAGCATGTATTCTTAGAATCCAGGAAGTGCCGCCGGTGGCTGTCTGATAGTTGTTTTACATTGCAGGACTAAGTGAGATAGGGATACTGCACGCAGACAGCTTTAATGAGATGTTTGGGTGCCAATAGTGTCCCTTAAAATGAAAATAACTTGGAAACCATTATAGATAAACTCAGCACTATATAACGCTGGTCTGTCATTGCAAATGCTTGATAAGGTGCGGTCACAGGGTATTGATTCATATGATCACAATATAATTTTGACCATTTATAAATCAATGGCAGTTATGTCGTGCTATTTTGGACATCAGTTTTAAAGAAAGATATTGCAGAACCAGGAGCATTATAGTGCCAAATAGGGCATATTACACAGAAAAGACACTCCCTCCAAAGGAATGGAGTAACCCTTTCAAGTGAAAGCAGCATCATGCTTGAGAAATGGCACTATTTAAATTTTACAATTTACACAAATCAAACCAGATGGCAGCTACGAAACTAACATGCTGTTGGTGATGCACTGAGTGGCTCCTATCACCTAGTGCTGGAACACAGTGTAGTATGAGAAAGGAAAGAGATATAAAGAAACAGACTACTTTGTCTGCATTTCTCCCCCACCTGATTATCTTAGCACCAGGACAAAGTCTGAGAGTCAGTCCTGACAACAGGCACCAGTGACAGTTGCATGGAATTGTCTGTGCAACACAAATAATAATAAAAAATAAAAAAAACTACACAAACACACACACACAAAAAATAATGGCATTACCTGCACATCGGCAATATCATAGTTGTGTGAATTTGCTAAATTGGCAAAGTCCCCAGACAGTGACAGTGCTGCTTTAAGAGATGTAGACAGGCATGAAATCCTAATGACTGGTAAAGTCCAGAAACAGATAGAAACGTATGCAGCACTATAGAAGTGTAGAAGGGATATTAGAAATGCTAGAGAGGAAAAAAATGCCTCTGGATCTCCATCAGTTATAAAAAAAGGCCTGGTTTTGTTTTTTCGTAGAGAGCAGACATTTTGTCTTGAAATTCTGATGTGAATCTGGCTAAATGGAAAACCTTAACTTCATATCAATGCTGAAAGCATTTGACACTCTTAGCCTATCACTAGCTAACCATTCAAAAGGGGCAAGGTGGATAGGAGCCATCTTTACAACTTTGCGGTTAAACAGTTTGCAAATGACTTAACCCCTTAAAAGGGACACTATAGTCACCAGCACAACTACAGCTTAATGTAGTTACACTGTATACAGGAAAGGACGCAGGACCTTTGCGGCAAACACTGTTTTTCCAGAGAAAAGGCAGTGTTTACATTGACAGTCATGCAGGTGGCCATCAGAAGTGCTACCTGGGTCAGTGATGAACAATGTGCCAAACACTCCTCTGCCTCCAGCCGGGCAGAGTGTCCCTTTAAGTAAAGCGGGTGGTGCTATACCCACACTCCAGTGTAGCAATCCCTAGCTATTCATACAAATCACTTCGCACAGCAAAGTTCCAATAAATGTTGTCTTACTTTACAATAGCTTTTTTTTTTTTTCGTTTAGGAAGATATGGACAACTTGGTCATGGAGACACAAACACCTTGGATCAACCAAAGTGTCTTGAATATTTTTCTAAGAACCAGCTTTGTGCAAAAGATGTGACTTGTAAATACTGGAATACATATGTCTTGTGCGATTAATAAATAATTAAGGTAATTTAATCCAATATGGTGAATAATTTGCAGCGCATCAGCTTCTGAATAGTAACAGATGTAATACTTGCATTTTCTTCAAAGAGGATGGTTGTAGTCACTGCAAAACTGCTTGTTCAAAGGGGGGTTCACCTGCTCTTCCTATCAATGAATTCTCTGTGCATTACTGTATTGAAAGGATTGAGTGACAAGTAAACATATTTAAATTTGAAGGAATTCAAAGTATACAATTTGAAACTAAAGAATAAAGTGCATCATAGCCACTCTAGTTTTTAAATCGGATAGTTTTGGGGGAGGGTAGTGTGGTTGCTGGCTAAAATGCTTAGTTTAGAGCCAAATCTGGCTCTCATTGTGTTATTAAAGGGACACTATAGCCACCTGAACAACTTTAGCTTAATGCAGCAGTTCTGGTGTACAGAACATGCCCCTGCAGCCTCACTGCTCAATTCTCTGCCATTTAGGAGTTAAATCCCTTTGTTTATGAACCCTAGTCACACCTCCCTGCATGTGACTTGCACAGCCTTCCATAAACACTTCCTGTAAAGAGAGCCCTATTTAGGCTTTCTTTATTGCAAGTTCTGTTTAATTAAGATTTCCTGGCTAATCATGGCAGCATCACTTATGGGTTAGCTCCGCCCCAATCAGGTACAGGACAGGAAAAATCAATTAATCTGGACCCGACTGGGGTATAAAAGGTCCCTCCTCCTTCCAACCCACAGTCTTTTTTCCTGTCCTTTCAGGACAAACAGGATAATTTTTTTTGGGCCACCTTCCCATGTGTACCATGGGCCTCCAGCTGAAGTTCAGCCTCTCTTCATCTGAAGAACTCAGTAAACAGCCTGCACAGGCAGGACTAACTGAGTTAGGTACAGATTATTATCTGTACCATGGAGTTGGAGAAATTATATATATATATATAAATAATTGATGTGGGGTCAGCTGTAGCTTTAAAAATCCCCCTGCTAAACATCAAAACCCCCCTGATCAGAAGGCAGAGTATTGTGGAGAAGCCAGTAATCATCAAAGTGGCTCCTCCTGGGAATAATTTGTGCAAAGCTTGCCTGGTGGTAGCAGCTAATGAATGGGAAAAGAAAAGTTCCCCACAGGCTGATTTAAAAAAAAATGGATACCAGAAGCTATTGCAGAAGGCTTCAAATTGTCAAATAAAATGATTACCTCTAAGCGTCCTAGAGTGGAGAGTTATGTAGAATCGGAAGAAGATTCTGACTTAGTGGAAGAATTTTCAGAGGAAGATAGTTGTCCAAGATCCCTGGATTCCAGGGCTGTGGATAAATTGGTTTATCTTATCAGAGAAAACTTAAGAATCCCTGAAGAAAGTACAGAAAAGAAGGAATCCGACAGATATTTCGAAGATCTGAAGTCCAACAGGCCCTCCTTTCCGGTCCACACTGCTATTAAGGAGGCCATCCAGGAAGAATGGAATAGACCAGAGAGAAAGGTTACATTAAAAACTAAAACTCCCAGACTATATCCGTATGCTCTAGAAGACTGCAGATCATGGATTTCTGTTCCAAAAATTGATGCGGCAGTGATCCATATGGCAAAAAGAACGACTCTTCCCATAGACTTCATGGCATACTTAAGAGAACCTATGGAAAAGCGATTGGACGCTAACCTTATCAAAGCATACCTGGCTCTGGGATCAGCATTACATCCCGCTATTGCCCTAACCACCTTGTCCAGAGCTCTCAAAATTTGGGTAGATAATTTAGAAGAGGATATTAATAGAGGAGTCCATAGAGAACACCTGATGGAGGGACTTAAGGATTTTAAATTAGCCACAGAATTTTGTTCTGAAGCTTCACTGGATGTTACCAAGATGGTAGCAAAAAGTATGGCACTGTCAGTAGCATCCAGAAAAGCATTATGGCTTCACTCCTGGGGGGCAGATTACGCTTCTAAGGCTTCCCTATGTGCGCTTCCCTTTCAAGGTGACCTCCTTTTTGGTAAAGTCTTAGAAGATGCAATTCATAAAGCAGCGGATGGGAGAAAAGCTTTTCTTCCAGAGGGGAAAAGAAGATTTAATGCATCTTACTGGAAAGATAAAAAATTCAGAGACCGATCCTTTCGAGATAGTAGAGCATATAGACCCGGCAAAGAATACAGAAATTCTAACTGGAGAAGCTATCAGTCCTCTACATCTAAACCTGTTAGAGGAAGAGGGTCTCGACCACCCACCAAAAACTTGTGAACGTTTGCTGGCCCAGCCAGATGTTATAGGAGGCAGGCTTCGCTTCTTTTATCCGGTTTGTGCCAAGAATATTCAAGATTCTTAGGTTCTGTCTATTCTAATGGAAGGATACAAGATAGAATTCAAGGAATTCCCTTATCAAAACTCTTTCATTCGTTCAAGAGTTTCAAAAGGAAGAAAAGAAATCGCTCTGAACAACAAAATTTCCCAGCTGCTGCAGAACAAGGTTATAGAAAAAGTTCCTTACAGAGAGCGCTTCAGCGGCCATTATTCCACTATATTTCTGGCCCCAAAACCCCAGGGAAAATGGCGTCTAATTTTGGATCTAAAGGGTCTGAATACAAAATTGATGACAAGAACATTCAAGATGGAGTCTATTACCACTATCCTGCCCAATATAAAGCCAGGGAACTGAATGACATCTATCGATCTCAAAGATGCCTATTATCAAATTTCTATTCACGACAGTCATCGCCGGTTCCTGAGGTTCTGGATTTCGGGGAATCACTACCAGTTCAAGGGACTTCCCTTCGGATTAAGTTTGGCCCCCAGAACGTTTTCAAAGATCCTTATTTCCCTGGTAGCCTTTATAAGACCAAAGAACATCAAGCTTTATCATTATCTCGACGATTTTTTAATAATAGGCCCATCCAGACATATTGTGAATCTCCACACCAGAATTACCATCTCATACCTTCAAGAGCATGGTTGGTTGATAAATCCCAAAAAGAGTTCTTTGGTTCCTTCACAGAGGATGATATTTCTGGGAGCAAATATAGATTGGGAGAAAGGCCTGGTATCCCTATCTACAGAAAGAAAGGAGCGAATCGTGAAGAAAATCAGAGGACTGCGTCAGGAATCCTACATCACAGCAAGAGAATTCATGAGCCTATTGGGGTCTCTTACTTCCACGATAGGCCTAGTGAAATGGGCCCAATGGAAGATGCGACCTATTCAGAGGCATTTTCTCATGCACTTCGATACAAAAACAGGGAATTGGGATCAGAAGATTTGTTTCCTCCCGAGGATTTCAACAGATCTGTATTGGTGGACAAAAGGGTTTCCCCTGGAAGAACCAGTTTGGATAACTATAACAACAGATGCCAGTCTCCTGGGATGGGGAGCACACTTGAACAACTCGTGGATTCAAGGAACATGGTCATGGAAGGAGTCAAAACTTCATTCGAATTTAAGAGAAATGAGAGCAGTTCTCAGGGCGCTAAAGGGGTTCCGTCATCTCCTGAGGAATGCTTGGGTGAGAATATATATACAGACAACAGAGCGGTCGCATCTTATATAAATCATCAGAGAGGCACCCGAAGCTATTCTCTTCTGATGGAACTATCTCCTATAATGAAGTTTGCGCAACGCCATTTACAAGGGTTGAAAGCTGTTTACATTCCAGGGCCAGAAAATTTATTAGCAGATTTATCTCAACAGAACAAGGATTCTCCAGGGAGAGTGAAAGTTACATCCGGACGTATTTCAGTTGATTACCCTGAGGTGGGGAGTTCCCTCGATCGATATTATGGCATCATACAACAATACCCAGGTAGAAAAGTTTTACTCTTTACATGCGGATCCTCGAGCAGCAGGACAGGATGCTCTGTCCCTTACATGGAAATTCGACCTGGGGTACGCATTCCCTCCCCTACCTATGATTTACAGACTACTAAGAAAGATATGGAAAGAAGGTCTGAAGGTAATTGCCATCATCCCAATTTGGCCTCGCAGACCTTGGATTCCTCTCCTGAACAAGATGAGCCTGGAACCTCCTTGGCCTCTTCCTCACAGACCAGACATCTTGACCCAGGAACCGGCTGTTCATCCAAACCCCAACCAGCTGAAATTGGGGGCATGGCTCTTGAAAAGGAGAGACTTCTATCTCAAGGCATTTCTGAGCCTGTGGTTAATACCTTCCTCAAATCCAGAAAAGGGTCGACTTCTTCTTGCTACCATAAGATATGGGAGGTGTTTCGTCTCTAGCTAACAACGTTGATTTCCTGCAGCCCTCTAACATCAATATTCTAAATTTTCTTCATACAGGCCTGGAAAAAGGACTGAGCCTTAGTACTCTGAAAGTCCAATCATCATCTTTATCTGCCCTCTGCAACAAGTCATGGGCATCTAATCCTATTATTGCCAGATTCTTTAAAGCAACTATTGGCATAAGACCTCCGAAAAGGAATTATTCTCCGCCTTGGAATTTACCTATGGTATTAGAGGTTTTGTCTGAAAACCCCTTTGCTCCCTTAGATGAGCTGGGTATTGTCTTACTAACATAAGACCTTGTTTTTGGTGGCTATAACTACAGCAAAACGCATGTCAGAAATCCATGCATTCTCTTGTGATGAAAACCATTTCCAGGTATTTCACGACAGAGTGTTTTTAAGACCTAAACAAGAATTTCTGCCTAAAGTAGTCTCGAATTTCCACATTCTGCAGAAAGTTGTTATCCCTTCTTTTTAGCCATCTCCTTCTTCTCCAGAAGAAGTGAAACTTCATCAGTTGGACGTCAGACAGTGTCTACTCAAATACGTCGAAGTTTCAAATCAATTTCGAAAGTCTCATCAGCTATTTGTTCTGCCGATAGGTCCCAGGAGAGGGGAAGCAGCATCTACCTCCACCTTGAGACGCTGGATCTCCAATACTATAATCAAGGCTTATCAATTAAAAGACCTTACTCCTCCTAGTAAGATAAAGTCTCACTCTACAAGGGCTTTGGCAACATCTTGGGCAGATTGGGCAGAAGTTCCAGCTGACGACATCTGTAAGGCAGCTACCTTGTCTTCACCTCTTACGTTCATAAAGCACTACAAACTGGATTTGGCATCATCCTCTACGGCTTTTGGTAGAGGTGTTCTATCCTCTGTTGAATCAATCTAATTAAACTTATTTCAGCATTATCTGGTTTAGAGTAATTTTTTTTTTTTCCCCTCCCTATGGTGAAGCTTGGGTATTACCCATAAGTGATGCTGCCATGATTAGCCAGGAATACAGAACATTTTATCATACTTACCGTAATTTTCTTTTCCTGGCTATTATTCATGGCAGCATCAGCAACCCTCCCTTAAGTATTTATGACGCTTTGGAACTCGACTGTAGGTTGGAAGGAGGAGGGACCTTTTATACCCCAGTCGGGTCCAGATTAATTGATTTTTCCTGTCCTGTACCTGATTGGGGCGGCGCTAACCCATAAGTGATGCTGCCATGACTAATAGCCAGGAAAATAAAATTACGGTAAGTATGATAAAATTTTCTGTATTTCTTAGCCCCTGCTATGTTAATAGCTTGCTAGACCCTGCAAGAGCCTCCTGTATGTGATTAACGTTCAATTTAGAGATTGACATACAATTATTTAAGGTAAATTACATCTGTTTGAAAGTGAAACCAGGTTTTTTTTCATGCAGGCTCTGTCAATCATAGCCAAGGGAGGTGTGGCTAGGGCTGCATAAACAGAAACAAAGTGATTTAACTCCTAAATGACAGTGAATTGAGCAGTGAAATTGCAGGGGAATGATCTATACACTAAAACTGCTTTATTTAGCTAAAGTAATTTAGGTGACTATAGTGTTCCTTTAATAACTATTGGATAAATACTGTAGGTTAGGAAGGACAGAATGGGAGCAGTGCCATCACATAACACTGTATGCAGCATCTAGGGTGGTGGATACGCCACATATCCATACTTTAGAATGGAAAAAGTAAGACAGAGTAGGCAAAAGGCTGACATGCAGGAAACCATTACATTGAAAAACTATAAGGAGAAGCATTTAAAAAAAATAGTTTATTCTCCCAGTCTAAACAAATACTAACAAAACTGCTAGCACAGTGTATCGATGAAGTTTCATGATTATTTATTTTAATAACAAAACAAAGCAGGATCAGTTTGGGGGGGGGCAAGAGGTTCCCTGTAACCTCTAGGAGATGCTGTAAAAATTTAGCAAATAACATAATCCAGTTCAAACACAAAGTAATGGAAACATTGCAATGGTTTTCTCTTTGCCAGGTGCACTGGACAGAGGTGTGGGTTTCTACATTTAAATTGTCACACCTCACACATTTGTTTGTTTAAAAAGTCGTTGTGGGCACCCAAAACCACTTCAGCTCATTGAAGTGGTCTGGGTACAGTATCCCTATTGCACTTTTAGAGAAACTGCAATGTTTACATTGCAGCAATAAGTCTGCCTCCAGTGGCGGTCTACTAGACACACTTCTGGAATGTTACCGGACATTTGGTCCCATAACAGATGCTGGACGTCCACATGCCCTGCATTAGGACATCCAGCATCAGCTATTTCTCCTAAGAGGAGGGCATAACGCACGTGCGGTACTTGCCGCGCATCCCTGTCGAGTGAAGTCAGAGGAGATGGAGCCGAGACATACATACCTATAGATTGTGATCTTTGCCATTGGCAGATGCACACTAGGTATTATGAGGTGTCATCTGAAGGCAAGGAGGTTGCACATTGTACAGCTCCGTCCATTTGATGATATGCCGATTGCAAAGATATTAGATTTTCAGTTAGGAATACATTTTTAAGGTTTAGATTTGTGGTCTTTTTAAAATCAAAAGTATTGCTTGAATCCATATCTACCACAGATTCTCCACACAAAGTATGTATGCATGCATTATGTAAGTCAGCTACAGATTTGTGAATATCCGGCATCAAAACAGAAACCAGAACAAGTAGTAGTGTATATATTTTAATTTACTATACAGGTACTGTACAAGTCAAAAAGAAGTACATAAGACAAGTTGCCACAGCCTTTTGATTTTTTTTTGGCAAATGATGCAGAGGGAACAGGTTTTAAAAACATGTATGATTAGAGAATTGGAAGAGGATGGCTAAGAAATACAGATACCCCAATATAACCATTTACACAAAAATACCTGTAAAAGAGCGGACTAGCAATTGGCATGGACTTGACACCACTATTTATGGATTTACCACTACACAAATTGGTTTAGCCAAAATGACAAAGTTTGCCCCAAAGCAGACCAGGAAAAGTTTGCTATTATATAGGATTACTAGTTTTTGTGAATCAACACCAGACTATTGAGCTTGGAATTCAGCTCTTATACAAGTTACTGTGAAAGTTGCAGTTTTATTCATCTGCTCACAAAGATGGGCAACCAAGTAAATGAAAATGTTTGACAACTTTCCCATTTCTTCAAAGATCTTATAAACTATGCTACATTTATGCATCAATGCATTGCATAAAACACCAAGAAAAAAATAAATAAAAAGCAGGGGGGATTTATGTGGTTCTGCTCACTCCACTTGCCATATCTTTAATGCAAGAGGTACAAATTTCTATTCCGTATTAATAAGTTTTAGTCATCAGACCCAAGCCTTTCTGTGCTCTTTCCAGAGTCCTATTTATTTTTATTTTTTTTTAACTACAAAAAAGTTAAAATTCTAATCCAGAGCCGTCCCAGTGTAGCTCTTCTGAACATCTCCTGTTGTATAGGGCCGTCTTCCACAGACAGCTGTGGATCTAGAATCTGTTCTACTGAGTGCTGTGTTTGGCAAATTAAAGCAGGTTTAGTGCTAAGTAAGGGAACAACACAGTTCACCTAATAAAATGCAAATAAGTTGTTTTAAAAGCATAGATCCTGTTGAGGATTACACTAGTTCTTGCCCCTGTATGACTAATGAATCTGCAAAGTTGTCACAGTCACATTCAGCTTCTGTACACCAGCACTTTAACAGTCCTAAAGGAGTGCATTACATCACCCTATGCTGCTATATCAGTGGATGAAATGAGGAAACAATATAGCAGTGAAAAATATTTATAAAAAAAACTCACAACTCTACAACAACACTAAAAAGTGTGTCAAATGAATGCATATTTTTTTTTTTTTTAAATATGAAAGAATAAAAAAACATTTTCCTTTGAATGTGTTGGCTATCAATAACCCCAAATGGCTTTGAGGATTGAAAGGCTATTGACATCAAACATGGAATCTCATACAGATGTATATGTGCAACAGCGAAATAGGTCTGCATGATACTTCCTTATCAATCAAAATGCCCTATGCTGGATACTTCTACATCAAAATAAAATGGGATTTAAATGTCAGCAAGTAATTTACACCAACACGTATAATTCTAGAATGTTTGTACCATCATTACATTTTACAATGTTTTATTCATGAATTAAAAGCAAACTAGCCAATTTTTTTCTGTAACAAAATGTATATAAATATGACATTTAACTTTTTGAAATTACTGTTAAATTTAGGGGCTTGTTTACTAGGAATAGCAATAGAATTAATGGATGCATGGTACACAATGAGAATAGCTACATGGACTAGATCCTTTATGTGCTGCTGAATTGTGCCCTCTCTACCTACAGTTGAGATTTGACAATATAACATCCATGTTCCTTGACCAGTCTTTGTCAGGCAAAGGATCATTGAAGTTGCATGCAAAATACCCAGACAATCCTACTATGCATCATTAGGCAAAAAAATAAAATAATTTTAAAAAGCTTTGTAGAACAGTTGTAGTGACATCATAAAAAGGTGCAAAGGTATTCATGATTACATAAAAACCGTATATATACACAAATAAAACATTAAACCTTGTGAGAACTAGAGTCTTGTGTAAAGGAATATGATCTTATTAAATATATTCCAACTTAAATCGCAAAATAGAGGATATATGCAAACGAATTGTTGCAAAAATAATCAGTTCAGCAACTTTCCTGGGAGCTAGTTGATTAATTAGCTAAGGAGATGAGAGAGAGTGCAAAATATGCGCGATAAACAACACGGCCTGCAGTACGTGTTCTCCTCAAACGAGGCAATTCGATTTTATCTGGAACTCCAGAACTCTGATATGAGACTGCACAGATGGGTTTTAAACGTGAAAATTCACGTTGCCATTAGGTCTTTTCTTTAATTTTCCGTGGAAGTCTGGATGTTACGTACGAGTAATAGTTGAGTTCAGAATTCGAGGGTTTGCATCAGATTTTGTAGCTTTTGAAAGTTCTCGCTGCAAGACAGAAGTAAATATTTTTACAGAGCTTGAAAGCAACCATTCATAAAATGAAAAAAAAATAAAATAGGGTGATATTTTTATTTAATTTTTAGTTGAGGGGAGAAATCACTAGCCTGCTTGGCTATTACTTTAAGAGTACTATACACATGTACACTGCCCTGTACAGTTTAACTTTATAGACTATGCAGGAATACAATATAAAAGGAAAAAAACTAATTTGAGAATTTTAGGGCACAAGACATAAAAAAATAAATAAATGCACAAACCATAGCCAATAAATCTCACATTGTCAACTTTACTCTAATCACAAATGTAAAACAGTTCATATGAAGCTCTGGGTGCAAGTATTATTAACCTACAAAAGGTTACCTAATCCAAAAAAAAGTAACACTGCTTGACATTAAATACACATTTGTTTTACACTATTAAAGCTTTAAAACACATTAAATTCTTTGCTTTTAAACCTGGTTTACAGACCCATTTTCTCAGAACTAAATGAGCCCACCGTTCTAAATTTTGATTTGTACAGATCTTACACAGCTGCCAAAATACATTGGGGTTGTTCTGAACTAAATGTTTGTGTCCAATGTAATATTTGAATTCTTCTTCTAGCCATGTCAAAAGACATATGTGCCTAAACTAACACTCCTTTCCGGCTGCTGGGATCAGCATAGTAAAGGGTTACTCTGACCAAAAAAAATTTTATTCCATGAAGAAAATCAGGCCTAAAAGAACACTTTAAAGTCCATAACCAACATGCTATTATAGTAGTCATATATTTGAATAAAGTTTCCTAGCCCTATATTTTAAATCTTTGTCATTTTCTTTATATTCATGTCAATATTACTGTCAATATTCTAGCTTTTCTTCCAAGTACAGCTGTTCTAAGCCAGTCAGGGATCAGTATTGTGTGCCTGCTTCCAGTACAGCTAGCACATATTTAGCAAAAATCCCCTAAAGCATACACTTCAACATTGGGAGTTAATGGAATGGGGTCGGGTGGGTACCAGTGACACAACTTGAGTGCCACTCACTAAAGCGCCTGGTGTCCAGCACCATAGGCTGACAAAGAAGCACTGACTGCACTGGTCCAAGTGCGTCTATGACGTGCTCATGTTGTGCTACCCAGAGACAATTATATTGTGGGGCAGTTAAGAGCCTTGCATAAAGGGACATCCCCTCTTCAGATGCAATGCCTGGGCAGTGGAAGGTAGATATACTTGCCTTATGTTATCCCATGCAGACCTTTTCAGCTCCTGGCGCTTTATCCACCAGTAGTCAAGTCAATGCTGTACTCTTATGCATAAGTACAACATTGATATGTATGGAGGATCCTGAAAGATCCTTCACAAACCAAGTATCGTTATCTATAGGAAGTCATATTCCCACCACTGCTTGCAACAAAACTGGAAAGCGGCAACTTTGCCTTTTTGTAAAGTTTTGTCAACTTTAGGCTTACCCATAACACAAAATAGTTAGTTCTTTGTCATATATTTTGACTGCTTTGGAATTGAAATAAATGCTGAAAACACAATCAATTGTTATAAGATTCTATCCTTAAAAATTAAATCACAATAAATTGTTTGGAGAGAGCTACTTTAACCTGAAAAAAAAATTGACAAGGATTTAAAAAGGTCCAGGGACAGGTTTCTAGCGCCAACACAAAAAGTGATAGTTCTTGTGGTGCTTATAGTGTGTTCATTTTATTTTAAGCGGAATAAGTGCCAATTGTTAATATAGCAACAGCAAGAAGATGAAGCCATGTACTAAGGAGCTTCTGCAAAACAAAACATGGTTAGTTGGGTTAATAAAAAGACATTTACATACAGTTAGCAATAGCACAGCAAATCGTGCTAGGAATGAAAGCAGTTACACAGTCAGGATCAGCTTGCTCTATGTACAGTCTGTGTGCAATGACTGGCAGGTAAGCAGGATCTGCAACATTAACATGAATACAATATAACCAAGCACAAAGAGGAAAAAAAAAAAATGAAATAAGGTAAATGTTAGTAGCTGGAATGGAAACCAGGGTGCTGAGGAAGAGTGGGAGTTGTTCAGTGTATGTTACCGTAGCCTTTAGGACAGAACGTAACTTAGAGGTTTATTCACATAGAGCAGACTAAGCTAAATCCAAGGAGATGCTGGTATGTATATGGCCTTAGTGAACACACTGGGGTTTTCTCTCTTTCCCACTATACTCCGTATTGTGGAGAATTTGCAGGTGAATTACTTGTTTTAGGCCCGAATAGTGCAACTCCCTTGCTAATTCTCAACTAGAACTGTACAAGTGAGTAACCCTCCTGTGAATTTGAAAGTGGTTTTCCCTACAAGTTAAAGAGTTACTGCATGCATCATGACAACGTCAGCATTTTAAAGTGGTCATGGTGCAAGGACCAGTATGAAACGCGCACATACCGAATCATGCAGCTAGTTACTGGAGGTGGATCTCCATTACTGGAAGCTTTCATTAGTCTGTATGGATCATGTGTCCTTGGCTTGCTAGTGTTAATTTTGTGGATATTCTATGCACAGATATTCATTTGGTGAACGGCAGTGCTCAGCTGATGACAATGAATGAATGGCAGGATTGAAGTCTAGCCTCTGCAGAAACCAGATGTCATTTTGCCACCATTCATTGTGACCCGACACCCAGCAGGACCCAGAGAAATGACAAACCATTGTAAAGTTTCCTCCTTACTGGTAGAAACTTGACAGTGTACGCTTGGTACCATAACTACTACAGCAGACTAGAGTGGCTATGAAACTTTGAGTAACCGTGGACACATTTTTAACTTTTGTTTTGGCACCAATACTTCAATTTACACAGATACTTGTAGTTATGTCCGAGCGTGCCCCTTTAAGATGCCAATACATACATTTCTACACTTTTAACCTGTGTTTAATTTTGCAGTTCAGTGAATAAACCACTAAGAGAAGGCTTAGTATAGTTCCCCAAAGGCATGCACCAGGTATGGATATATGTGGTGAATACAGACCTGGAGTTTGAGTTTGTGGTTGTGGAGTCAATATGAGTAGAATCCCTCTATAAACAAGAAATATGAATGGTGACATGTATTAACCTTTATTTTACACCCCTTTGACTAAATGGATATGTTTGATCCTGTCTTGTGTTGTCTAAAGTGCATAATAAGGACATCCAAAATATTAATCTGTACTGTCAAGCATTGTCTATCTGCATATATCTGACCCACTCCATAACCCAAAGATCTGTCCTACCCGACCACTGTATTGTCTTTCTAAGCAGCAGTGCATTTCTATGGCAAGTGTTTGTGACAACAGGTGCATTTCTACGGCAAGGGTTTGTGACACAGCAGGTGCATTTGGTGAGCTAGCTGGGCACTCTAAGTTTGGATTGTTTTGTGACCATTGAAGTAATACAAATAGAGAATAACTTAGCAGACATACCTGCTTATTTTTAAAACTCCATTAAGTATAAATAGAAAAAGTTTAGCAGACAAATTTCTTGTTAGCAATGGAAAGTTACTAGTCCACTCAAATTTGTATACATGACAAAACAGAAATTCGGTTATTTGCTGGGTTTTATCACACAAATCAGAGCCAGAAGATTTACTGAAGAGGGATTACTTTCTTTCAGATATAACACATGCAATTAATAAAAATACAGTGTGTTTGAGGCAGGTTAGGGTTAAATCCACCTTGTAGAGTCCTTAATGCATATTGAAGCATGGCAGGGAGCTCTAGTATCAAGCAGGAAGATGTAGAATTTCAGGAAAGGGTCTGGGTTTAATAGAAACTATATACACACACACACACACACACACCACAAATATTGTTGGTGATATAATTAATGGGTTCTATACTATACCCTTCTAGAAGTCAACATTTTATATGCTGGGTTATGGAATTACAATGCATGCAAGTATTTGGATTGTGATTAGAGGAGTTTTGCGGTACCGTGCTTTCTAAATCACTAGATTTTTTTGCCATGCAGCAGCATTAAAATCAGCAAAACTCTGCTGTTCTACCAGGCATGCGAAAATAAAATATTGACGCTTTCCTGACTGTGTGCTGCTTTGTGATTGAAAGCTTTTTGGCCTCTTGGCTTAGAAAAGGTGAATTACCGCAAACTCAGAATAGGTGCTGGCAACAGAGTTAACGCTGATGTTACGCTGGGCAGGAATTGAGAGATGGCACCCACCGCTCATAGCGGTTCCATTTAGCTGGGACATATTTTCTTTGTTCTTCTCTAGCCGTTTTGATTGTGGAGTCTTGAACACTCTACTTGGGGTCCGTGAAGGCAGTCCTTGCTAAAATGGGGAAAGATCACATTGAAATACCGGATAGAAAAACAAAACAGTAATAGCAAAATACAGGTCAGGTTGCTATTAAGTCATAGCGTTTAATTACAGCTCTTCTCAATTCTCTGCAATCCGTAGTGGTACATAGTAGTTATAGCTTTAAAAGAAAATAGTATTCTGAGGAGAACATTGCAAAATTCAGAGGCCAGAAAGCAGAATTCTAAACACTGGTCAGCAATATTAGAGTTGCCCATCTAAACAAGTGTATGTACTGCAGCACCACATCATTGCTGCTTCCATCTGAGATTAGAGGTCATTGTCCTATGGTGTGATGGAATATATAGCACCATTGGAATCACTACATTCATTCACTGACATGACTAGTGTGAAAGCATGTGTAGCTCTTTTTTGCAAACAGAATATTCAATAGAATGTACAGCTCCAAACTTACATATATGTTTAGGTTTAATAATTTTAATTTCACAACACCTATTTTAAACAATTCCAGAAATGTCATGTTCTTGTTACATGGCAGAAAAGTATTCTGATTGAAGATGTAGGTCTGCATGACAACCTTGCTTCAAGTCTCCTTAAAGCTACTATTACATTCAATAACCTATTCCTTACACTACAACAGAAAACATTTCAGCAGTGAGGAAAAGAAAGCAAAGTGAGGAAGGATTATTTGTGCCATTAAAAGCTTAAAAATATTAATGCAGCATTTGTAATGGAGACCAAGAAGCCATCGCATATCAGTGCAGGTTACTAACCTTGCCACTAGCGAGTGGAGGACGTGTCACAGGAGAGTGGCAAAGTGTTCCACTGAATGCAGAGCGCATGGTGCTGTTGGTAGCACTGGAGACAGAGGTGCCATGAAGCTGAGGGCAAAAAGCATGGAAAAATTAGGGGAGCAGAAATAACATGCACATGCAATGTGTTAACAGTGTAAAATACATGCATTGAGTGCAAAATAAAAAAAAAAAGTGTTTTTTCCATAAACAAGAAATCGTGGAAAATGTAAAATTATGCTGAAAATTGGCTCCTTTGCCATTCAAAGGGGAAAAATGAAGTTCTTACTAAAACACCCCTTCTAGAAGAATCAGTTCTGTTTATTTAATATTCAAATTGACATTAACATTAAGAGGTAATTGGCAGATGAGCGCATCAGGGCCACTCATGCCCCCAGAACAACTTAAATGACCACTCTAGGTACCCAGACCACTTCAGCTTAATGAAGTGGTCTGGGTGCCTGGTCCAGCTAGGGTTAACCCATTTTTTTTTTTTTTTTAAATATGTTTATAAATGGGTTAATCCAGCCTCCAAATCCTCTAGTGGCTGTCTCATTGACAGCCGCTAGCGTGCTTCTCACTGCGAAAATCACAGTGAGAACACGCAAGCGTCTATAGGAAAGCAATATGAATGCTTTCCTATGAGACCGGCTGAATGCGCGCGCAGCTGTTGCCGCGCATGCAGCCCAGGAGGAGGATCGAAGGCTGAGAGCTTACTTAGCAAGATAAAGCACTGTAGAGATTAAAACACCTAATCACAAACAGTAGCCCCATTTCAGTTTTCGGAAGGTTTGTTTAAATTTACAATAGCATGTTTCACTGAGCAATTAATGTCCATAAGGAATTTATTTATTTTTAAAGGAATACTTCCACTCCCATAACGTAAAGTGGCTCTGTCATCCTATACTTAACTTGTGTCAATCTTTCCTCTTCTCCTTATTCCTAATCTGTTCTTTTTCTACAAAAATAGACAAGGCACCATAGGAACTATTTTGCCTTATGCATTTTTCTTCCACTTGACAACACCTGGCACAACTTTTGTTTGGCTTTGTCACTTGCCAGAGTTTGAGGAATAAGGCATTTACTTTCGCATCAAGAGACCATGTCAATAATGGCTCTCATGTTGGGTAGGGGCACTGCTGATTGGCTACAGCAGTCAGCCGACACTAAGACAACGAGTAGGGGTGTGTGTGTGTGTGTTACATATATTCCTACTCATTTACACTGTGTCCTGGCTGTGCATGGACAGAATTGGATTGTGTTGCTATTTGTTAATGCTTCTGTATACACTTTATATATACAGAATGCATGTATACATAAAATGGAGCATCACTTGGGGGAAAAAAATTTTTTTAACCCCTTAAGGACCAAACTTCTGGAATAAAAGGGAATCATGACATGTCACGTGTCCTTAAGGGGTTAAAGTCTTATTCAGGTGTGTAATTTTCAGAGAAGTGACAGGCCCAAGTTGTTCTAGGGGCAGTGGTGTCCGGGCATTTTCTTACCGCCAGGTGTTAAACCATTTGGAAATGGTGTAAACCCGAAGTAGGCGCTCCAGAACCTGGCACTTGCTTTCCTCTCTACACAGCAGTATAAGAAAGTGTTAACTCAGTGGCAGCTGAGAGCATCAGGTGTGTCCGGCCACTCTTGCTCCCAGAACAACGTAAACAAACAAGTTATTAGAAGATTGAGAGTGTTCCTTGGACTGTGTTAATGGGCTGTATGAAGGTTTGTCAATGTCAAGGCTGAACATACCTTACGAACTTTACCAGGGGTAGTAGACCCAAGAACTCTCCGTTTGGTAGGAGTCTTTGGGACACTTCCATAGATCATCTCCTCTTCCAACTGTCTGTTTTTCTTTATTTGCTGTATTAAAAACAAAAAGTGTACTACCTGATTAATCTCTGGGAACAAAATAAATGCCATGTGCTCGGGTCAGATTCAAAGAGAAATTGACCTGTCATAGCAGGTCATTTTAATTTATTTTGGTATAAGAAACGTATTAGAATGTGCCTTTCTGATGTTAAAGAAGCACACTCCAAACACAATATTGTCTCAGTACACGATCATCGCTGAGCTTATTCAAGGCACCAGTCTACATAGTGAGTTACAGTGGATTATTGTAACAAATCACCTCCACTGCCATACATCTGTCTATATAAAAGGTGTGATTGTGGAATATTTGGTCTTTGCAGATCTACTGCCATACACCAGTATACAGAAGGTTGTTTTTGTGGATTATTATAGCTGTGCAGGTCTATCGCCATACACCAGTATACATAAGTGTGTGATTTTGGGATCAACAAACTGATGGTTAACACCACTGGGTTGGGGTAGGAGTAAGATGGGTAACAGAATGTTAACTAGTTTAAAACCAAACTCTAAACAGACTAGTACTGCCATGGTGTGAATACTGGCAAAATAAATAAATAGAAAATATCTTGAAATCAAAACCCATGTTTCAGGACAAGTATCCTTACCCTCTCTTGTTTCTCCCTCTCTTTCTCCATGTTTAATTGTTCCCATTGCTCCGTAACATAGTCCATGAATTTTTTACCATTAACAAAAAATTCTTGATCCTGTTCCTGCTCCCAGCCCGCAATGCGAACTCTTAACTCTTCTTCCAGCTACACAGGAGAAAAAAAAACACTATTATATACACAATCCAGATGTATTAATACATGTACTATATCCACTGCTCCAACTACTCTAGGTAAAGGCTGCTACAACTAAAAACCCACATGGATTTATCCACATCTTAACTGGGGACAATGGGTAGATACCAGGCTGTTGTAGAACTAAGCCGGCCTTAACGGTTGGCAAGCATAATTTTAATTATCTAACAGCTGAGGTCTACATCAGATCTAATCTAAAAGAAAGAAATTAATTGGTTTCACAAAAAATAACCACACAAAATGTAAAGAAATATTGTCAATGTCATGTGTGGATAAAAGCTTCAGAGCCAGAAATCATGCAGTCTGTGGGCTCCCACACTTATCATTGAACCAAATTAATTTCTCTAAATCAGGTATGCAATTGGGACAGGGTGTGGGCAGGCCTTGAGAAGGAGCTGGTCATACATACTGGTGTCAAGTACTCCAGAGACAGACAGTCTCCTGGCCAGCCCCATTTTATGGCAGACCATGCAAAGAGCACTGCTGAAACACTCTGAATGGTCCTAGAGCTCTCACCACAGTGCGAGCAGTGAAAATGATGAATGAAGTTGAGAATATGGAACCCCCTAATCTCTTTCAGGATGCGTTTCAGCGCAGTGTTCAAAGATATAAAATGACCCAACCATTGTTATTCACTAAAGTGAGAATTCAAAATGAATTAGCGGACTTTTTTTTACCTCAAATCTGAAATTCACTCTGTAAAAAATCCTGAAATTATTGAAAGACACAGAAAGCACTAGAATAATAATTGTACAGTAAATAGAAGAGGCATTGCATACTGGCTGACACTACCTTTGGAAGCATTTTCTGCAGCTTTGCCCTCTGCTTTTCTTCTTTTAGCAGGTTACCTCCACGGTTATTGAATCTGTTGGGGTCTGTTGCTTTTTTCTACAATGAAAATCAAAGCAGAATATATAGGAACAATGTAAAGCTTCAACGAGAGCAGCAGCTCTCTACAGTTTAAAGATTTAGAAAATCTACAACTCTCCTAAACAGGACATTTTCCAGTAGGACTAATCTGGTCTGTATAGTCGGTGATTGACAGTTTGCCATTTAGCTAATAAACGGCAGTGTGTATTAATGCGCCAAACCAGATCGCTTCAGTTAAGCTCAGTTTATAGCTATTAAAACATAAGATTGTACAAATGAAACATGGAAGGTCAAAAACCACTTTACCAAATTGTTTTGTTTTTCCCCCTTTTTAACGCAAGTCTGATTATTGTACTTCTGCCTTGGATCCATTGTGATTTTTCTTTTATGATTAACAGTGTTGAGATGAGACATTGTAGGAGTTCTTCTCCCTATGAAAAGAACTCCTGCAAAGTCTCTCATCTCCACACTTTTAAACCATGAAATAAAAATCACAATGGATCCAAGACAGAAGTATGAGACGTTAAAGGGGAGGAACCAGGGACTAGTGGCCTGCACCTGCTGCAGACCTACCTTAAAGGAAGTTATCAGTAGTACAAAAAAAAAAAACAAACAAAAAAAAACACATTTAGTCTCATGGCTTTATAGGGCGTATAGGGCACAGTACAGGGCAGCTGAAGTGGTCATGGAAGTGGTGCCTGGAGTTTGTTGCCCTGGATCATGCATTACAGCCAACTTGCCGATTTACTCGTCGGTCCCTGGCCTTAAGGCACTTAAAACTTATTAAATCTCTGGCTTTATTAACCGGCAAAAAATTAAATACTTTTGCTTCGTCCAAAGCAATTTTTTTGAGTGTATGTTAAATGCAAGATTGGTTATGTATTAAATTGCCTGTTAGCTATCAGCTAGGGTATTAAAAGAAAGTTCTCTAAAACTGTTCACCTCCAAGATCTAGGATCTTAAGACATGCACTGCCCTCTAATCACACACATGCATCATGCTTACATCAAGTTCTAAGAAGAGTCGCCAGTTTTCTTCCCATTTCTGTACACCTTCAAACATCTCCTTGTGCACCTCGTAGTAATGTTTTAGACGGCTGATCTCGGCATCATGGAGGGCAAGCAGGTCCTCTCCGTAATCCTCTAAAACAGGATTAAGGTTAAGTTAGCCACTCATAATGTACACCAAAATGAAGCCAATACAGTATATAGAAGAAAAAGGAGTTCCAGATGTAGGACATGAGGTCTCACTGTTACTCAAAAGGTGTTCGGTAGGTAATTTAAGCATCACACAGAATCAATAGGAAGGGAAGAAGTAGGGAATAGGGAGGGAATGAGAAAATGTTCGTAAAGGAGGACGCAACAGATAAAATAAATAAATAAATAATACATCCTAATTCATTTTAAAGGTTGAATATTTGCTTTGTACAAAAAGCCAACCCTTTTATGCTATATCTATGTTGCTAAATTTAAACATCCAATATCCTGCCAATGTTGGAAAAAAAAAGTACATATAGCGAGAACTATATACACCTGTTGTAAGGACCCAAAAACCCCTTATGAGAAACTAAGCCTCATATAGGTGAAAAAGGTTCTATCAAAGGGTTAACTCCAGAAGCGTAGATAACTATGTAAACCAACCACAATAGTCATAGCTAAAATAGATATATTTGTATTATTCGTTTTTAGGTATCTCCCATGGTTAAACACCGGGAGGGCCCCAATTCGGAATTAATTGTAGAATCTATTTAAGAACAAATAACTACACCAGTGGTACATTGGCGCCATAAATTATACAGCCACCATTAAGGTATAATATACAACATATTTCCAATAAGAGAATATGTCAGCACTATAAGCAAGGAAAGAACATTATGGGCACCTGTTGCAACAAAGTGAAAACTTTAAGCCATCATTAAATTGCATCTGTATTCTCTCTTTCCCCCCCCCCAAAAAAAAGAGAATTACATTTCCCCGAGAGATATCAAAAGGGAAACCCACCCATGCTCAAAACTAAGCAGTGATTAGATTAGAGAGAAAAGCAATTAATGGTATATAGTGGTTAGGTTAGAGAGAGCCACAGTTAGAAATAATATAAAACTAGTATAAAAAGCACAGTCAGGGTTAAATACTAGCAGGCAGAGGCATGCCAGAGTATTGCACAGAGTAAGAGTCAAGGAAATTATTAAAGGACCACTATAGTCACCCAGACCACTCCAGCTTAAGTTGTCTGTGTGCTAGGTCCCCCAGGATTTAACCCTTCAGATGTAAACATAGTTTCAGAGAATCCAGCCTCTCGTGGCGGTCTTCCTGACAGCCGCTAGAGGCGCTTCCCTGACTCTCAATGCGAAAATCGCATTAAAGGACCACTCTAGGCACCCAGACCACTTCAGCTTAATGAAGTGGTCTGGGTGCCAGGTCCTTCTAGGGTTAACCCATTTTTTTTTTATAAACATAGCAGTTTCAGAGAAACTGCTATGTTTATGAATGGGTTAAGCCTTCCCCCTATTTCCTCTAGTGGCTGTCTCATTGACAGCCACTAGAGGCGCTTGCGTGCTTCTCACTGTGATTTTGACAGTGAGAGCACGCAAGCATCCATAGGAAAGCATTGTAAAGGTGGGGGCACCCTCAGGGCACTATAGTGCCAGGAAAACGAGTATGTTTTCCTGGCACTATAGTGGTCCTTTAAGCATGCAGAACGTCCATAGGAAAGCATTTCTCAATGCTTATCTATGGGCGTTTTTAATGCGCGTGTGGGTCTGGCTGCGCATCTGGCTCCACTTGGGCGCTGGCGTCGGAGGGGGGGGAGATGTCACCGCCAGCGGGAGGGGGGCCCCTAAGGATTATATAGTGTCAGGAAAAAGGGTTTGTTTTCCTGACACTATAGTGGTCCTTTAAGTAAGCAACTAAAAGAGCTGTCTATAGTAAGTTTAAAATAAAAAGGGGAGAGTCTCAAACCCATCTGTTATTCCCAAACAACGGTGCTAATCCCATGTTACTGCTTCAAGGCAGTCCCCTCTATTGATAGAATATGAGCCACAACTTGCTACTCTGATCAATAATTGCCTTCTCCAATACCAACAAAAGACCCACCCGTTCAAATTAGTGTAAATTAAAATAAACACACCAGCAAAAAGCTCGACGTCTTCGTGCAAACACACCTTTATCAAGAGTATATACATGATATAATATAGTACATATGCAGTGTATATATATATATATATATATATGTGTGAAAAACAATCACTAACCATCATAATAAGGAGCAAATCCTAGTCTTTGATTCTGGCTGTAGAAGCATTTGTCCCAGTAAGATGTCAATTCAGTTCGAATAACTTCAACAACATTTTTAATGTTCTGCAACTTAAGTTTCTGAAGACGATCTGCTTCCTCTTGTAACTGTTAAGAGGGGAAAAAATAAAATGAGGAGTTCAGGAGTTGCAGAATTAAAGCCTTTTCCAGGGGTTCTCACTCTCTGACTCAGTTACAGCAGAATGATGTAGTCATGGCAGCATAGACTGTGTTAGAAATTAATAGTTAGCACACTTACCACGTTCATGATTTTTGCTTTGGATCCAGTAGTCATGTATTCAGAGAAAGCAGCGCGTTCTTCCTGCGGAACATTAAGTCGATCCCAGAGTTCTGTTATTTTGGATCGCAGTTCATCGCATAACACTTGATTTTTTGTTTTCTGCTCTTCTAGCTGAAATTGAAAAAAAGTGCCCGTGGCAAAAACATAGGAAATTGTTAAATAAAACCACTTTACAGACATTAGTCTTTAAAATGTTAGAATAAGTTTTGGCCAAGGTTTTTTTTTTTTTTTTTGCAGAACCTCAGAATATATCCTTTATTTGATGTACACTACATCTTATCCAAAATGATTGTACCATTTCTTCTCCTTGCTCCATAACCCCTAGAGTCCACTGGTCCCCACTGTCACCCCCAGTAATTTAGACCTTTGCCCATTTCTGGCATTTCATACTCTGCAAGGCAAATGACAGCAGATAAACACATTTTTTGGAGCTTAAAGGGTCCATTTAACAAGAACCCTAATATTAACCCTAAATGTCCCATGTCCTAAGCTTAGTGAATGCACTAACTATAATGAAAGTGTAAAACTAGTTTTACTTACCTTCCAGGATCTTGCTGTGGCGGAGTAGCAGGAGTGCTAGCACGCATGTGCAGCACAGGATCCAGCTGATTCCCCTCACCAGAAGTGACGAGGATTTTCACGGGTAGGGAAATTTGATAGAACGCCCCCATGACATGAAAGTGACATTATTGATAAACTGGAAGACTGCAACAACCTGCAGTTGTAATTAATATAGTGTTGCTGCTTCTAGAATACCCTACCTATAATGCAGCTATTTAGGAAGCCCTAAACCCAAATCTGCCTTCTAGAACATTAAAAAAACAAATTTTTTTTTTTTTTTTACTAAATAGTAAAACCAGTTTAGAACAAACAAAATCAAAATCTGAAGAGCCACTTGCAAGAGCTCATTATAGATTACACACTTGTCAAACAGGGACATTATGAAGCCACTTTCTTATTAATCAGAAATGTACTTCTGTCACAGCACAGTCAGGGCAAGAGTCGAACATCATTATTCTGAATATCACATACAAGGTAATAACAGTAGTGAAGATGCCAACGATCAGAAGACAGATTCTTAACTTACAGCATTTGACATCAGTGAAACAATCTCACACTGTAGCAGGCATCAGATAGTTAATTTATACATATCTGTTACTATACAAAAACATCTATGTCTACATAACCCCACTGAGTTTCAGCTAAATGCTGAAGATTTATAAATTTTTATTTGGGTTTTAGTGGTAAAAATAAGAACCACCTACCCGAAACAGTAGCTCATGGAGAGATGCAATATTCTCTTTTGAGAGGCAGAAAGCTTCCTCTTCTTCATACACCACATCTCGTTCAAAGCTTGTGTCAGGGAGATGATCCAATTCCTCCATACAAAGAATAATCTGCCTTTTGACACTCACAAACTCCTTTCCCCTGCGCTCCTAAAGTTAAAGAAGATTATGTAACAATTGCGAGATATTGTCACTAACAGACCACATTTTTTTGGGAATAAAACAGATAATAGAACCTTTTCTGCAGAAAGTTCAGCAAGCCGCCTCCTAAATTGATCTAGTTCCTCCAAGCTTGGAACACCATGATCGTCAACGTTCAATAATATAGGCATGCACAAGAGGTCACACAAGTCATGCTCTCGCTCCTTTAACAGTTTTAGTTCCTGCAATCTTTCCTTCTTTTGTTTTAACATGACTTCTACACGGGTCCTTAAGTCCTTCTCCAACTGCAAGATAGTGCAGTCCTCCTCCTCCTGCACAAGGTAAGTTCATTATAAATGAATTAGCAAAAGTTTAATCGCACAAAGTCTAGATCAAAGACTAGCATTTAGTATTTTTTTGCAGATTTGATGATAAAAGTTTAAAAAGTCAAAAGCATACAGACAGCCATAGCTTTTATAAAAAAGTTACATTCACCTAGCTTTGATTATTTTATCTAAAACATGACAAAATATACTTTCAGGTTTCTAAATACTAGCAGGCAGAATTTAAGAAACACTATAATTCAAAACAAACATGGAATAAGTACCAAAATGTTAAAAAACCGGAGTAATAAGTTAGTTTCAGAAACTATTGGGCATTTTACAGTTACAGATATCAGAATCGGCTCACAGATGAATACATTTGCAACCTATTTAACAACATTAACGGAGAGCAATGGCAATGAAGGTATAACGAAGTTTAAGCTTAGAGGAGTTTGGTGATCTCTTACTTCAAAGGGCGGGAGATGTAGCTCCAAACAGAGCCCATTCAGCTCTTTGCGACAAACATCAATACTCTTTAGAAGACGCTCCTTCAAGCTCTCCTCCTCTTCAATCATCCGTGTGAGAAGTAACTGTGGGGGGGGATATAGACACTGATGAAATGTAATATATGTTTTCTAAACAGAAATTAGAATGATCACAATAAGACATGTCATTTTAAAAAGGGACATGTATCACTTAATTATTACAAACATGTATTCCTGATCCTATAGTGTTAAAAATACCATCCAACCCCCTCCTCCCCCTAAATATAGCAAAAATCTGTCCCTGATCTGCCTGCTTGACGGACATCAGAAATGTTGATCTGAGCCAATCACAGTGCTTTCACGTAGGAAAGCATTGGATTGGTTGAGCTTGTCAAGGAGGCAGATCAGGGGCAGAGCCAGCACAAGTCAAATACAGCCCTGGCCAATCAGCATCTCCTAGACATGCATTGAATCAATGCATCTCTATGTGGAAAGGTCAGTGTCTCCATGCAGAGGGTGGATGCACTGAATGGCAGTGTGCAGAACTGCCCCAGGAAGCACCTCTAGTAGCCATATGAGGAATGGCCAATTGAGGTATCCCTAAGCTGTAATGTAAACACATAGCACTTTCCCTGAAAAGACAGTGTTTACTGAAAAAAAGGCCTGAATGTAATAATTATACCCACCAGAACAAATTCAATAAGCTGTAATTGTTATGGGGACTATAATGTCCCTTTAAAGCAGCAAAACACAAATAAATATACAAAATAAAGCAAGAAAAACTTTGAAAAGTATGTAATAAATATTTATAAACTTTCTAAAAGCTTGGTCAGATTGCAGTTTTGGGCATGCCTTTCAGCTAGGAGTTTCTTCAGCCTTCATCTTTACAGACCAGTCCACTAATGAAAGAAACACGCATCATTGTGCAACAGCAGAACAGAGAAACCGACAGACACTGCACTGCCTAATCACACTAATCAGGATGTTGCAAGGTGTAGAGATCTTCCAACTCCACACAATATATATATATATATATATATATATATATATATAATGCCCAATACCAGCATTCCTAGGGATGGGACATGGATGGATTAGATCAGCGCCTCCCTCAAGTGGGTGTGTAAGGCATAAGAAAGAAGAAGAAGAAGAAAACAATTTATCATATTTACCTGCTTTTTTTTCAGCCTGCTGCAGCGTAAGGCAAACGTCTTATTCAAAGCTAAAGGTTTTGAATGAGAGTTGCCTGAAAGTAATAAAATGTCCCTTTAAGGGTCACATCATTAGGAAATTAATGGAACACTCCAAGCACCATAACCACTACAGCTCCCTGTATAAGTCACTTTGCCAGGAGTGCCCTTCGCCCACTCTACTGTATTTACAGTTGTCAATTATTTTTTTGCATCAATAGATAAAGTCAATTTCAGTGTTAAGTCTAATGGAAATTTGAGAAATCCCGCTTTTAAAACGGGTAAATTTACATCCACACGAGATGTGTACCCAATTTTAATCTGTGTACAATATTTATAAAGCTCTAATAAACAAATCTATTGCTCATTTCTACTTACGTTTACATGTTTCCTTACTGTATCTGTCCTTTGGAGGCGCTGGTCTTCTGGTATACCAATTTCTTCCCAGATATCGCGAAGGCGTGCCAGTGCCGAATTTAGACAGGCTACAGACTCTGCAGCTATGACCTCGCTAGATTTAAAAAAAAAAAAAAATTAAATCCATAATGAAATTCAGCAAGTAAAGAAAAGAGATAAGATCAAGTTATCGTATGTGTGATTGCAAATATTATGCATATATAAATTATATTTGCATACAAAATATTTATTTTTGTGGAACCTTATTCTGCAGTAGTATATTAAAGGAACACTTGTGTCACTATAACTTTAGCTAAATGAAGTTATGGTGCCAGGAGGCCCCCAGGTGCTCTTTTACCGTAAGGCTTGAACAGTTTAACCCCAAAAGGCATCAGGTTTCTGAAACCCGAGTTTCCGGAAGCACGGTGCCACTGGGGAGGGACGCTGCTGATTGGTTAGTGTGGTCAGCTGACACTATGTCAATCAGTAGCTCCTCATTCATAAAAAAAAAAAAAAAAAAAGGTTACGTTTTTCATGAATGGTAAGCTACTGATTGGCACAGAGCGTCAGCTGATTGCTCTTGCCAATCTGTGGTGCCCCTGTAAGACTGCACTCCGCACTTCATGAAACAACGTTCCGAAACGGAATGCTGCTGGGGGACCTGGAGACCCGACGTTGGATGGCGGCTTTTGGGGTTAAACCGTTCCTGAAAGGTTTAATCATTTATGGTAAGAGCTTGCCTGGGAGCCTCCTGGCACCATAATTTAGATTATGTTGATATGGTGGGCACAGTATTTCTTTAATACTACTATCTATTCCTTTTTCCACATGCATAATGCAACAATATTTCTGTAAAGAACATAGCATTTTGTTATAATTTACAAAGAGTCAGAAACTTAGAATCTAAACACCTTTAGCTTAGTGAAGCAGTTATGGTATATAAATCATGCCCCTGCAGCCTCACTGCTCAATTTTCTGACATTTGGGGGTTAAAGGGAAACTATATAGTCACCCAGACCATTGATCTCAATGAAGTGGTCTTCATGCTGTGAGCCCTGTCATTTTAACCAGCAATGTAAAACATTGCAGTTTTATTTAGAAACTTCAATGTTTACATTGCAAGGTTAGAAATCCACTACTGACAGCCAGTAATGGTGCTTCTGTAGCAGTGATAGAATAAAGCTCTGTCACATGATGGGGAAGACCGTAGGAAAACATTGAATACAATGCTATCCTATGGGGAAGCTTGGATGCATGCAGCGCTCACCATGTATGCACAACATGTCCCCGATGCTCCTCTATGAGGAGTATTGGTTTGGACTATCATGGAGGAAGCCATGACATATCATTGGCACCGGGACAGTCATCAGTTTCACCATGTCCAAAGTTGTAAATAAAGCAACGCATTCCCCTATTTTTCAGTTATTCACAAATGTGTGAATTGTCAGGAATTCAAACTTAAGAAAAAAAAAAAATAGCTGAATTGAAAACATCTACAAGTTAGAAATGGCTTCAGTTCTGCAGTTTAGGACTAAAGCTTTAATCTCACGCTTGTGTGAATAACTTTTTTCTGTATTGATGGTGTTGGAATTTCAATGACACTCATTCAACTTGACCAAGTTTTTCATAAAGATTTTATAAAGCGTTAGCTAAGGATTGTAAGTGCACGTATGGTTTGTGCATTCTGGAAAGATGCTGTGGAGGTAACTGACCTCATTCAAGCAAAAGCTTTGTGTGTTTATAGTGGTCAGAGAAAGGATTATGGCCACCAACAGAAACATGCCAGTTTCTCTAACACCATGAAATGCTGTAAAAAAAAAAAAAAAAAGTTCTCATTGCAATATGACTAAATCAAATTGAAATTTAACGGTTAACTATAAAAGCTTCCAGCCACACCCTCAAAAAGCTTGGGTTGGCGAGACAAGATGATCTCATTCCATGTTTGCTTTTCCTTCTTGAGCTGACATACCAAAATAGTCCAAGAACACTAGGGAGTTTATCAAGGCTTCAGAGCAGAGCACAGCCACTCCAGTGAACACAGCTAGAACTTCCGAAACAGAACTTCAGAAGAGGAAAAACATTCTAATTACTAGTTAAAATTTAGCCTTTGGTTGTGCTTTTAGTTTTCTTAACTGTACCCTTTTCTGAATTATTTGAAATTGTATTAATAGCAGGTTGATCTGCATGGCCTGGCATACAAATCAAATTCAGAATGTTCTAACTCAGGGAAGTCAACAGGTATCCAAACGCCCTCAGAATCTTTGTAGTTGCAGTCAAGCAAGTATTTAGACAGCCTACGATTGGCTGCGGTAAATTGAAAGCTCATCCTAGAAGGCACAAGATCACAGCAAAGTAAGGAAAACTATTTAGATTAAAGAGTATCTGACTGTCCATGGGGAAAGCAATGCCCTAAACGAATCACGTGCATGAATTATGCATAGTGACGGTGTCACTGCTGTCAGATTATATTCATAAACAACTCACATGGTCGGACTAATCAGTTAAAGTTCATTTTCAAGTAGGTATCCCTTATCTGTAATATTATGCTGGTTAATTCGGTGTAAGATGCTGTAAAAATGATGCTGGATTAGAAAGTAGGTGTTTTTTTGGCTTTTACTTTTGCAGCCCTTGAATATTGGGCAAACAATACACAGAAGCAGCATGGCCACTTCATATGGCAGCCAGAGGAGAAGCTAAAGCGCTCACCTAGGTGCTTCCATCAACTTTTTGATCCTGCCTTCATATCCCAGCGCTGCTTCATTGTTGTAGCCTCGTGCAGGCACAAAAATAAAAGAGAACCCCCAGATTCTCCATAGAACATCTTATGTGTGGCACAAGTGGTCTATACTTTCTCTTATGTTAAATATTGAATGAGTTGGAACGTCAATGAAACTTTAAAATGCCATAGGCATTTAAAATAAGATTTGCATTTTTATTATTATTGAACTATATCTACAAGCTTCAACTCTAAAATTACCACACAAAATGGCTCTCTTTAATTACACAGTTTTGCAAACAATTCAAAGGATCTTAGTAAAAAGGGAGTCATGTATACAAATATTCAGAGGTTTCCAAGAACAATAGCTAGGTAAACACCAAATGCAAACCCTGCAGCTTAGAATTCCTACACCAAATGTATTTACCATCAGTACTTTATTAGATCCAAAATATCCAGAAACATCTCAGAGATCTAAAGATTTATTATTACAATTTACTGTGTTACTCATTAGCTCACAAACTGAACTCCTGAACAGGTTTTACACCAAGCACATTAGTAACGGCGGAATCTCAGGAATTTAGAGAAGTTGCCATAAAATTACTGGGCTGGTGGTATAAGTGCATATCTATGTAAATTTGCAAAATAATAAAATTAAAAATGAAAAGTACTGAAGAGATCACATTAATCAGTGACATAAGGGGACTTGGCCATGCTTATAAAAATAGCTTCAAATAACTTTTCAACAATAAAAGAGCAATGCAATAAATACAATGGGGAGTTCTAACAAAAGCAAAACAGGTGCTATTCTGGGTGCAAAACAATAAATAGTGAGAAAAACTATTGGTTTCCATAGCGATTATGCCTCACTTAGCACGGAACCCTAGAATGACACCTGTTTTTGCATTAATATTCACCTCTAACCCCAAATAAAAGTATTATGTATCACGGTTCTAATATTCAAAATAAAGATATAAGGAGAAGCAGCGTATGAAATGGGAGAAATAAGTACTTAATGTCTCCATTTAGTAAATATAAGTATCTTCTATTACTTCTATTGCCTTGATTTCATCTATGTCAACAGATTGCAAAGAATATGCAGGATGGTACCTCACTCACAGCGATCAAAAATCATGTAAATCGCACTGTTTCAGTCAATGAGGTTCATCTGTGTAATTCATTTAACAAAATATCATAACCTTGTATTAGAACAATCATCACTCTGTCCTGGTAAAGCCAATCCTAGGACCTGCAGCTTAGAGCAGTGGCATGAGGCCAAAAAAACACTACTGAAGGCTGACACACTTCCATGGAAATAATAGACATACTATGAATTTCACACACATTGCCTGCCTGCCACCAGCACCACCCCAATTCTGTTTTAGGATCACACCAGCACAAGACAAAATAAAAACGGTATGGAAAAAAAAAAAAGCAACATACACACACACACACACACACACACACAGCAAAACTATAGAAATTCAATGGAAGCAATTGAATGCAAACTATTCAGCCAGGTAGAGGTCAGTAAAATCCATATAAACAGCTCACACCCCTAGCAGTGATTACTGACACCATGCAAGGTGGAATCCTATATAGTATATAGTCAGTATACAATACACCCTGCAATATGTAATCCTATATATAGTATACACAGAGTACAATATGTAATCCTATATATAGTATACACAGAGTACAATATGTAATCATATATATATATATATATAGTATAGTCAGTGTACAATATGTAATCCTATATATAGTATAGTCAGTGTACAATATGTAATCCTATATATAGTATATACAGTCAGTGTACAATATGTAATCCTATATATAGTATATACAGTCAGTGTACAATATGTAATCCTATATATAGTATATACAGTCAGTGTACAATACACCCTGCATACAGAGAGCATGCTAGGCATTCATTGACATTATATTTCAATATGTACCATTAATATATTAATAAAATAGCAACAATATAAAAATGTGGGCAAAAACAAATAAAATACAAGCCAGTCCCGTAATGTGTAGACAGATTATATCACTGATTAGTGATGGGAGTTGCAGTCCAGTGGCAAGTTTGTTCCCTTTTGATGGACAGGGATCTGTCAGCTCTGCTGCAATAATACATTTGATTAAACCACGTCCTGGAAAGGGGAAACACAAGGTGCGTACTGCACGACAGCCTGGGGTGGCGATACTGGGCACGGAAAGGGGAGGCTATCCAGCTATTAGGATGCCTGTGCCTGTTGGGGGTTGCAGTCCAGAACCTACTGTGAGGTGGGCTGAGAGTGATGGGAGTTGACTGTCACAAGGTGACTAGGTTTTCGGGATATTGAAATAAATTCTATAAGGGTCCCTAATGATGGCAGTATAGACTGGGCTGTAATAGATCACCTTTTCCTCATGGCTGCTGCCGCCCTGCCCGCTGCAGCTCCTGACTGGGATGGCTCGCGCTGTCTGGCGCTCTGACCGTTTCTTCGGTTTCAGTTAAACTCACTTTTCAAATTTGCCTCCGGAAGGCTCTGCGCGACACTGTGATTGGCCGGCTCGTCCGACGTCATTTAAAGTTACAAACACGCGAGACGCATCCTCCTTGAAAAAGCAGTCCTACTCGGTGCTTCGTGCAGCGGGTGGGTTTGGTGAGTTGATTCCTCCAGTGCTTAGAACTCTGCTGGACGCAGACGGGTCCACACAAGAAGTGACAAGTGCGCATGCGTTAATAAGAGACTATCAGTGCCACATACCAGCCTTATCTCATACATTATATTCAAATTAAATACAAATGGCAAACCTGAAGTTACAATTGTCAAGTTGTGTCTATAGCTGAGATGGAGAATTTTTATAAAATAAAACGATTTTTGCACATTTTTCTTTTCCGTTTAAGTTTACTAGGTTAAAATGTGGTGTTTAGTAAAGAACTCTAATAGAGAATTAAAAATTTTGAAAAAAGGAAAATACATTAAAATTTTCAAATATTTACAATTGTGGAGATTTATTCAGTAAAATACAAGTTTTTTTTTTCCCGACTCTGACAGGGTTATATATTAAATTTTAGAAAATGAAATCCAAATGAGAAAATTAAAATAGCCGATCTATAACTATAGCAGAGTTGGAGAATTTTTTTAAATCAACTATCGTAGCCAGGGCCGCCACCAGGGACTCTTACCTAGTCCGCTGCAAATGATGCAGGGCTGAATGTGGTGTGTATAGTGGGAGTGAATTAGAATGTGTGTAACGGATGTAGTGTTTGTGTGTATTAGATACTGTTTGTGCAGTGAATGCGGAGTGTGTGTTAGTGTAGTGAATGCAGAGTGTGTGTGTGTTAGTGTAGTGAATGCAGAGTGTGTGTGTGTGTTAGTGTAGTGAATGCAGAGTATGTGTTAGTGTAGTAAATTTAGTGTGTGTGTTAGTGTAGTGAATGCAGAGTGTGTGTGTTAGTGTAGTGTATGCAGAGTGTGTGTGTGTGTGTTAGTGTAGTGAATGCAGAGTGTGTGTGTTAGTGTAGTGAATGCAGAGTATGTGTTAGTGTAGTAAATTTAGTGTGTGTGTTAGTGTAGTGAATGCAGTGTGTGTGTTAGTGTAGTGTATGAAGAGTGTGTATTAGTGTAGTGTATGCAGGGTGTGTGTGTTAGTGTAGTGAATGCAGAGTGTGTGTGTTAGTGTAGTGTATGCAGAGTGTGTGTGTTAGTGTAGTGAATGCAGAGTATGTGTTAGTGTAATGAATTCAGTGTGTGTGTTAGTGTAGTGAATGCAGTGTGTGTGTTAGTGTAATGAATGCAGTGTGTGTTAGTGTAGTGTATGAAGAGTGTGTGTTAGTGTAGTGTATCCAGAGTGTGTGTGTTAGTGTAGTGAATGCAGAGTGTGTGTGTGTTAGTGTAGTGAATGCAAAGTGTGTGTTAGTGTAGTGTATGCAGTGTGTGTAGTGAATGCAGTGTGTGTGTGTGTATGTGTGTTAGTGTAGTGAATGCAGTGTGTGTGTGTGTGTGTGTGTTAGTATAGTGAATGCAGTGTGTGCGTTAGTGTAGTGAATGCAGTGTGTGTGTGTGTGTGTGTGTAGTGAATGCAGTGTGTATGTGTGTGTGTTAGTGTAGTGAATGCAGTGTGTGTGTGTGTGTCCGTTAGTGTAGTGAATGCAGTGTGTGTGTGTGTTAGTGTAGTGAATGCAATGTGTGTGTGTGTGTTAGTGTAGTGTATTCATGTAGTGTAAATGGAGCATTCCAAAAATGTTATTACCCCATCCCTGGTTCTTACCTGGTCCAGGGAGGGGGGAGATTCCATGATCCCTGGTGGTCCGGTGGCATTGTGGGCCCCCCGGCTCCCTGTATTTGCAGAGGGGGCCCAGCGGACTGCAGGAGCACTTACAAACTCTTCCCTCTCTCTAACTCCCGCGAGCGTGACGTGACGGCCGCGGGTCTCGCGGGAGTTACAGAGAGCGAAGAGCTTGTAAGTACACTTGCAGTCCGCTGTGCCCCCTCTGCAAATACAGGGAGCCGGGGGCCTGCGGCTGCACACATAGATAGCGATATTCGCTATCTATGTGTGCAGAGAGGGAATGTGGGGCCCAGGACTGCCAGAGCAGTCCGGGCCGCCCAGGACCGCTGGGCCTGTGACAACCATCATGGTTGTCACCTCCTGATGGTGGCCCTGATCGTAGCATCCGTTTTACTGTTAATTTAATTTGCTAAAGCCCAATGTATAGTGAATAATTTTGTAAAAAACTGAGAAAATTCATATCTTGTAATACCTTTTTCATTGGACTAACAGAATTTTTTAATGACAAGCTTTCAGGAGAACCCTCCTTACCACAAGTCTTAAGCATTTCTGAGCCAAGACGACACAGGTTTGATAGAAAATAGACACCATTCTCGCAGAGAGTCGTAAATATCTTGTGTGAAGATCACAGAGTGAGGGGAGAGAGAGAGGGTAAAAAAAAGCAAACAGTGCAGAAGATGGTGCTAGAAGGGGAGAGTAAAAACAAAATAATTACTTATATTAAGAATGCATGAATTCCCATCCAAGAGTTACAGAATATGCATGAAGGCCTATATCCAGTATATATATATATTCTTCACAAATTATATGCAGTATGCAAAATAAACATGCACTCACACGAAGAGTGCATCTTTATTCTACATACTGCATATAATTTCAGCGTGAGATTGCACCAAGGCATTTCAACACATTACCTATAATATCAGTAAGGGTGAGTGCCATTACATGTGTATTGTGTGTATATATATATATATATATATATATGTACGGCTACAATCTCTACGCGAATAATTTTGCAAGAGAAAAATTTGTGGTTTATTCACTAAACAAGTAGTCCACATTAGCAAAAGCTTGGTAAAATGCAACTGAATATGAAACTCGTATTTACTAAAGACAAATTTGGGTGAAATTTGGAGTATTTCAACATAATAGTCACAACTCATTTAGGACCATATGGTGTCCACTTTAAAATCATTAATTCTCACATGCCAACTTGGTTATGAATAATACACTGTATGTAAACAGAATTTGCAGTAATAGGCAAGTTAGCAAGATGTGAAAATAAACATTAATTGAATATTATGAATTTAATAAATAATATGAATACATTAATACTATAATATAAATGCAAAAAAAACCAAGTTAAATGTTTTAAATATTGATGTGTCTTGGATTCATATATGGAGTTAGCTATCAAGAGGTAATATGAACAGTTTTTTTTTTAAATTCATTATTTATAGAACATATTTTGTTGATAATAAGAGTCAGAAAAAAAATTAATTTTCTAGTGTAAGGTGTCAGAACACAGAGTACAAACCATAGCAACTGTAAATTGATGCCCTACAGAGAAAAGGGGAGGGGTTTGATGTATTCTTTACGGGAATAGAATGTGCCAAAGATAGGACCTGATCAAAATGATTGGACTACTAACCGAGGCCTCTGACAGTGAGCATAAAAAGAACAGGCAAAATAAATGACAGATCAGGTGATTGTTTACCTTATCATCTCCCCTGTCTGTGACTTGACCCTTAAGAAAGGACCCAAGTGAGAGATTTGTTTATCATGAAAAAGGTATGTTATATGGGTTAGGTAACCCTAGACCACATTGCTCTGGTATTCAAATGATAAGTGGTTCTTTTCATGCCAAACAGAAACTGGGGGCAGATACTTGAGCCGACCCTATGCGATGTCAAAACTAGTAGGACAGGTACAGCTAGATTCACACACCTCCAAAACAATTTGATGCTTGGTCAATCTTCTTTTAGGATATCTTATTACACAACAGGCCAGTGGTTCACAAAACAAACCCTCAAAGACTACCAACAAATCAGGATCCAAATTCTGTTCCAGTTTAGAGATCTATAATGGAGTCCGTGCTATTTTTTTAAAGAATTTAAGAATGCGGCTGATAACTATATAACTATTCATTGTATTTAAGGAGCACCCCATACAAGAACCAAAACCACTTCATGTAAATTAGGTTGTTATGCCAGGAGGCCCCCAGAGGCACTCTTACCTCAAGGGGTTAAACTATTCTCAAAAAGTGTAACCCCAGAGTTGCTTCCAGCAGCGATCTCTGGTCCCATCCCCAACTCCCCCACCTGCGCGGGTTCCAGGAAGAGCGGAATGACTTCCCATTCGCCAAACTGTCTTGGAAAAACTGGCTTACCTCTCTCCGCCCGGTAGCACTTTGCACTTCTTGAATCTGAAATTTCAGAAGCCAGAAGTTGCCTGGGGGGAGTGGAGATCGCCACTGGAGACAACTTTGAGGTTAAACCATTTGAGAATGGTTTAACCCCTCGAGGTAAGTGTGAGTCCAGGGGGCCTAATGGCACCATAAGAACTTAATTTAGAAGAAGGTGTTTGGTGCCTGCAGTGCCCAATCAACTTACAATTTGCAATTCCCTCGCCAAATTAGACTAACCCTGAAAGTGTATTTGTGTTTAAACATGTACACAGACAGTGTAGGTGTATATAATGGCAGCAAAGAATGACTGTACATGCAAAGACTGCATGTAGTTGCCCACTGACATTTGTTTCCAATGATGTCAGTCTGGTTGGAAAACAATTTTTTTTTTTTTAAACAGTTTTAAATATTACATGGCTGAAAAGAGACATGCTGTCATGCTTCAAAGTTCAGCCTTTCTCACATCTGTTTTTGCTGATCCAAAAGAAGGCATAAAACCCAGTTTGAAGCTCTTCCAATTTTGCAACAAACCAGGAAAAAAATTCTTCTTGACCACAGAATGGCAGTCACATCTCTTTTCGGATTTTACAACTTGTCTTATTAGCATATGCTGCAACGTTTCGTTGTGTGCAGGAATCACCATGGAAACCAATGGAATATTTGCCCCAGCATTTCTCTATCCTGATTTCCTTTAGGAGGTTGATTAGTAAGTAGTGTGTTTATTAAAATGCGAACCAATTTGAAAGATTTAGGCCAAAAAAGCAGATTAGGAAAAATTCTCTAGCTCAGCAATGGTCAAAGTTTAGCATGAATTTTGCAGTGCAATTTTCAGTCCACTATTATTCATTGTTCAGTGAATTAAACATTAGGTGACATGTTTACAAAAAAAAATAGCATTCTATATAATACACAATGTTTAAATCTCATCACGCCGTTTTGAATAGGAATGGTCTAAGTCTGTGTAACCATGGGCTAAGGCATATATTATTCCACTGTCGTACAATACTTATACAATTGCCCCTTTGGTTTAATCAGTCAATGACCGTAAACCTGAGATCTGCAGCTTGTGCAAGCTGTTTGTAGATATGCGCCAAATGAAAACACATAATTAAATACATGCATGTTTAGGTATTGGTTATATATCTATTAATTTGTGATGTTCTAGTTTTCTGTATTATCTTGAACACAGCGCCGTTTAGCTCCATGCATCCCAACCGTCCTGATTTTGGTGGGTAAGTCCAGAATTTCATGTCCTGTCCCACTGAACTGTCCCCAACATTCATAGCATGAGCACATAATTAGAAGTGCTCAGGCTTTGTTTAAAGGGACACTGTAGGCACTGTATCTGCTTAATTTCATTACACTGATTATAGTGTTCAGAGTTCCCAAGTTCCATAATTTCATTCAGCACTAAACAGTTTTCCATATTTTTATGTTTCAATGCTAAATTAGAGACCCCAGCAACCCCTCCCCTCTGTGCTGCTTTGGTGAATGAGGAAGTACTAGCATGAGCAGCTATGATTGGCTGAGAGTGTCAGCTACCTGTTTTTAGCCTATCAGAGCTCCAACTAACGGTATGAAGGGTATGACTTCAAGGAAGTGTGTAATCTCTGCCTTGGCCACACCTCCAGAAGAGGCCAGACCGTGGGTGGCCTTGATCCCTTATTTAGTGTTAAACAGCTCTAAAACGGTTTAACATTGTATGGAGAGACATTGCCAGGAGATTCCAGGCATCATAACCAATTCAAAGAGATGAAATGATTATAGTGAGTACAGTGTCCCTTTAACACTGAAGCAGTGCTCCCTGCAGGGTCAGCCCTCAGGGGGCTGGCTAAAATGATTGGCAGGCAACATGTTGTGTATTCACACCAGGCTGAGTTGCCAGTAACGTGGGCAGACACGCTCCCTTTCCAATCAGGCCGCCCCTTTTGAACAGAGTGACGCAACCGCCTTTGCTCCCTTCCCACTGGCATCTCAATTCTGGGACTTGCTGATGTTGGGAAGTATGGAGCTCTGCCCCTTCCCTTCTTTCTTATTCTTAAAACAAGAAGCTTTAGACAGGGGCGCTGCATACGTTTCTCAAACTGTTTTGTGAATGGGGAGTTATTGACTGGCTTAGAGCATCAGCTGACACGCTCAGCTAATCAGCTGTACCCTTGTCCGAGGCTTCCTGTTTCAAGAATTAGAGAGAAGTGGAAGGGCTGGGGCAGAGCTAGCTTGGGAGGCTAAACCTTCTGTGAACGTTTTATTCCCTAAAGGTAGGCCAGCTCCTAGGACCTCCTAGCACCATCACAACTTCAATAAATTGTTATTGTGCCAGGAGTGTTCCTTTAACTTGCAATTAGTTGAGAGCAGTCAGGCAAAGCTGACTGTAACCACTACTAAATTCAATGAGATGGGGCTAGGGAGCTGTAACTTACTAGTCTTAGGTGCACTGCCATATGTATAATTTATATGCTGCAGCCTGCAGAATTTGTCTTTTGTTAATTAATTACTTTCCAGCAGTATTCAGATTTTGCATATTACAGGGCAACACTTGCCACTCGTGCCAACAACTAATGGCAATCACCTAGTTTAGCTAGTCACACCAAACTGGACCACAATAAATCTTTGGAAAAAAGAAATCGCATGGTCTACAATATGTAGGCTAAAATGGACATAGCACAGCATGACCGGAATGATTTTTCATTATTATAGAACACAACATTGTCTAGAATTCTAGATGGTCTGCCTGTCATGTTTTGCAAGCATCATTTCTCCTAGAATAATTTAAGTTTTGAGATCTTTGCTCTTAAAAATTTAAAGAGGAAGCTGGAAAAAAATTGTTTGTTTTACACTCCAGTCTGAAATTGTCAGATGTTTGATTAAACAGAAATATATATAAACCATATTAGCATAAAAACATAGTATACTTCAAGGAAAACTGTCAACTTTTTTTATTTTCGTGTAGGTTGGTTTTCTGGTAATAATGCTTACAGAAATTGTATTTTTAAATAAAGTACAAAAAGAAAAGGCTGTCAGCTTTCCTTTTAAGAAATGTAAATACTAAAATAAAAAAAAAATAACAATTCTTTTTCTATAATGATGACGTGTTTCTGTGTGCCCAAAAGGCATAAATGCTATCACAATCTCAGATGCTGACCCTGAAAAAGACTGAACCTTTGACTCTACAGTTTAAACAGGTATAGGTGATACTCCAAAAATTAGAATATCGTGCAAAAGTTCATTTATTTCAGTAATGCAACGTAAAAGGGGAAACTAATATATGAGCTAGACGCATTACATGCAAAGCAAGATAGTTCAAGCTGTGATTTGTCATAAGTGTGATGATTATGGCTTACAGCGCATGAAAACCCAAAATCCACAATCTCAGTAAATTAGAATATTACATGCAATCAATAAAACAAGGAGTGTACATAGAACAATATCGGATCTCTGAAAAGAATAAGCATGCATATAGACTCAGTACTTGGTTTGGGCCCCTTTTGCAGCAATTACTGCCTCAATGCGCCGTGGCATGGAAGCTATCAGCCTGTGGCATTGCTGAGGTGTTATGGAAGACCAGGGTGCTTCAATAGCGGCCTTCAGCTCTTCTGCATTGTTCGGTCTCATGTCTCTCATCTTTCTCTTGGCAATGCCCAATAGATTCTCTATGGGGTTCAGGTCAGGCGAGTTTGCTGGTCAATCAAGTACAGTAATCCCACGGTCATTGAACCAGGCTTTGGTGCTTTTGGCAGTGTGGGCAGGTTTTCCTGCTGGAAAATGAAGTCAGCATCCCCATAAAGCTTGTCTGCGGAAGGAAGCATGAAGTGCTCCAAAATCTCCTGGTAGACGGCTGCGTTAACCCTGGACTTAATGAAGCACAGTGGACCAACACCAGCAGATGACATGGCTCACCAAATCAACACAGACTGTGGAAACTTCACACTGGACTTCAAGCATCTTGCAGTGTGTGCCTCTCCATTCTTCCTCCAGACTCCAGGTCTGTTTTTCTTTAGCCCAGGTAAGACGCTTCTGATGTTGTTTGTTGTTCAGAAGCGGCTTGACAAGAGGAATACGACATTTGAAGCCCATGTCCAGGTCCGTCTGTTTGTGGTGACTCCAGCCTCAGTCCACCAACACATTTGAATGGCCTTTTCCTGACAATCCTCTCCAGGCTGAGGTCATCCCTGCTGCTTGTGCACCTTTTTCTTCCACACTCTTCCCATCCACATAACTTTCTATTAATGTGCTTTGATACAGCACTTTGGGAACATCCAACTTCCTTTGCAATTACCTTTTGAGGCTTTCCCTCCTCATGGAGGGTGTCAATGATGGCTTTCTGCACAACTGTCAGGTCAGCAGTCTTCCCCATGATTGTGATTCCTACTGAACCAGACTGAGAGACCATTTAAAGGCTCAGAAACCCTTTGCAGGTGTTATGGCTTACTTAGCTGATTAGAGTGGGACACTGTGAGCCTAAAATATTGCACCTTTTCACAATATTCTAATTTACTGAGATTGTGGATTTGGGGTTTTCAGGCGCTGTAAGCCATAACCATCGCACTTATGACAAATCACGGCTTGAACTATCTTGCTTTCCATGTAATGCGTCTATCTCATATATTAGTTTCCCCTTTTAAGTTGCATTACTGAAATAAATTAACTTTTGCACGATATTCTAATTTTTCTGGTATCACCTGTACAACAGATCATCCATTAGTATGTTATTTTAAAATTATCATTATAGATCACTAATCAATGAGCTAATATTTATTGTATACATGCTTATAGAGATTTTTTTTTTCACTAAACCAGAAATTGCAAGGAACTGAATTTTAGCTCCAAATGGCATACTAGCAAAACATCACATTTTTTGTAGTTTGGACATTTTGGCTTACACAAATTCTGAGCTTAGTAATTAGCAATGTCAATACCCATGCACCCCTCTTCACTTTGATATAAAAAAGAATACATGCACACAATGAATCCATGTTTGTATGTCACGTTATTAATAGTTTCTTTACTTAGGGTACTTCCAAGTAATTGGAATTTTTAGAAAGGGTCACAAACTGTTTTGATACAGCAGTATAGGTAAATCTTCATATATTTTTTTTTCATAAAAAGAAAAAAAAAAAAAATCACTAAAGAGTTGTGAGATATGTACAATTATAATGAAAGGTCTTGATGTCCAGAATAGATTAAAACTCTTGCTCAATGTATGTATGAGTCCAGGTGATAGATTTCCTATTTCCCAGAAATGTCTAAAATTGGCGTCCATCAAAAGGTCATGTTTTAGTCTCAGTCAGCGACTCCAGCATTCGTCCACTGTTCATAATAGACGTTGTAATGAAGATAAATCTATAACCTACAAAAAACAATTACACATTTCATATAATTTTTAATTTGATATAATAGTTAAATGTGGTTTATTGTAATCATTTAAGGTACACGCTAAGCAACATGACCATTACAGCTCATTAAAGTGGCGATGATGCTATAAAGTTTTTTTTGTGTGCAGTCTCCTTAGTTTCTGTTAAACACTTTTCAAATGGTAATTTACAAAAAAAAAATACCCAGTGCTTTCTCTGACACCCCTCTGCAGCAGTTTAGATCATTTGGAAGCAGATGTGAAGATATTCATGAAGAAGCACTGGATTCAATGCTTCTCTACAATAAGGATTGCCAATGCTGAGCAGCGATTGCCGTGCATGGGCCCTGCCACCCAGTGCTTTTTTACGGCAAGCACTGGATTGCTTCTACTGCTTTATAAAAATAAATAAAATATTTCTGTCTTAGTCCATTAATGCATTTTAAGGCCTCTATCAGTAAACTATCTCTTCCGAGGTCTGTTATTATAGGGACACTCCAAACTCCTAAAGCACTTTAGCTTGCTAAAACACTTTAAATGTGAAGTGAGTCCTCTTTTTTTTCATTTTACAAAAAGTGCAAATTTTTATAAAAATTGTCACTTTTATAAATAAACCTTATTACACCCCTTTGCTGTCAATCAGAGGACAGGTCCTGTTACTTCCTGGTTTGTTTAGCTCAGCTGAGCTAAACTCAAGATGCAGGCAGTTGCCCAGAGAACCTGCCTTGCAAAGACTTCTCATTGAGCTGCATTAGGAAGTCTGTGACTGGAAAGTGACATGGTGAGGGCTTGCAAAAGCTTCAGACAAGAAATCTGCAACTTTTGCAAACAGTTTTTTTTAGATATATCCCAATGAAAAATGCATAATTAAAGAGCATAAGGGTATTTCTAATTAAAACTATGTTTTTTTTGAGGGTTGGAGGCGGACATTATATGCACTAAGACCACTTCAGCTCATTGATGCAGGATACTGACCAAGGTGCAGTATCCCAGTACCACTTGTCCCTGCAATGTAAATAATTGCAGTTTTTGAAAAACTGTACTAATTAGCTTGTGGGACCAAGACTGGCAACAGAAGTTGTCTATCGGGGTGGGGGGGGTGCAAGAAGGAAGTATAATACAGATTTGTATTCCCAGCTCTATAGTATCCCTTTAATGTGTTTGTACCTCTAAGTGTTGGTACCTTTTTACAATGTGATTAGCAAAAGGTCGTTAAAAAAGGTACACTCTAAGTAACATAATTATTACAGCTCAGTGTAGCAATTATGTAAGGAGTCGATGGGCTCCATTCAACTTTTTTTTGCTAAGCCATCACGGCAAATCATCTGCTCTTGAAATTTCCATCCGAAACATTTTTCCTAAAAAGATGTGTGCGAATGAACAAAAGCAGCAAATATGTGAGTGTTTAAGACTAAATTTGTGCATGTGAACATTATAATCACCTTTTTCTTTGCCGAGAAATCTCAAAGCAGAGATCTCTGAAAATGTGCAGCCTCCAAGGAACAATGCAACGATGGTCCTTTGAGAATCAGAGTTTGTTTTATTGTCGGATATTTGATCTAAAGAAAATAATGAAACGTGGAATGAGTGGTAAGACTGGCTTCATATATTTCCATGATATATACAACTTTATCTGTGAAAGCATAAAGACTAGATTTAAAAAAAAGATTCACTATCTAAGAAAGAGAATGACAGCAGACATCAATTCTTGCAGATACAACTGATTTGAGCTTTAAAGAATGACCTCTTACCATTTACTGCTGCTAAATATGAACAGTTATTAGTTCTCGCCCAGTGTTGCATGCACTGTCATTTTTGGAAAGCTTTAAAATGTAATACATTCTTATGTTCCAAATATTACATATTCTAATACTAATGTAATCATGTCTGCTGAAACCAATTATATTTTGTCTCACTAGATTTAGGTCAGCTTTTTGATTGATTATATATTTCACAGTTTTTAATGAGAAGTGAATGGCTATTGGTAAAATAAATAGGCCATTTTCTATGGACCACATATTTTTGCTTAGTAGTTGTTGATTACCTCTCATTGCATGCAGTGTGTGTGTGATTTGGTTTGTCATTACTAGAAAACTATCCACAGTGACAGTCTTAATATACCTGCAAACTCATTGCCATTGAGTAAGCGAGTAACTTCTTCAAGTCCCAACCAGCTTTTGCGCTGCAATACCTGGAAAAAAGATCCAAAGTCATTCCTTCAACATTCCATTAATTATTGTTAGATATTGATTGAATAGAACATGAGACATTTCTGCTATAATGCCCTCACAAGCCAATCACTTGTAAAGCAAGATACAATACTGCAAAGTGAATGATGCTTAGAGTACCCTGAGAAACACTCATTTCTGAGAGTAGCTTATAGCTGCAGTGATTTGTAAACATTGCTGTATCTATAAGACAGCCCATCAGCACACAATGCTAGGTTGCCTGTGTCTACGCATGCCTGACCCGTCAATTTCCAAATACTAATACACAGTCTGGTTCACATAACTACAGTTTTTATTATCCTGCATGGAGACTGGAACTGCTGGCCTTCAGATGCAGGCAGAACCAATAAGGGACAGTTAAATAGGTGAGCACTCTAAACACCATAACCACTATAGCTCATGTCAGCTAACCAACAAATGATCAGAAATGTTGTACAAAAAATGCAGAATAGGGTCTTTGAGTGCTTTAGTGAAGTCCATATGCAGCATGGGCTGTCTGGGCCCAGGTAAGTGTCAAACTGCTTGCAAAACAGGTATCTACAGCCATCATAAACACTATAGTGGGCTGTAGTATTATGGGGCTTAGAGTGCACCTTTATGTATAGGATCAAACTTTAACTAGGCTAACCATTCAATCTGCTACAAATACCCTATAGACAGGGATTTTATCAATTTTCCCTGAAAGTGATCCTGTCACCCACACATTGTATGGATCCCAAGTATGTAAAGTTTTCACCGCCTGTGTTGGCACAGATTTAATATGTACACTTTGCTGACAAAATTGCCAAAAATGTATAGATTAAAAGATACACTTTCTCTGAAGATTGTGCCTTCCTCAACCAGTATGGTATCATAGAATGGACAGGCCCTGTTCCAAAATTACATGCAAGGTACTATAACTTCTAAGGGCATTCAAGTAGTTGTAGAACACCAGTGCATCCCTAAGAGGCAGAGCAGTTGTTAACATCATTTTATTTTTTTATTCCATGTTTTTAGTTTTGTAAAGGTTTATAAAGGTCAAGAGAAAAAATAATGGTTGCCTTTGGTAGGTGCGCTTTAACACCCAAACCACAAAAAAAAAAGAAGCGAACCAATATCTCCCAATAATATGAATAGCATAAATATATTTTGTACTGATTAATAAATAATTGCCAGACTAATAATAATGTTAGGACATTGTCTGATTAGATTCCTTTGTAGATGTTTCCTCGTTAAAACAAAAAAAACATACCTAGTCAATAGTGTAAAGTAATGGGAAATGCTCTGGCAAGACAGATGTTATATTTTAAATATACATAGATACATTCCAAGCACAATTCTGCTTACTCGAATACTAAACAGGAATTTTGTGGGAGTAAGAATAACAACAAAAAAAAGTGCGATTATAAAATCACATTTCACAGATTCTTTCCATTCTGTCTCTATCTCATGGTGTCAAACACAGACTGAAACTCTTTTCATGCTATGTCTCTGTGACCTATCGTTTGTGTATGCCCAGGCACTAGGATGAAACCTATTGTATTTTAATTTCTTGTGTTGTGCTTCTTGTGCACTGATCATGTAAAATACAAAACACTTCAGTCCACCTGCATGTTGTACGCATCAAACGTTACTATTGTTAGTTAGAAAGTCCCAGTTACTCACCTGTTCTATTAATTTACAACTTAAAGGGACGTAGGCACCACTGAAAATGTAGGCCATGTCCTTAGGAACCCTTAGGTCATATTCTCCATCTATTCGAGGAATCTGTCAAAACATATTGAGGAATAAGATTTCACACTAGTTATTTTACAATAAAATAATACTTACAAACTATAAAGCTTATGTAATATACACAATGGATGCAAGCAAAAAAAAAAACAAAAAAAAAAACACATACATATAGAAATAGGCGGCTATTTTTTCAAGCCTTTTCTATGAATGTGCATATGATTAAATTATTGTATCACTGTCTAGAACTACAAACAGATCATCTAGAACTGAATAGAATATTACCTACAGAAACGTTTCTAAAAATATCTATGATGGCAACTTACTTGCTACAGTTCTTTTATTTAAGATTTACAATGATCCACTCATACAGACATTAGATGTAAGAGGGGGCGATCTCTCTATGAAGTTAAAGGACCACTTTAGGCACCCAGACCACTTCAGGTCAATGAAGTTGTCTGGGTGCCAGGTCCCTCTAGTTTTAACCCTGCAGCTGAAAACATTTCATTGAGGGTTTATCCAGCCTCTAGTAGCTGTCTCACTGAGTAATGCTTTTCTATGGGCTGTTTGAATGCGCGTGTAGCTCTTGCCGTGCATGCGCATTTGGATCTGACGTCGGCAGGGGGTGGAGAGTTCCTCAGCACAGACAGAGCCCGGCACTGGAGAAAGCTAAGTTGCTGAAGGGGTTTTAGCCCCTTCAGCCCAGCGTGAGGGGGGCACTGAGGGTGGGGGGGACCTAATGACCCTCTAGTGCTAGGAAAACAAGTTTTATTTCCTGGCACTATAGCGGTCCTTTAAGAAGAAGAGAGGGATATTGGATCCATACCTTACAAACTTTATCCTTTTTGATGTTTCCCCATATGTTTTTCCTATTTTAATTCATATGAGAACTCTTTTCGTAAGCCATACAAACTTTTGCATGAACTAAGACCCATTCAGCAAATAGCTGGAGCGCAAACAGGACCACGTGAGCTGGTGAATGGAACGCATCATGTGGGAGGAAGTGGTAATATGCCTTGAAGATTGCAAATTGAAATTGAGGCTTGAACTGGATTGGAACACAAAAATTAAGATCGGGAACAGCTGTTTGCAATAAATGTTCCGCTTGGGATTGGCTGATGGCAGCCGAAAGCGGCAAAAAACCCCCCATATTTAAATGGAGATGCAGCGAGAGCAGACCATACAGATGCTGTGGAGCCCCTGATGAAGTTGCCAGTCAGATGAAAAGCATAGGGCAAGGAGAGACAGTTTATTTGATTAATTTAATTTTATTAGTATTTTTTTTATTTTTTTATTTTATGTATTTGTATTTGTACTACTCACCTCGAGAATTGAACCATCTCAACATGGCTTCCAGAGACCCGTTTTTTCGACTTCTGGACTGGGTGAAGTGTATTTTCTAATGAGCTTATCTATTGATTTTATCTTGTGAGTGTAACTTGTAATAAATTTGGATTTTATCCATATACAGTTGTACACTATGTATTTGTCTCTCCTTTCTTTCCCTCTACATTCGGAGATGGAGTAAAGGAAAGAAGGTGCCACAGTATTTTATCTGCTATATGCCTGCTATCAAATTCTAGTTTGTGAGTGCAATATATCCCCAAACCTTTTTTATGGTGTTTATTAGTATTACATTAATTGTGGTTCTTTTTTGTAGATTGTATTTCTAATATATTTTAAGCAAAGATTTGGAGGAGTCTTTTTACCCTCTACAGTGTACTAAAACGGGTAATTTGGCCTTTTTATGTATTGATTGTATCCACTAGCGGTGTACATTTTAGGTCACTATTTTCTATTCATATTGACATGCATATGGAAACGTTTCATAGAAATATAGAATGTGACGGCAGATAAGAACCATTCGGCCCATCTAGTCTTCCCAATTTTCTAAATACTTTCTTTAGTCCCTAGCCATATCTTATAGTTAGGATAGCCTTATGCCTATCCCACGCATGCTTAAACTCCTTTACTGTGTTAACCTCTACCACTTCAGCTGGAAGGCTAATCCATGCATCCACTACACTCTCAGTAAAGTAATACTTCCTGATATTATTTTTAAACCTTTGTCCCTCTAATTTAAGACTATGTCCTCTTGTTGTGGTAGTTTTTCTTCTTTTAAATATAGTCTCCTCCTTTACTGTGTTGATTCCCTTTATATATTTAAATGTTTCTATCATATCCCCCCTGTCTCGTCTTTCCTCCATGCTATACATGTTAAGATCCTTTAACCTTTCCTGGTAAGTTTTATCCCGCAATCCATGAACCAGTTTAGTAGCCCTTCTCTGAACCCTCTCTAAGGTATCAATATCCTTCTGAAGATACGGTCTCCAGTACTGTGTACAATACTCCAAGTGAGGTCTCACCAGTGTTCTGTACAATGGCATGAGCACTTCCCTCTTTCTACTGCTAATACCTCTCCCTATACAACCAAGCATTCTGCTAGCATTTCCTGCTGCTCTATTACATTGTCTGCCTACCTTTAAGTCATCAGAAATAATCACCCCTAAATCCCTTTCCTCATATGTTGAGGTTAGGACTCTATCAAATATTCTGTACTCTGCCCTTGGGTTTTTACGTCCAAGATGCATTATCTTGCACTTATCCACATTAAATGTCAGTTGCCACAATTCTGACCATTTTTCTAGTTTACCTAAATCATTTGCCATTTGGCTTATCCCTCCTGGAACATCAACCCTGTTACATATCTTAGTATCATCAGCAAAAAGACATACCTTACCATCAAGACCTTCTGCAATATCACTAATAAAAATATTAAAGAGAATGGGTCCAAGTACAGATCCCTGAGGTACCCCACTGGTGACAAGTCCAAGCTTCGAATATATTCCATTAACTACAACCCTCTGTTTCCTGTCACTCAGCCACTGCCTTACCCATTCAACAATATTGGAATCCAAACTTAAAGATTGCAGTTTATTGATAAGCCTTCTATGTGCAACAGTGTCAAAAGCCTTACTGAAATCTAGGTAAGCAATGTCTACTGCACCACCCTGATCTATAATTTTAGTTACCCAATCAAAAAAATCTATAAGATTAGTTTGGCATGATCCCATGTTGTTTCTGATCTTGAAATCCATGTGTTTTTAGATGTTCAGCAATCCTATCCTTTAACATGGTTTCCATCACTTTCCCCACTACTGAAGTAAGGCTTACTGGCCTATAGTTGCCCGACTCCTCCCTATTACCTTTCTTGTAAATGGGCACAACATTCGCTAACTTCCAATCTTCTGGGACTACTCTTGTTAATAATGATTGGTTTAGAAGATTCATGTATCTCTTGTGTTACATATGTTAGTCCCCTGACCAGGATAATGAAATTGTAGCCCTCCAGCTCTTGCACAGCTGCATCCTCCATTTGGATGATGATAATGGGAGCTGTGGTCATAAAACAGATGGAGTAGAGATGATGTCCAGGTATTTTCCTAGATGCTCTACTAGGATCTAGATCACAGAGTCTTTCAGAAAAGTATGTCTGTGATTTTATGGTCAGATCCAAGCATATAGAAGGGCTCACTGTGTTTATGTACTTTATCAATCCAGAGATGGATTCTATTGTAAACTCTTGTTTACTGAGGGCTAGTATGGAAACCCAGGCAGTAGAGAATGGCTGCTTTATTTAGATCTTCTACAGCTTATATCCAGCCTGGTTTCATTAGAACATATTACAGTAATGTTCAAAGCGTCCCATCTGCCAGTTTTATGAGGCGTTCTGGAACTATCCAGCCAGAGCAGTTAGAAGAGCAAGGACTCTTTTTTTGGCATATACTGGAAGCTAAACTGTTCATTGTATGTAAATATAATACAGAGAGTCCGGTTGATTACAAAAAGGGGGATACAGTGCTTCTATTTTCAATTTTGAATGATAAAAGAATGGTACTTCCCCTCATTTTACTATGATTATCTATTGTAAAAGCAGAACACTTTCACTACTCCGTATGATGTGGTAAAAACCACAATGAGCTAGCCTAGATGAAGGAAGTTAGTGTCAGAGAAAGACGGCCAATTGAGACATAGAGAAGCAACAACACACACAGTCCTAGATGCTGACTAATTTCAAGATCACATTATACTCAATATGAACACATATTTTTTTTCTAATACAGCAAGACTCTATGGTTTTTCAGTGCTGATTTAGTGAAAGGAAACAGATAAATCCATGGACAGTACTCACCAAACCAAGTCTTTTGCTTAGAGCCCTGAAATAGCTCTTTTTTGCCAAGGACGAAAAGGCATCAGTAAGCTTGCCTAAACAAAAAAACAAGAACATTTTCAAGATTTCTGTGCTGACTCACAAGTGACAAACTCTCATTTATAAAAACATTTGGTTTGTATATTTTGGAGCAAAGTGCTAAATGGGTAGCACTCAGAAGGAATATTCTTTTTCCATGGTGATTACTCCACTTTTAGCCATTGTTCCCAAACTGCTCTATATAAATATGTTCCAATATTTTCAAACATCAAACCTTGTTATTTGACAGTATATTAGACGGAGGAAAGACATTATTGGACTTCAGATGATCAGTTACGAGACACTATGGCTGGAAGCGCGTCATGGATATGCGTGCGCCGCCCTTAAGATCGTGCGTGTGGATCATGAGAAGATCGAGGGAGCGAAATGTGAGACTGGATGACAACATGTATGACTTATCTGAAACCAGAAACAGCGCCATCTTATTGGTGGCGTTGTGTATACGGCATTCACAGGATGTGTGGCTATATTTGATGTGGTATTATGAATTGTAGATAACCAAAACCAGAAGCAGTGCTAACTTGGTGGTGGCGTGTTGCATCTGGTCAGGATCATATATGGTGTTTAGACTATACCTGAGGAAGACTTAAACTGGTTGAAACGTGTTGTGCTGCTGTTTATGTGGTTTTATTCATATATTTTACTTTTTAATACAATAATTTTGTCTTACCTAATTCCTGGCTCTTCTTGGATTTCCTACAGCTCCAGTGGGACCATATTTGCTGGTTATTATCCCTATGGTGGATAAACTGAGTTTTCCTTTTTTACCTTAAATTTTACTATTGTGTATTACATGTTACACTATGATATTCTTTATGCATATGCTATGCAGGATCTAATGATTTTACTGAAAAACCTGTTTGTTATATAATTAAGGTAAAATATAATGATTGTATGCGCTTTCACCCTTTTGCACTTACTTTTATCAGTATATTAGACCTCTTTGATTGTGAACTTAATTTTTATTTTCTAATTACTGAATTTTTTACCTACCTGACCAACCAAGTAGGTTCTTTTGAAAAAAAAATAATGAAAAATTAAGTTTAACCCCTTAAGGACCAAACTTATGGAATAAAAGGGAATCATGACATGTCATGATTAAAGGGGTTAAAAAAATGCAGGTTTTTATTTTTACTTTTAGCTTCCACTAAGGTATTTGAATAGGCAGTAGTGCCAAGAGTGTTTGCACCGACATCAGTGGAATTGCTGTCTTCGGTTTTCTGTCACTTTGGGTGGTGCATTTCGGATAGTTTCCTTCAAAATCACTGTTCAGTTAATGATCCATTCTAAACCAAAATGAAGATTCTCATTTCAGCTGACCACACTAGGGGCATAGGTGCTACAGTGGCCTGGATCTGTGTCTGCAGAGTCGATCCCTAACTGAACAGTGCTTCAGGCACATCTCTGCTAGTGTACAATATATTCCCAAGAAAACACTAATGTAGCTCATGCCGAGTGCTCCTGTATGTTTGAAAGTAGGTACGTAAGAAAGAGAACAGATTGTGTGAAAATTGATCAGATAATTATTTATTTCTGCTGATTAAGCATCACAAAGGAAAATAACTTGCGAAATAGAAACTGCTTTTGATTTATTTTTTTTTAACATTATGTTTTCATGCGTTATAAAAAAACGTGATGCTCACAAGCAACCATAGTCTATCATTTGTACTTGTGTTGATAAATTCCAAGCAATTCACTGCACAAGGCAGAGAGTGGTTCTTTAAACCGTCTGATACTTTTGATTGTGTTATTAATTCATGATATAGACTGTTTTAGAAGTGCCATATGGCACAAACATTTTTGATGACAAAATCACCAAGCTCAGATTGTTCCCCTTACCTGCTGCTTTATCTGTCACAAGTCTGCTCACTTTACTTTCAACAGCTGTAAGAGTATCCCCAGGCACTTGTTCTATAAGTAAACCAGCGCGTTTTAGGTTCCAAAAGGTCAACAGATGAGCTGGTCCATAGCTCTGTAGTACACAATGGATACAGGACATAATCATGTGTCACTTAATTGAAAGAAGACTCACATATCATGACATACATGCTATGTAATGTACTAATGACTGGCGACTATTTCAGTATCCGCTATATTTTGAAATAAGTTGTATTTGGCAAGTGATAGTTTATTCCATGATTATTGCCTGTTGTGCATGTTTGGAAAGTTTTAACACGTAAGATATAATTTGACGTAATACAATGACAAATGATAACTTTTTGTGCTGGAATAGAGCATGTGCTATTCATAATGTGCTAAATCGGTGCTATAAGCACAAAATAAAGTTTATTGGTAAACTTTAAAAAAATTAAAATTTATATGTATAATGAATTTAGGGATACAACTAGTTCATAACTAAGAAGAGGTTTTTTTTTAACTGTAAAAGCGTTATAATATCAGAGATCAGATAAAGCTGACTGAATTAGGGATTTGCGTCATTAAGGTCTCCATCAAACACTATAGAGAAATGAGTTAGAGAGGAAAAGTTTTTATAAATTAAATGTCAATCTATAAATACCTTTACCCACATCGTCTGTATTGGACAGATGAAAGGTGACTTTTAAAACTGCAATTTAAGCAACCACTATGTTTATTATGAATGTTCCTTTTATTATCACACATCTGTCCTCCATTTCTCAGTATCATTTTAATCTCCATTTGAGGATGGCTGTGGATTCTGTATCCCAGAGTACTAATTTTAGCACATTATTCTGACCGTGCCTTATTCTTGCTAATATTCATATATAGTATATCCAGAGATTTTATTCGCTCTATGCTAAACCTTAACGATAAAGATTAAAACAACTAATTTTTCATGATTCATAGGTATGCCCGTTCTTGTCACTACGCTCTGCCTTTGACCACCTCCTGTCCATTCCTTGCACCCTCACTGCTAACTCACACTTGCAAGACTTTTCACAGGCATACCTTTCCTTTGGAACAACCTGCCTACCCAGATCAGACTCTCCCTTAGTCTTCAATCGTTTAAGAAGTCCCTCAAAACCCATCTGCTTAGAAATGTTTATGACCTCCCTGAGTAACTTCTATGTCTCAAATCTGTCTCTGGCTCTCTCCTAAACAGCCACACTCCACTCTCACCTCCAGTTATGTTACTTTTTAATCCTCTTTATTTCTCCCTTTCATAATATTGTAAAGTGCTGCGGAATAAGTTGGCACTATATAAATACCAATATTATTACTACTACTAATAATAATAATAATCTTAACTCACGTGTACCCTGATCTTTTTGGGAGAATCAACTTCAAGACAAGTACTCTGTTTTAGGCGTGATCACACATTGTGCTCTAATCTTTATAGTATGTGCTGTGCATGCTTGCAGTAAAAGGACTACTGTACGAATCTCTATGAAAAAATAAAAATATTTTTTTTTTGTGTTAGATTTGGTTTTTATACAAACCTGTAGATACTGAGTCTTCAACGATCGATAGTCTTTAGTTATCAAACCTAAAATTATAACAAAACAAACAAACCAGTGAGAGATTGTTTTTTAATAATGATCCAATATACATGTGATTTAAAAAAAAAACAACACAATAGTTTTATTAATGTAATACTTTTATGAGATGCTCAATGATTTAATTGTGTTTAACTTAATGGACCTACATACAGAAGGGTATATAACTTAGCATACTAAACTGCACCAATCTCCCAAATGAGAGACATTCCTACCATTCTCTGTGATTGATAGAAGGCATAGCAGGCGTAAACTCTCAATGGGGGAAACCTAGCAAGAAAGAAATTCCATGTTACTAGTCACAAAATGCAATAATCCAATGGATAGGCCAGCAGAAATACTATCTATTTATTATTTATTTTACACTATGTTTCACTTCCTTGTGATTATTTACAAGGATAACATCCTCACCTGTCTATTTATGTGTTCTTCTATGAAACTGATGCTCTCCCGAATGTCAAATCCTTCCAGTAATGCTGTGTGCAGAAGAAAAGAGAAGCGATTCCATCACAGTTTGTGGTGTAATGTACAGATAATTGGTTTAGATGTTCAATCTAAGCACGCTGTTCCTCTATTAGGAATATATAGTAATATAGCCTTAGGCCTGCAGTGGTTTGAAAATTACATTTCTGATGATGCTCGGGGAGCCTTCAGGCAGTGTCAAGATTACCATCACTCTTACGAAATTATAATAATTATATTAGTCAGTCATAATCTCTGACTAATATTATTAGTCAGTCATCAGAATTTAGCCCTCCTAAAGCCATTTTCCACGATAAAATATTGAGGATCAGGATAATTAATCATATTTAAGCTACTCACAGTGTTCGGTTTTTAAAAAATCCTGAAAATCCTGCTTTGTTTTCTTCTTCATGATAGACTCAGAGGCTCCAATATCTGTTAAATAAATAAAATACAGTTTAAACCAAGAGCCAGTATATATGCTTCCACTTTTAGCACCAATATTACATTTCTCTATAGGATGTGCATTGGGAAGGACTGCAGTTAAATCAACCCATGTGTCTTCCTGCTCTCACAGACAGGGAGTCAGCAGCTGTACAACAGCACTGCAGGTACAGTGTCTTAATATCATAGGAGGCAGCTGGAGACCGGCATTTATAACATCAAGCAAGGTGTGAGCAGGTAAAATTAGCTGCACGTTTTTTTATATTAGTGATTTGTGCTGGATCAAAAACAATACATGGACACAGATAAGGTAGTTCAAGCTGGTGCTTAATCACGGTTATTAGTGAACAGACAGAGGTTGGAGATAAACGCAGCAGCCTGTGTCTAATGGGAATTTGGGAAATTATGTAATTGTAAAGAGATACCAAAAAACAAATCTAGTTGACTAACCAAATTTCAAACAATGCAACTCCCCAGCACCATTTAGAATAGAGACCTCGACCACCACAAAATACAAAAGAGGTCATCACTACTAAAAACAAGATTGGCAAAATAATTTAACATACTACAAACGCAGATGAAAAGAAATAGGGATTTAATCTTATATAATTTATTACCATTTAACATTTGCCCATCGTTGCTAAACGTGCCCCATACATGGCAGTTCCAGTGTTAACAATTACATCAGGGAGTCACTAGTAAGACTGGAAGCATCATATTGCTGTATTATATGAATAATAGGTCTACATTGTCTTTTTATCCAGCACCACATTATATATCCCATATCAAAACATTATGGTCCTTAGATCAAACAATGTCACACAATTTAAATGGAATTAGAGGAAAGACAAAGTTATAAAGTAATAAGTACTCCATACGCAAACTCAGAAGACGATGCTCTTGTTTTAATCCCTTAAGTTCTTGAGAAACAAATGTCTTCATTTGTTTAATGTCCATCCCTCGGCGTTTCTAAGACAAACAAAAAATATATAAGCTATAACACCATGCTAAAATGACAGTAATTCTGAGTAACATTTACTGAGGGTCAGTAACATAATTGGATAACAAATCTACTAATACATTAATATTCCATAAACCCTTTAAGTAATGTGTATCATTATATTACATGGGATATATATTGGCTATTGTTCAAGTCTAATTTATGCCATCTTTTAACAGACACAACATTAAATATTAAAATGATCTAATCCATAGTAAAATGTCAGTGTTTTTACAATTTCAAGTGTTCAGACAGTGAAGAGTTACGTGTATTGCCAATAAGGCAATCTTACGGATTATATCACGACAAATAAATTGAGAGCTTATGTCAGAATAATCAGCTGGCAGGGACATTATAGTATGACAGGTAGTTAAAATATCAATAAGGTTCCCATCTAAGAAACATGCATTTACTTGTATTACTTATTAAAATCTTAGGCTTTAGTAAGTTTTTACATTACATTAGCACGTGACATGTTACACAAGTAGACAGTCAGTTGTCTTGGATACTTATATCTCTTTCACTACCAAACAGCCCTATATTTGATCACTCTCTGGACATCACACCGTGCCACAGCAAAGGTATACATCTCATCATTCTGTCACCCACATAAATACGGACAGTACATTTTAACTCATTTAAATTAAATCAACAAATGCTTTCTGCATCAGTTTTTCAAATGTAACCATATGATCACGATAGTAGTCCAGTATTTCCATTCACATCACAAGCCATTAAAACTGGCAAGAATTTATATATTTGGTACAGATTATTGTATTGTCCAATATAGTCAGACAAAGAAATGATTTTGTTTTTGTTCCAATCTTTTTAAATCATTTTTGACTTTTTCTCATTTTTATTTTACACGTTTTGCGCATGTTTTTGAATTACTGCGTCTTGGGAGATTGGAGTTCTCTCCTGAATACCAAAACAAAAATAAAGTGCGCTGTGCCTTTAAGACCATCAAACAATACAAGTGAATAACTTTCACATAAATATAAATTTCCAAAATTGTATAGAGTGAACTGTGCTGAACACACTACAAATCAGTTATTAAGTGATATAAATACCACATACATGTGCAATGACATAAATAATTTGTGCCAATAAAAAAGTGTTAAAGTGCACTAGTGACAAAACACATATGTGCAAAGTAAGGATAAAATTATTTAGAAGGTTACCTCACTTTTAAAAACTTTGAAATTGCTTCTATTAGAACTTCAGTGAAATACGAATAGAACTTGACAGCTTCTTCCCTGAGTCTGCTTTTTAGGCAAAAGATATAATGAGCACTATTCTATGTCAGTGGAAGCCTTCCGTTATAAAGTGCTGGATATCTGTTGTATTTGAGGATAGCTGACTTACAATAACATAATGCAGTCTATTAATCAGCCAGGGTTTATTGATCACAAGTCAGACATTAAACACGTTCAATCACTTTGCTGGTATACCAATTTATATTTATGTGAAAGTTATTCACTTGTATTGTTTGATGGTCTTAAAGGCACAGCGCACTTTATTTTTGTTTTTGTACTTATGTGAGAGGAGCTTTTTCACGATATATAGTGCTGCTTTAAATTTGTATTGTAACTGTGTATATTAGTTTTAGCGCCATTTTTACTTGTTTTTTTGATATCTCCTGAATAGCAGCATCCAATATTTTGAGTGCTATTCAGTTTTCTTTTTGTTAAAACAATTTTGCCACCGGGACATTAAAACACCAAAATCTTTGCCTATAAATGCCATTTTTTTTTCTAACCGCTTCAGCTAATAAAGTTAATAGTTATGATTCCTGTTACCATATTATCAAACACCTTAATTGACTTACATCATACTGTGATTGCAGATTGCGAGCTTTCTGGCTCAGGAAGTTGGACACATTGGAGAAATGTTCATTTCGAATTTCTTCAAAGACCTGGAAAAAGGCAAAACAAATTGCAACCAGCTTATTATTGCTAATAAAGCACCAACACATTCCACAGCCATGTACAATGGATTACAATATTCTAAGATGGCTATTGATAGGTGTATTCACACAGCACTATGTGTGCATGCAGAACATAAAGCAGTTTTTTTTTCCTTTTGAAAAAGGCTATTTCAATGTAAATTAAGTTACCATTCCCATGATTCCAGTGACAGTCAGTATTCATAGTGTGTGATGTGTGCAGTGCCACCTATTGATTGACAGCTGCTGGTTATGTGTACTTTCTGAATATTCATCAGTGCAATCAAAATAATTTGCATATGCCATTTGCATTCAGACATTTCTTAATTTTCACCGTCATTTTTTTTCTGTCTTCTTCTGTCCATTACAGAGTTAAAATGTTAAACCTACACATTATATCAAATAAACAAATCTAAAGAGCGTTTCAAACCATAACCATGACAGCCCATCGTATTATTTATGGCACTATAAGTCTCTGGGTGCAGTCCCCCATGTTTGTCAAACCATTTAGGAGACATTTGACTAATAATGCTGCCATAGCCTGGCCCTTTAAGCCTTTCTGATCTCGTATGATCTCTGATAATGCATAAACTTCACTTCCACATTATAAAGTGCAAATCATCCAATCTGGAGGACAATAATAGGATAAGAGCAATGGGGGCAGCATAGCTCCATGAAACTGCAGGCATGTATCTCAGTCATCTGCAGAGAAACGACTATGAGTGCATGTGTCTCAATGCGTTCTTCGACAGTAGAGCACAAACACATGGTAAAATCGTATGCAAGAATATAAATATTGAGAAGCAAGTGTACCTTATCTTGAGAGTTTAGAAGAACTTTTATACTTTTTTCAGAAGATGTGACCTCTGGGCCAAATTCAACGCTTCCTATTAAAATAGATCATATAGAATTATTACAATAATGACATGAGCATGTTCTTCTTATAATTGATATCAATGGTTATAGTATGTTTTATGGTAATGGAATATACGCAGACATAGAAGGTAGTCACTTAATAAACACAGACAACACAAAACCGGAAATGACCCAATTTAGTCACATTTTGATATTTATTTTTTCTAGAAACGAAGGGAAAAAATAAATAGCAGCTATGAACTTGAATACTCAACTGAAAACCATTTGCAGAAGCTTAGTGGTGCAAAGGGATGAATTTGATAAAACCTAATGATTTGCTTAGCCCCCTAGATTCTGAATGTGCAGTTTTCACACTCAAGGGATTATTGGAAATCTAAATGAATCGCATAGTACACACTGGATTACCAGCTGCCCTCTGAATCGAAGTATATTTCTAGTGATTGCATACAAAACTGGGAGACGGCCGAATGAAGGATCTTTTATTTTTTTTCAATTTTATTGACTGCATAGATTTCTGTTTAGGAATATAACATAATAATAACATACAAGCTTTGCCTTTAAACTACAATAAGCTAAATGGATGGGGAAAAACACAACTTACCACACTTAATGCGGAAAATATCATCGACCAGCCCTTCATACACAACTTGAGAGCAAAGAGGAGTGACATAATCAACATCTGGAATAAACATAAGCAGTTACTTAATAGTGATCCCATATGGAGAGTTAAAGTTACAAAATGAGCTGAAACTCAACACAGATTCATTTCACTAAATCACTGTCACTTCAAGTACTCTCAAGTATAAGGCAGACAAAATCTAATCAGAATGAAAGTGGTCCATGAGAAAAAGTGTAAGTGGGTTTTTTCTACCCCAAGTAATAAAACTCAATTCAAAAACATAGCATTGCGTTGCAAACAATTTGAAAATAGTAGATAAAAAAACCCTGCAAAACAGCATTGCACAAAATGCAATGACAGGATAAATCACTTTTTGTGACTTGGTGTGTATTTAATGGAAAAAGGAATGTCACCATGCTGGGTGCTTGGCAAAATTGACAAATAATTAAAGGCAGGACAAGTTTTAAGAAAAATACAAGTGAATATACAAACACAAATAATAGCTTCAATATTTATGAGACATATATTTTCAACACACGTTAATGGTACTTATAAGTATTCTTCTTCCCAATGCATATGTTTCTTGGCCCTGTATGTAACAATTCTATTTATAAGAATATTGCCATAAGAATGCATGAGCACATTAGAATTTCAAAGATGGGAATGTCAGGTCATGTCCATGTTCCTTTCCCAGCAGAGATTTCTAGTTTATCTTTGAAATTTAGTTTGCAGATCTCCTTCGACCCACTGAAGTAAGTACCTAGGTATAAAGCTAGCTCTGAATTCCACGAAACTGTACAAGATCAACTATCCCCCATTATTAAAAGGAAACACTCCAGACACCTGAAGCACCTTAGCTTGATGGAGAGTGTGCGTGAAGAGTGTGCCTTTCATTTTGCAAAAAGTTTAAATTTCTATATAAATTCAATAGAAATTGACGCTTTTATAAATTAGCCTCTCCCTTCACCCTCTCTTATTTCTGTGGTTTTTCTCTCTTCTTTAGTTGGTTTACATGTATAAAATTATACTGGATAGAACATGTTTTGGATCCTTGACCTATATTTTTTGTTTGTCTGAATAACTCACCATCCACTTAATTAAAAAAAAAATGTCAAAGCCGGGCGCATGACATGCTCAGTGCATGTTACAGGTGGCAATTCTGCAGTACACTATATTCCAGGGGAAGCCTTGCAGGGGGCAAATTAAATGTACTGAGATGAGTTTTAAACAGAGAAATGATCACCCAGGTGTTTACGTTTCTCAAGACCCATTTGGCAAGGGGGAAAAACTGCTTTTACACATAGTGGGCCACTTATCAAATATTGGCAAACAATAACCAAGTGATTTTTCATTGGCTTGTTCACAGGTAAAAAAAATGATTGAAAGCTAACATTGCATACAACGGTATTTTGTAACTTTTTATTCTTCATATCAGAAGTGGAATAGAAAAGCATAAATATCCCTACAGGGCCCAGTATAAACATGATTGTTGCGGCCACAATGCTTATTTCCTAGATGTCTAGCTATCAAACCAAAACAAACTGCTCGTCACTTTTTCATGTACTTATCCCAAGAAACCGCATTCTAATATTACCTCTGTCAATCATGAACACAACTCCAAGGTCTGGTCGTCTCTCTCTATGATCACTTTCATCATCATCCATCAGCTCCTTCCACAACTCATGGACCATCTGAAATCATGAACATACTACCACTAAAAGCTCAAAGTTATTGGGACTTAATATATTAAGCAGAAAAGAACTGAATTAATAGGCATTCTCCTCTTCAAAAACTGTTTTTCAAGAAATCTCAGTGAGGCCAGAATTGATGGATTCCATTGTTTTTTAACAGCTGGTTCAAAAAAATAAAATTAAAAAAAAAAAAAGTACTCTTTCCAGGACATGCTTGAAATGAGCGTGCATTCTTCATGTGTCATATGTCCATATTAAAAAAATAAACTAATTCCTTTAATATCACCAGTGTTATTTTATTTACAGTGACAGTGTAGAGGTGTTAATGCTTTATGTTTCATTTACAGCTGTGCCATTAAAGGATTTAACAAAAAAAACAATGTGAAGTGTGAATCATATATACTGTGAAAAGCTATACTTATCTGTTGCACTGTACAATTAAACTAAAGCAAATATTTTGTTTTGTGATCTATCAACATTTCTCAAAAGCTTTTATTTCCTGTATACAACAAAAGGGATACAGCATGTACACAGCAAAATTAATAAACTGTAGATGCTATGATAGTTTTAAAAGGACATTACCTTAGCACATCTTCCAATTCCATAAGCTCTCAAGACGGGGCCAAAGATTGAATTTAATAAATGGAGAGCTTTGGCCACAGTCCCAATCCAGCGCTGATCCCCTTCCTGTCCACAAAGAGAAGACCAGTTGGATACCACATATAGAATATACATCAATCTGGTCATCAGTGTTAGACAACTTTTTCCAATAAACATTTTCATCATCATTCTGTATGAAAAGCCCATGCAATGTTTCACAGGACATATTCCAGTCCACTGTTTCTAGTCTACGTTTCTTTCATCATTATGTGGTTCCTAATAAACTCCAGTACTTTGGAAGCATTTACCAGGCTTGCCAGGAGTCATTCAATGAGACCCTTAGCCTTTCTGTAAAAAAATTATTCACATCCGATCAACAAAACCTCTGTTTAGCTACTTGTTACAGGACTTCCATTCTATACACAGATTCTTATTGAAATTTATCTGATGTACATGTAACAGTTCTTCGCATCATTACGTGAACTAGACAAAGCAGCAACATACCACTGGCTTCCTTGGTGATTGCTTCACTTTTAGAACTGTGCCCCAAAGATGCTTTTCTATAAATCCCTTATAAGTCTAATTAAAAAGAGGACATTGTACTGAGGGATTACAATCCATTTCTATCAAGTATTGTTTTAAATATGATTAAATTAAAGAGAGGACATTGTACTGAGGGATTACAATCCATTTCTATCAAGTACTGTTTTAAATATGATTTAAAGTGTTACTCACAAGAAAATAATCCCGGTAAAATTCTGGCAGCTCCATACTGATAATATCATCATCAAGTGGTAGAAGATAAAATGACCATTCATCACAAGTCACATCTGTAAGAAACAGGGCATTGGGATACAGACATACAGAAATAATTATAGGGCACAATGCTGAATAAGGAGCAGGTAAGTAAATAGCTTCTACAATCACTGCTTCACATTTACTATTTGCCCTTCTCTATATACAGTTCTTCTCTATATATAGTCCATCGATCTGATTCCAGTTATCCAAATTGCCACAAGACAAACATATGGCTGGAAACAGCACACATTTAAATTTGGTAATACTTTTTAAAATCATATCTCTAAACGTATATAACGTTTTACAGCAGTAGCATGACTTATTAAACACTCTTGATGCATTCTGAAGTCCTTTAAATATATGGCATTGTATACAAATATGCAAATCATAGGCTGCTTTCAAAGTCACTCATCAGTAGTAGAGGACAGGTTTCCAAGCACAGTTCTCGGAGTACGTGTCTGCATGAAATCCAATATTATTAATATTAATACAGAAAAAAAAAAAAATTATAGAACAATCACACCTGAGTTTTAGATTATCTAAAAAGCCCATAAAAAAAGCTTAGAATGAACACTGCTTTTGTAGACAGGGTGCTACTGAAAAAAGTGCAACAAGTAAGAATCTATGCACTAGGACAGTCATTCTTAATTTTGATGTCTATCCTTAGTTTGTCAAATATTTGAATTCCTAAATCACAGGCCTTTAAAAGACTGGGTTACACGCCCTGTTCTATGGGATCCTAAACAATTCTTAATTTCATGAACAAGGGTAAGTTGACCATAAACCCATCAGTGTGATAATACAGAAACGAGAGAACTCAGATCAGTCTATTCATCTGATCTGAGGCTATTAATAATCATATGATTCAAAATATTAGAAATTCATAGCAGACATATGGGTTCCAATGGGGTATAATATCAGTACTGTCGGATTTCCCAGGAAGAAAAAACTATTTACAAAAGCACTATGTGATAATGTAATATCATCCTTACCTCCAAATATCCCCTCTTGCTCCAGTATCATGTCACATGTATAAAACTGAAACATAAAACATGTGCTTATTTCTCAATCTCTACACCTGTGTGTGTGCATGCACATTCTTGAAGCATTTTCCTCTAGCTCAGTTCCCATACAAAGTATTGTAATGGTTACAGCTCTGAGGATATTAAAATGTCACAGTTTTACTACATTTACATTTAACATTTCATCAACTCACCTTCTGAGGGCTAAATATGATCTTGTACTTCCTGCTTCTCTCGGCACGTTTATCTGTATTAACAAGGTCTGTGATGGAAATGAACAAGCAGACAAAAGTGTGAGGGTCACATTAAAGAAAGCACATTCATGATACAAAAAATATTATTATTATTAGTATGATATTTATAGAGCGCCGTCAAATTCCGCAGCGCTTTACAATGGGTGGACGAACAGACATGTAGTTGTAACCAGACAAGTTGGACACACAGGAACAGAGGGGTTGAGGGCCCTGCTCAATGAGCTTACATGCTAGAGGGAGTGGGGTAAAATGACACAAAAAGGTAAGGATAGTATTAGACTAATGACAGTTGCAGAAGAGGAATCAGTCAGGAGCTATTAACAGTTTAATTGATACGCTTTTATGAAGAAGTGGGTTTTTAACGCTTTTTTGAAGGAGTGGAGACTGGGTGTGTCATAACAGAAAAAATGTGCCATAACAGAAGTGAAGATCACTAGGAATGATAACTGTACAAAGAAGGAATTGTTAAAACGATCTTACAAGTCAAGTGGCATTTAAAGAAATAATCGAGAGTGGGTTAGTGCAAACTGAAGTTTTTTATCATAGATGCATAGCTAGGGTCCCAAAGGACATCTGATGAAAGCTGTAATTTCAAATTCATTGTCAGCTAGATCAATATGAAGCATTTACTTGGTTTGGCTGAATTGCAAATCTGAAAAGAGAATGGGATGCTTGTTGCTTGGAAAGACTGGTACATACAGAAACCAGGGCAGAAAGAGGGGATAAAACAATCTTCAAGCTTACACTCACTGAATAACAGGAGGTAAAGTCCAGAAAAGTGAATCTGCATGGCAGTAAAATCAGATGTAAAATGTAAGTTACACACAGATATATAAAAGTTATAGGTTGTTATGTAACTTAGAAGGAATGGCACACTGGATCTTGATGGGTCTGAAAATAATAGACTTACTTGCAATGTACTTCATATGATGGATACGTGGTCTGACCAGGAAACAAAGCCTAGAGTAATAAGAGGAAAAAAGATTTAATTGTGACAATGAGATGTATAACCTGGAGTGACATCCATACTGTATTTATCATTACTGGAAGAGCAGGAACATTCAGAAACATGGCTAGAGCAGATTGACCAATATACTTTGCACATCTTTTGTAGATTATATTTCTCTACCTATGGATGGCAAAGCATCACTGGAGATGTTGTTTTACAATAGCTAGACAGATGATGTTGATCATCTCCAGTGTAGAGGAAAAACTACATTTAAACTACAGCCTAGAACTGCTCAGGTACAAATTAAATTAATTTCTTTTTGAATTGTAACAACTAGTAAACTGATGTATTGTATATTTCAATATTTAGCAATGTGAAGATTGACTAAAGTTACAAGAGACAAAAACAATTGAAAAACTTACTGGTCACAGTTGCTGTGAATTGGCTTGCTCTCCAGCTTATAAAGTTTATCAACACCATGTTGCTAAATAAAAAAATAAATACAAAAAAATTAACCATATTGCATAAACCTGCATGCATGCCTAAAAGCATGCTAAGTAAAATAATTTGGACTTTTTTAACGTTATGAATGTATAGCTATTTTCCAAATAAATACTCAGGGACATGCATAAAAAGAAAATGGTGGTCAAATTTCTTCTGTTAAACAAAAACAGTTTCCTTGCCAAAAATAAAAGTAATATAAAAAAGGATACCTTTCATAAGTGTTCAAGATGTCACCGAAGTAGAGAAATAGTGCTCCTTGATTTAACTATTTAAATCCACATTTACTGTTGAAGTGGTTATGGTGGCAGGAACAAAATGTCACATTGGCAGAACAAGGCTTGGAAGAGGAGCTCATAGCTCCGTATCCAAGTTCTCTCAGTCAAAAAGATAGGAATTACACTAGCTTGTTTGGCCAATGAGCCGGACTGACATAGAACAGACTTGCATACACTGTTTCTCTGCATCAAGGGCTTGCAAGTCTAAAGCCTCCACCATCTCACTAATGACTGATGCTGATTGCAGCTTTGTCAATACCAATCATTAGTAAGACAGAGGCAGTCTTTGGACTTGCAAGTCCCTGAACATCAGCTCGGAGGTGTAACTTCTAGTTCTTTAATTGCCATGGGCTTTTAGATGAAGATGTTTAAAGTTTTTATGCTCGAGTTAATCAGTTTGGCATATGTTGAACTGATTTTCTATATTTGTTTGCTAAAATAGGTAACTATAGTGTCTGGAGTCCCCTGGCACTTCTGTTCAGTGTTAAATCATTTTTAGAGTTCACAGCAGCTCATTATCCCCCTTGTGCAGCATTAGTCTCAGCAACAAAGGGCAGCTGTGGTTGGCTGAGAGTGTCAGATTACTATTTTAGCCCACCACAGTGCCCAATCAGGTATGAATCTGTATGACAAGAATGAAGTGGGGGGTGGGGCTACTAGAAGCCAGGGACCCTCATTCAATGTTATACTGCTCAAGAATAGTTTAACACTGAATAAAGGGACAGTGTCAGGGAACTCCATGCACTAAAACCAATTCAATAAGGTGAAATGGTTATAGTTTCTCTGGTAGGACAGAGAAACTATCAAATCTAAAGAACAACATTTAAAAGAAAAGGGCTCCATCACTACTACAGTATGAAAGGTTACAAATCAAAATATCACCCATTGTATACATATAGGAATATCCTGTTACCACCCACTGTATAAATATAGGAATCATATATACAAGGCATCATTGTTCTTGATATATACATTATACACAGTTCTAAACACAACAAAAAATAGCTTAGTAAACTTAAAAAGTTTAAATAACGATATCTGTATGCATTTATTGGAATTCACATTTACCAATGATTTTATAAACCATATTAAGATAGATTGTATAACCTATCCTCCTTCTGGTTATACACACACAACATATTCTTTAGTATTATTAGTAAACATTTTATTCAATAAACAACACAAAAGCATTCAAGAGTACCTTTAATATAGAGACATTGGCAATTCGGTCAAGTGGGCTCATCAAATCAGGCTCAATTATCAAATCTTTCTTTCCAGGCAGCTGCAAGGACATTGGTTAAACAAAACATTAACCCTAATGATCCAAATTCAATCATATCAAAGCCTGTAACCTACAGCACTGACATGCAAATGTTACTATCCTTTATTATTATCACTGATTATGATTATTACTAATGTATGTATATATATATATTTATTTATTTATTTTGAAAGAAATACCGGCACTCCAGGATTTGGTAAAAAAAAAAAAAAAAAAGAGATTCTTCTTTATTCTTATTGTTCCAAACGGTCAACGTTTCAGCTCTTGTACAGAGCTTTCATCAGGACATATATATATATATATATATATATATTTTTTTTTTTAATACATTGCTAAACACAAATACACACACCAGTCAAGCCATAAGACTTGCTTTTCCAACCGAAATCTCACTTTAACAGTGCTCTCACTGCTGCAAGGGATTCTGGGTAGGCATATGCAAATGAGCTCAAGAATGAACCACATGAGAGGATCATTGGCTTTGCTCCTCTTCCTGAATTGTGTTTCAAAGCTGTCGTATACAGCAGAAACATACTTCAAAGAATCCATGTATAAAGTGGAATTATGAGGGAAAGTTTTTGTTCTTTGTTGAGCTCATTTGCATATGCCTACCCAGAATCCCTTGCAGTAGTGAGAGCACTGTTAAAGTGAGATTTATGTGGAAAAAGCAAATTGTATGGCTTGACTGGTGCATGTAATTGTGTATAACATTGCATTAACTATCCACTTATTTCAGGTGGAAGGGGTTTTCATCCACACTTTTTTCCCCACCACAACTTTTCTGACACACACACACTCTCTCTCTCTCACTCACTCTCTCTCTCGTTTTCCTGGCTCTATAGGTCCCCCCCACCCTCAGGGTCCCACTCCCGCCAGGCTGATGGGGGAGTAAGGGGTTAAAAGCTCACCTTTCTCCAGCGCTCGGCTCCCTCAGTGCTCGGGACTCTCCTCCCTCCTCCGGCGTCATCCACCGAATGCACATGCGCGGCAAGAGCCATGCTCGCATTCAATCAGTCCATATGCTTTCGTCAAGAAGCACCTCTAGCAGCTGTCAGTGAGACAGCCACTAGGGGCTGTTTACAGCTACAGGGTTAACCCTAGAGGGACCTGACACCCAAACCACTTAATTGAGCTGAAGTGGACTGGGTGCCTATAGTGGTCCTTTAAACCAATGTTATCAAGATGTGAAATACTGATTATAATAACACAGCATGTGTCACTCACCTGTTCCAGGATGTAGATGAGCTGGTCTCTGGCTAACCTCTTTAGGATGGTGAAATCAGGAAGCTCAGGGCCACCCATCCTGTCACTAGCCATCCTGGTGCTGTCCTGCACCTACCACTCCTGCAACATAAATAAAGGGATGAGACAGTAGAGAGGGACACGGCTTCACATGTACTGAATATGGTTATTATTATTATTATCAAACTGCCTTTAATCCAGGCTGTATTGGCAGACTGACATGGTTCTATCGCTATTGGCAATGATATCAGTCCAATATAAGGCCATTATCGGTATAAATGAGCGAGGGACCCCCAGCACTGTTACAGTAATGTTACAGACAGACACGAGTCCTTTACATTACAGATTATTATTAACCCATTTCACCAATCCCATTCAGTGTCGCTCACCAGCGCACAAAACGTCGCAGCTAGGAACCAAACTGCTGGAGCCAGGTTGCAGTGCGGGCAGGGAGGGTGACGAACCACTTCCGGTGAGAACGCAATGCGGAAATGACTGAGTAACCATGGTGACCAGTATGCCTGCAGGCTCTCTGTGTCAGTGACAGTGACTCAAAGGCTGGCGGATCTCTAAGTAAAGTTATGACTATTAGGGATGTCACAGGCAGATATAAAGTAGTTCTCGTTAAACAGGAAACACTGCAAACTAATGATGGATTAATTATGGCTTCCCAAGGACAATGCTTGTCTCACCCCCAGTAAGTTTTAAGGTAAGGGTTAAATGTAGGTTTAGTCTTAGGAACTGAGAGGGACAGACAACACTCCAGTCTTAGCAGTGTTTTATTATTGTTTTAAAAAAATAAAATAAATAAACTTAAAGGACCACTCTAGGCACCCAGACCACTTCAGCTTAATGAAGTGGTCTGGGTGCCAGGTCCAGCTAGGGTTAACCCTTTTTTCTATAAGCATAGCAGTTTCATAGACACTGCTCTGTTTACCTATGGGTTAATCCAGCCTCTAGTGGCTGTCTCACTGACAGCCGCTAGAGGCGCTTCCGCGCTTCTCACTGTGATTTTCACAGTGAGAAGACGCCAACATCCATAGGAAAGCATTGATAATGCTTTCCTATGAGACTGGCTGACTGCGCGCACGGCTCATGCCCCGCTTGTGCTTTCAGTCGATGACGGGAAAGGAGGAGGAGAGTTCCCGGCGCTGGAAAAAAGGTGAGGGATTGACCCCTTCCTCCCCCTACAGCACGGCGGGAGGGGGACCCAAGGACGTTATAGAGCCAGGAAAACAAGTATGTTTTCCTGGCACTATAGTGGTCCTTTAAGCATGCATGTTTTTTTTCCTTTATGTTTTTGTGGGGAGTATATAGTAAAAAAAGCTGCAGATCTGTTATCGGCAGTCTTTGCAAACCCTACTCTTTATCCCAGACTTCAGTCTGTGCTGGGGAATTGAGCAGTCAGACAGGGTCATTTACGCCAGTGAGAATTTCCAGGTGAATTCCAAATTTAAGGCCAATGTAAGTGAACTGAAAGAATAGCATTTCAGCTATTTTGACCATACATTTGAAATTCATGTTTAGTTTTCAATTTGGTAAATATACCTTTTGGAGTATTCTCATTGAGAAGTCTCTGTGCTGGAGCAGCAAGCATGCACTTGTTTCTTTCCAATGCTCCTCAGTTAGTTATAATAGAGCTCATTGAAAGTATACAGCCTCTTCCACTTTGTTAACTCTGTGGCGTTAACGGAAGTGGAGGAAAACCCTGGGATAGGCTTGTTGGTATTGCTTCCCAAAATTTGTAAAGTGTAGATTTCCATTACAGACGCTACTTGGATGCACAATGCACACCTGTACTACACACATTTACTTAAGTACATATTGGGATTTCAAATCCACCATAACCACACCAACTGTGTAAAAAGCTACATTAATACAGCAGTTGGAGGTTTACGTCTCCCAGGATATAAACAGATAGAAAAACACATATGTAGATAAAGCAAACCGAAAAATGGAACAACAAAAATCACATAGCATAACACTATTTAGGCAATCATCCTCTAAAGTGCTAAATAAATTGGGGGAGGAAGCCCGATAGCCGCGCGGGTGGTAGGCTGAGCAGCATGGCTCCGTCTGTGGAGGTTCTGGAGCCCTTTCTGTTTAACTTTGCACATTCCGGCTTGGTGAGTATGGGCGGGCCGGGGGACGCCTTTATGTGGCAGGCCGTGCGCCCGCGCACAGCGGTGGAACGCACACCCAGAACTTCCTGTAAACCGCCGCGTGCTGATCGCTGTGCTGATCCCCGTGGCAGCAGGAAGCTTGGCAGAAGGGTTCCCCATGTCACCAACCCCCCACACGGCTCAGAGGTTTTTCAAGGTAAGATTAGCTGATCTTTGCTTTGAAAATCTGTTCTAAAATTGCAAGTTATGGATGGAATTTTTTTGCAGAAAGTGGACTGTGTGTGCAAAATGGACTTCGTGGAATGCCTCTGCTATACAGGGCTTTTACTTATTGTATCTGTTCTTCTCCCCTTAAAATTAAGCAGAGAATATGCAATCAATCCGATCTTTGAATTTTTATAGAGAATCAAATAGTGTATTAGCTGCTCTGCCTAAGATGTTCCGCAGAGACAGAAGAGAAGGGTCCTTAGATTACTTCCAATGTCTGGCGAATGTTTATCTACCGTATTTTCCGGCGTATAAGACGACTGGGCGTATAAGACGACCCCCAACTTTTCCAGTTAAAATATAGAGTTTGGGATATACTCGCCGTATAAGACTACCCCTCTTCCAATGCACACCAAATAAAAATTAGCAATGATATACAGTGAGCAGACAGAGCTACACAGCAAAACATTAAAGGACCACTATAGTGCCAGGAAAACATACTCGTTTTCCTGGCACTTTAGTGCCCTGAGGGTGCCCCCACCCTCAGGGACCCCCTCCCGCCCGGCTCTGGGGAGAGGAAAGGGGTAAAAATTTACCTTTTTCCAGCGCTGGGCAGGGAGCTCTCCTCCTCCGATCCTCCTCCGTTCCTCCCATTCAGCTGAATGCGCACGCGCGGCAAGAGCTGCGCGCACATTCAGCCGGTCGCATAGGAAAGCATTTACAATGCTTTTCTATGGACGCTTGCGTGCTCTCACTGTGATTTTCACAGTGAGAATCACGCAAGCGCCTCTAGCGGGCTGTCAATGAGACAGCCACTAGAGGAATTGGAGGAAGGATTAACCCATTTGTAAACATAGCAGTTTCTCTGAAATGGGTTAATCCTAGCTGGACCTGGCACCCAGACCACTTCATTAAGCTGAAGTGGTCTGGGTGCCTAGAGTGGTCCTTTAAATAATGATAATCTGAAATAGCATTTAAAGCCCCTCCATTCTTTTTAATCCCCCCTCCATTCTTTTTTAATCCCCCCCTCCATTCTTTTTTTAATCCCCCCTCCATTCTTTTTTAATCCCCCTCCATTCTTTTTAATCCCCCCTCCATTCTTTTTTTATCCCCCCTCCATTATTTTTAATCCCCCCTCCATTTTTTATTCACGCCCCCAATTGTTTTACACCCCATTCTTTTTAATCCCCATTTTTTGCTCCCCCACCCCACCCTCCATTCTTTTCTCCCTCCCACCCTCCATTTTTTTACTCCACCCCCACCCTCCATTCTTTTTACTCCCCCCACCCTCCATTTTTTTACTCCACCCTCCACCCCCACCCTCCATTCATTTTACTCCCCCACCCTCCATTTTTTCTCCTCTCCCCACCCCCACCCTCCATTCCTTTTACTCCCCCATCCCTCCTTCTCACCTCCCCTTCCCTGTGCAGAGTGGGTGGCCGAGCTCCTCTTCGTCCTGTCAGTCCGGCCGGGTAACGCGCTGTACAGGAGATTCAGTTACCTGTTCCCGGCCGGACTGAAAGGAAGTGAGCCCTCAGTGTGCACTTCCTTTCAGTCCGGCTGGTAACAAGTAACTGAATCTCCTGTACCGCGCAGTACCCGGCCGGACTGACAGGACGAAGAGGAGCTCGGCCACCCACTCTGCACAGGGAAGAGGAGGTAAGAGAGGCAGTGCGGCAGCCGTCTGAGCGCTCTCTATAGAGTGCTCAGGCGGCTGCAGCATTAGCATACCCGGCGTATAAGACGACCCCCCACTTTGGAAAAGATTTTCCAGGGGTAAAAAGTCGTCTTATACGCCGGAAAATACGGTACTTCTTCTTAAGAGATGTCTTGTTTATCACACTGTGTGGAGTTGGTTCCCACCTGATGTACTGAGAAGGTTCATTAGGAATGAATCTGTCATGGGGCAGGATACATCTGCTAAACCTTAATGTGGGTTATCTGTTCCTCAAACCCCATGTCTTTCTTATATGCAGAAATGGGAACACTCTGTGTAACGAGCCTTTCTTGCCCGGCATTTAATATGTTACCATGAAATAGGTAAATGTTACACCCCCAGGTACACTGGGAATCCATAAACTTCTGTAAAAGTAATTGCTTTAATAACCCTGTCGTCAAGAAGGCTGAGACCTCTTGCAGACAATATTTCCAGACTGCTGGTTTTCGGTATGGGTCTTTGCTGGCAGGTGCAGCGGTATCCAAAACTTAAAACTTTGTTTACAATCATTAATGGAGGTTATTTAAGTCTCTTGATAAGCTCCTGTTTTATTTGTGATTGTCACATATTTTATATGGATTTCACTAATAAAATTTGACAATGTCGGCCAAGATCATGGGTTGATCTGCTGTTTCCCTTATATCCTGGTTGCTTAAGCTTGGACAACAGATCAGCGTCCTTTTCAGTCCCCTGTTTACTCCCATTAGGGAAAGGGGTATCTTTTATAACCTATGTTGAAAAAGGAAAAAAAAACTCTGCCTTAAGACAAGTAGAACTAGGTCCGACACGGGTTAGGCGTTCCAGACACCAAGAAGCTTGGAGGCATAATCCTGAATTTCTATACGAAGTGTGGATAGCTCAGTGGGTTTAGACCTTGTTCAACCCTTGGGGGTTCACAGGTTCATTTCCCCTGCAGGTTTGACTTAGCCCTTCCTTCATCCCTTTGAGATAGATGACTGGAGTACCATTCAATGGAGTCACTTAACATTCCCAGGATGCATTTGGGAACCAGTATTTATCTGAATGTCTCTTGCCTGGCTTTTAAGTAGAACCTACTTGCAATCCCTGGTTTCTTGATCTAGTTAAAGAGGGCACCGCTTGCTCTTTTTAAATCTGCCCAATCCATAATCTTCCAAACATCTGATACTCTATTTACAGAAACAGTGTTCCTGTTGGATTCAAGGAGTTTGAGATATGGTTGTATGAACCACGAAGTTCGTTGGGTTCCTCAGGAATCTCCTGGTTTTTAAACTTGGATCATTCCTTTAAACCGGTTTTGAATTTAAATTATTGGTTCCTCTCCTGAGGTTCAGAATTCAAACTTCTTCTTCTGTAACTCTGATTCTGCGGAAAGGAATTTCATGGTGTATATAGATCACAGAGATATATTCCCACCAGGGCAAGTATTTTTGCCGCCCTAGGCAAAAGAAAAACTTGCCGCCCGACCCCCACAATGCCTCACCCATATGATGTCCTATAGAGCTCTCCCTTCTGTCTCTTAGAGCTTTCCCCAGCCCCTTAGTGGTCTCTCCTCTCCCCCCACCCTCCCCTAACAGTCACTTCTCACATTCCCCCCCCCCACCCTCCCTATGTTCTCCTCACCTCCCCTTCTCCAGTGTCGTCCTCACCTCCCCCCTCCGTGTTCTCCTCGCAGTGGTGGAACGTACACCCAGGTGGTGTTGCATTCCACCAAAGTTCTGGGTGCGCTATTGCGCAAACCAGAACTTCCTATAAACCGCCGCATGCGGATCGCTGTGCTGTTCCCTGTGGCAGCAGGAAGCTTGTCAGAAAGGTTCCCCATGTTCTTCTCACCTCCCCCCTCCCTGTGTTCTTCTCACCTCCCCTTTCCCTGTGTTCTCATCTCCCCTTCTCCTCACCCCCTCCCTGTGTTCTCATCTCCCCTTCTCCTCACCTCCCTCCCTGTGTTCTGTTCCTTCCCCTCACCCCCCATTTTCTTCTTACTCCCTCCCCTTTACCCTATAAAGGGCTTCCCAGGCAAACCCACCTCAGTCGTGGCAAGAAAACACACCTAAGCCACACACATTAAGCAAAATTGTAATTTACAGGGAGGGAGATTTGTACTGCCACCATATTGACAAAAAAAAGAATTTACGGTGTGTAAAAATTTGTTTTTTTTCTGACATATGGTGGCAGTACGTATGGGAATGCTTTCCTATGGACTGGCTGAATGCGCGCGCGGCTCTTGCCGCGCATGCACATTCAGCCGATGACTGCGAAAAGGAGGAAGAGAGTTCCCTGCGCCGAGGGAGCCCGGCGGGGGAAAACAGGTAAGATTTAACCCCTTCCACCCCTTGAGCCTGGCGGGAGGGGGGCCCTGAGGGTGGGGGGGACCTAGAGGCCCTATAGTGCCAGGAAAACTTGTATGTTTTCCTGGTACTATAGTGGTCATTTAAAAGGTACTAAGAATATCCATGTGCCCTCAATGTAAGGAGTCAAACATTATTGGTTGCTGTTAATGTCTTAATACAAAAATGTAACCCACAAAACCATACTACCATCAGCCCTTTCCAGAAATTATTTCATGACATTCAAAGAAGAACACTTGTTGTTAGCCTTATGGTTGGGCATTACTGACAATTTCTATAATTAACTCAACACAATACCATAAACCACTCCTTAATATCATCATATACACGAAGCGTTCTAATCTGTGTAGGACTAAATTCATCTCCTTCATGTAAATAATGCATTTTGTTTTGCTGGATTCACTCATCGGCTGCTTTTTCTATAGTTAAGTGGAAACCCTCAAAACAGGTGATTAAATCTTTCATTGCAGATGTAGTGGATTACTAAAAGAGCTAGAATATTGTGTAGGTTGTGCAAGAGTGCATCTAGAGGACTGCTTTTGTGTAAGAGACAATGAATCAGAAGAAAACTAAACCATTTTTGTCTCCACTTACCGGTATCTTGCATGCTTCTCTAACATTTTTACAATGTTCCTTCCACATTATTTTTATACACCCTCTCCTTATCTTTCACTATCCCCCACGTTCTGCTGTTTACTTTTTCATTAATCCTTACTAGCCCCCCCACCCCCATAGTTGCCCTTATTTTCTATCGCCTTATATCTCCCCTCCCAACCTCTTTTTATACTAGTTCCTTCACTTCTTTCCTATTTTTAGATTGCGTCTCCCCACCTATATTTTATGCTTTAAGGGCTTCCCAACCACTACCATTTCTGTTCCCATCTCTCTTCAGTGATTATAAATGCTTCATCAATTACATTTATACACATTTTAAAATTAATATTCACTCATTAGTTTAATGACAAAAAGCCAAATGTAATATTACATTTCAACATAAATCCAATGCTTTAACAAGTGGTATGATTCTGTAAGCAATGCTGATCAGTGAACTGCTTATATAATAGTGGGAAGAAGTATAAATATTTTACTATTTTGTTTTCTTCTTTTAGTTTACTTCCTCCAACCCGGAGTTAAAAATGTTACACAAACATCAACTGCACTTGGGACATATCCTCTACAGGCAAACTGTTTCTGTAAGCTTACTATTACCTTAACTTCAGCACAAGAGATTAAGCAAGTCCTATGATATCATGACAGGTCTTGCCACCATCTACAATGAAACAATGTCACTATCTCAATTGATTTTAAAGGTCTGGTAAATTGCTGTGGTGGTCATATATGATTGAAATCCACGTTACACTTTTCATATGCATCTGAACTATTTCTGCCTATGTTTTCATTTTGTGTGTTAACTTTTTCTACAATAACAACTTTAATACAAAATAATAAAATATCGGTGTTAGTGGTTAATCAACCTGTCTCTTAGTGTGTGTGTTTGTGCGCATCTTCACACTGTCCTTCAAAGATGAAATTCATTGTTAGATCAATTAAAAAGGTACTAGGTGAGGGGCGGAGCCTGACAGCCAAGCTGAGCGGTCGCACCTCAGCAGAGCTCCTGTCTACATAACCTGAAAAACAAGCAAAACCCTGCAAATTTCAAGCTTTTTACACTCCAGACACTGGGGCTTAACATCGAGACAAGGCATAACTGAGCAGGGGACCGCAAAATGCGACCGATTCCAGGGGATGGACCTGAGGCCTACCTGCGGCCTACTCAGGAAGCATGGGGGAGACGGCCGATCCCTCAGCCGACTGTAGCCTGTATCAAAGGAGGTCTCTCCGGAACACTCCTCTCTCCCCCCCCCCCTGCCGGTGAGGGATATCCCGGCAACCAAAGCATGTGGATCAGGACGGAGAAATCGAGTGCAGCCACCTTGCACCACCGGACCGCTGACACAAGGCATGGCGGAGACCACGTGGATCCCGGCATCCAAGCCCAGCTTGCCTCCACTGTCGGAGCGGATAGACCGCCTATTTAACGATTTCTGGGCCAAACTCGCCAGCCGCGGAGACACCCGGGCACAAGTACCACCGGCATCAGCCACAAAAGGCATTACACAGCAGCCTGCGGCTCCGGTGCAGAACCCGAGAACGATCGAGATAGCAGGGGGTGAGAGGCGGAAGAAACGTCGTAAGACCCAGCGCCCGACTCTTAGGCTACCGGTGAGCTGCCCAAAGCCTCAACGGAGACGATCTCCAGGGCTGCCCCATCACCACCCCTCTCACCCGCGAAAAGTCCGCTCAAAGAACTGGCCTAGCACACTCAGGCAGGTTCCATATCAGAACAGCAGCCCCCCGGGGCTAAAGGCACACACGGGACTCCCGACCACTCACCACTCCAAGTCATCAGGGAACATGGAGGCAGCACGGAGCCAACTCGATGCCCAACGAACGGGAGTGCTTGGTCCACTCACCCCCCCGAGAGGCGGCAAAACATATGGCCTTGACGTACCCCTAGCAGGTGTTGGCTGACCGGGACATTTGAAATCACAAATGAGTCATTCACTCTATGCCTCAAACAGTCCCTACTTGTTATCAAGGACGTTTTCCTTGTTCCACTGAGAAATATAGTCTTACACATATGCTCATAAGCTATGTCCTACAACTTACACGCTAACATACTGCAATTATTATGTACCCCTATTGACTAACAACACTAGTATACACATGTGCCAAGCTTTTAACAAAGCACAACCTCTACACACATTTTCTAGGGCTATGTATAAGAACAACGTTCAGCCTGCATAACACTCCATAGCCTCAATAGACTTAGCATGCTCCTACCTTCCTGTATTAACCCATGAAACTAGGCAAAATTAATATGACACACAACTGTTTCTCTATGTCTATGTCTTTAATTTGCTATTACTACTAAGTTTACGATATTATCTTGTTTATATAACTACTTTAAAAAAAAAAGTGCAATGTCGTTAATGCCATGTGATTAAGAATGTATGCAAACTCGACTGTACCAGCTATTGTGGCAGTACAAATTCGCTTGTTACCCTCATGCACGAACAAAAATAAAGAATTATAAAAAAAAAAAAAAAAAGGTACTAGGTATTTTTCATAGCATTTCAAAATTCCTCATTGAATACACTGTAACCAAATAAGCTTCTTGTATAGGTAATATAGAGCAAGGAGATCACGGATCCCTTTTCCTTCATCCAATTCATTAAAGCTGCTGCTATTTGCTATACTATTCAGCAGACCATAAATACCGTGTACATGCTTTACATATTGTAAGGTGTTTGTACACTGATGAATTGCAGCTTCAAAAGGAATGTTTTATTTTCTTTAAATTTTTTATTGTAATGCAATATATGTATGATGCACTAAAACAGGGGTCATCTAGCCATTGTACAGCGCTACGGAACTTGCTGGCACTATATGAATAATAATCTCCAGTCCGGAATTTCATTTACATATAACAGCAATATACTACGTATTGGTACAAAGGAAGCAGAAAGGTCCCTGAGAAAATGTTAACAGCCTAAATATACTATAAATAAATACTTTCAAGATAAATGTGGCAAAAAAATCAAATCAAAATTTAAATCTGAGCAATGTAAAACTGTCCATCAAAGAAGAGCTGTATATAATCGGTGTTGGCTAAACACTGGCTATCCAACTCAAGTGGCAAAGATGGAATGGCTGGGCACCCAGATCAACAGATATGTCACCAGTAGTATAAACCAATATCGTTAAGGAGTTTAATAGTGGTTAATGAATTCCATCGCATTTAAGACTAAGGTTTCACATTGCAGATTGCATCAACAATTTGCTTTGTTTCAGTTTAGTATGTTGACTTAGATAGACCATACCACAGGTTCTAAATAGTTTGTATAATCCCCCTTTCTATGAATAGCTCTTGCAAGCTTTTTTCCAGCACTGTATTTGTCCCACGTAAACCATTCACCACTTCTGATGCCCACTGGAAATATTCTTGAACCCTTTGGTCAGTCCAGCCTGCAACATAAGTATAAACATTGTTACATATAGAAATATAATGGCTAGAAACAGAAATCCAAGTCACTTTTTCATAATTATCTGGAACAAGTAGTTTACAGTACAGTGCTGGAGTACAAAAATTCATACACAAAACATTTCATTATTTACAACTAGAGATGTCGCGAACTGTCCGCCGAACTGTTCGCGAACTGTCCGCCGGCGAACAATAGCGTGTTCGCGTTGGGCGAACATATCCGATTTCCGGTCCGCCCCTATACGTCATCATTGAGTAAACTTTGACCTGGAACCTCACAGTCAGCAGACACTTTCTGGGAGGGAGGGTCTGCTGCTGATTGGGTGAAATGTGTCTTCTGGCTGTGAGGTTCCGGGTCAAAGTTTACTCAATGATGACGTATAGGGGGCAGACCGGAAATCGGATATGTTCGCCCTACGCGAACACGCTATTGTTCGCCGGCGGACAGTTCGCGAACAGTTCGGCGGACAGTTCGCAACATCTCTATTTACAACTATGGTTTATTGGGGAAATAAACAGCTACATTTTAAGCTTTTCATCGCCACGTTTTCATTGATGTGGATAATGACAACAAACAAAAAAGGTATAAATGTTACTTTGTTTGCAACAAATCTGCCCAACGTAATTTTATATCTAAGTAAGAATGTATATAGAAGGAAATACTAAATATATATATATATTTATATTAAGTATTTTCTTCTATATACATTCTTGCTTATATATATAAAATCACGTTGGGCAGATTTAATGCAAACAAAGTAAATATTTTAAGTATTTTCTTCTATATACATTCTTGCTTAGGTGCTCATTATGTCCCTTTAAAAATGTGGCCTAAAAGGAGAGACGAAAACAAGAGAACAACAGAGACCACAACAGGGGCAATAAGAGATCCTAATGGAAGAGTGCAGCAGTTTTGATGTCAGGAGTGGTGCATGGTTTAATCATATTTGGTAACATTTATACAGCACTGGGGAGTGAATATCAGTTTCAGTGTGTAGGTTTTACTTATAATTTTTTTACAAAGCTATTTTTATTCTAATGGATATATATATATATATATACACATACATATACATACTGTTAAAAATCCTTTAGGTATAATTTCATACTGCCAGGGCAAACATAAAAGGCATCCTACAACAGGTACACACTAAGTCAAAATATGAAACCAAGTGTGATAGGAGTTTCAGTCTATTGGAATTAGCGGGGCAGCAAACAGACAACCTTGACCATACCAGATCAGAAGCACTCAAGGGGGTGTTGCACTACACAAGCAAAGACTCTGATACTGAAACTATTGTAACCCCC